TTTCAAGTAGCAATAGAATCAACTTGCTATAATAAATGTTAACTATACATTGCCTACAGAAACATTTCGCCTATTAAAAAAGCAACAAAAATCCTTTTTACTTCTGCCATATTTTTTTAGAAATAAGCAATTTGTGGCACCACGTGGTTAAGTCAGTTCCGGATCACCAGAATATAGGGAGTAGACACTATTGTGTTTCTTTGATAATAATGCAGATATTAAACCAACAACTAAAAGTACTGCCGGAAATGCTAGAAAAATGCTTTTTGACTTATATTTAAAATTCAGAGGTATTACAGTTCCTTAAATAACAAATATCACTTTAAGAAACATCTACCTAATGTAGACCAAGGGAATAAATGTTGAGACATGCCCTAAAGTGCGTTTTTACTGATGAAAATACCCAAAACTTAGAAAAATAAGGGGTAGTGGGACGTTATTTGATACAAACATTAACTGGCTGTGTTACGTCATCAGCATGCATGGTATCGACAGGTGAAATTGACACCTGAGCACACGCTCGGGCGAGGGGTCATCTCAATAGATGTTTTCTTCAAAATGTTGAATATGTGTACGTATAGTATACGTATTGGTTATGTAAGGGATCATTTGTGTATGTGTGATTGTTTTGAAATAAACATACGAATTACTGTACATTGGAAAGAATCCTATCACTTGTGTTATCTTATTGATTGATTGTAGAAATGTGCAACGTTTTAATAAATGTTTTGCATGTCAACATTATATTTCATTGCAAAAATATGGATGTAATTCGGTCAGTTTAATCTAGTTGTGAACATTGGCCAAAGATTTAACGAAGTCACTGGTGTAGCTTCTTTAGAATATATATATTCTTCTTCTCCTAAAGTTTGTAGACCGCCCGTCTAAGTACTCCCTTGTCAAAGTTGTCAAGGATGGTTTTACGTCCCGGTTTTGCTTTTGAGACGGCCCCTGTCTTGTCTGATTTGTTTACAATATTGTAAACTTGTTGGTAAGACATACCAACAGCTCTACAAGTTCTGTATTAAACCATTTCTATACTAATGAATGGTTAACCTCTGTCTTTTTCAAGCACAAAAAAACTTATAAACCTTTGCAACAATCGACTGCAAATCGTTGGCCATAGTGGACGCTGTGATAAAGATGTGCATGCATGGCGGGAAACATATTTACCAAGACTTAACATTTATATTAATATTTCTTCAATAAAGGAACGATAATTAAGTAAAGTAACACAAACATTCAGCATTTATTTGTTTAAGAAAACCGTTAATTTATATGTTTACACCACCTGTATTATTAGCATAAATGTAAAGACTATTTCAGATTTCTGTTGTTGAACTCTGAAAAAATCTGAAGTTGTTGTTTTGGTACCAAATTTTCTCCTGTAAACTGCCCTTTAAATGCATGGGAATGTTAAATCAATTGAAATAAAAATTAGGTACACTATAGGTGAGTTGATGTATTGACAACATGATACATTTATCACCTTTCTAAAGATATTAAGGCTAAAAAGCATTTTTCTAGCATTTCCGACAGTACTTTAGTCTCTGAAATGAACATAATTTACAGAAAAAAAAGCCCAAAGTGAAAGAAATAAAATATAATGAAAAGGAGCCCTAGCTGAGACTTTCTTGAGAAATCTAAACTTGCGTGGGATTTCTTGGATGTAAATTTGCTTCAGTCTGTCAATTTGCTTCAGTCTATCTATGAGGATACACGCACATAAACGGTTCAAACAACGCTTATTCTGCATATGTTATTATTATTTGGACTTAACAATGAGATCTATGTTCGTTGTTGTTGTTGTTCCTTATTTGCTTTGATTATTTTCGTTAGCTACCAACACATCCACTTTACTTTCATTGACTGGTGATGTGGTTGGGAGTTTTACATGTCTCATAATGACTGAATAAACAGTTTAAAGTTTCTGAAAAAATATATTATTTTGTCTTGATAGTTGTAATTTACAAGTCGCATGTCAATGACACGTCAATATATATTAAAATAGTACTTTTAAAATAGTGCGCTTTGAGCATTTATTGTGAATGGAAATAGCGCGGTACAAATGGACTATGATAATTATAATACTTTACATTCACAATAGATCATCGTATAGCTAATTTCACCTAAATCATCAGCCACAAACAGCACGACCAAGTATAGTGTGATTTAACTTATATGATTGAATTTCGATATCCAGACACTTGAAAAACCAGGCCATCTCGAGCAGCAATTTACGTTCAATGTGAGACCAAGTTTGTTTACCTTTCCGTCCCACAAATACTACCGTGTGCCTACATCTAAGCGCGTGGCACGTTACACGTTTTAACACTTTGGAGGGCGAGGTCACCATCGCTCGCCTTATATGTAGCTAAGTACAGTACAAGCAAGTTTGGCAAGTCTCCAAAGTACCACATTGTGCACAGCTGGGGGGCCTGGCATGTTACACATTATGTAACACTTCAGAATGAGATCACTTTCACCCGCCTCAGCTGGGTACGAGCAGGACAAACAACTAGCCTCTAAAATGAACGTCATATTTTACAGGTCATAATAAATAAAATAATATAATGAAAAGAAGTTCTGAGACCTTCTTCATTTTCAGACCTCTAGACTTGCCACATATTCTAGACGTTCATTTGCTTTCTTACATATTACCTGCGAAGATCCGGGTTAGAATTGATCATCAGTAACCCATGCTTGTCGTAAGAGGCGACTAACGGGATCGGGTGGTCAGACTCCTGACTTGGTTGACACATGTCATCGGTTCCCAATTGCGCAGATCGATGCTCATGCTGTTGATCACTGGATTGTCGGGTCCAGACTCAATTATTTACAGACCGCCGCCATATAGCTGGAATATTGCTGAGTGCGGCGTAAAACTAAACTCACTCACTAATAGTATCGATATATATTCAACATAGGAGCCTACATGTATACCTACATATAGACTATATACCTGCGTGAGACTTTAAAATTAATGGCAGGCTGTAATCTTCATTAGGTAAGTTTACATAATCTGTCTCAATGACACGTGAAGATCCGGGTCAGCAACCCATGCTTGTCGTAAAAGGTGGCTAACGTGGCCAGGCGATCAGACTCGCTGACTTGGTTGACACATGTCATCGTATCCCAATGTGTATCTATCGATGCTAGGCCTGCCTTTAGAATCCCCCACCAAATAAGCGCTCGTGAAATCAAAACATATTTGTATCTTTTCTGTTTGAGAACATTGTTGACATCACGACCTTGTTATTAACGATGTCGTTGCAATATTGTTGTACAAATGTATTACACCGACTCCCTCGGCTGTGTTCCCATGGTGACAGTGTTCAGTGAGTGAGTTTATTTATTTTTATTTTCGTTTTCTATTTCCATGGCGACCAACCAACCATAATCTGTCTTACGTCACCATTGGGCTACTACTGAAAAAGCAAAATGCCCCTGGTAAATTTTATTTTCCAAATATCAGTATTTCATTTACAAACAAACACATTCTGTTTTCTTTCTGGAAGTCATAACTTTAACCACGTACGGCACATTGTGACTATAACTGCCAGTGAGTTTAGTTTACTTTTACGCCACACTCAGCAATATTCCAGCTATATGGCGGTTCTCTGTAAATAATCGAGTCTGGACCAGACAATCCAGTGATCAACAGCGTGAGCATCGAGCTACGCAAATGGGATACGATGACATTTAAGTGTAAAACACGGATCATTTCGCTTGGCAAGTCTTTATAATCTGTCTCCACGTCACCACTGGGCTCCAGGTGCAAATTATATTTTGTAAATATCTGTATTTCTATAACAAAATAAATTACGTTGTTTTCTGTCTGGGAGTCCCAACTAGAACATCCATGACAGCCTTGGCTAAATTATGACTATGAGTAAGAATTAACTGTAAACCGCATGGGAGATTCCATTTCAATAATCTGGTAAAGGTTATTTGTATAAAGGTAGCAAGATCTCGTGTTCTGGGCTCAATTTGGATTTCTTTTGACACAACTTTATATTTTGTAGAAACCATGAAAGTGACAATATTTCTTGGACAGTATCAAGATCCCGTGATTCCTGGGCTCAATTTGTTTGATTTCTTTTGACACATCTTTTTATTTTATAGATACTTGTATTTTGAAAGTGACAATATTTCTTGGACAGTGGAAGTTACATAAACGAGACATGATTTCCATAGATACATGTTTTTATTCCATGTTCCCGACCCGTGAAGATCTGCGTTAGAATTGGTCTTTGATTAACCCATGCTTGTCGCAAGAGACGACCAACAGGATAGGGTGGTCAAGCTCGCTGACCTTTTTGGCAATGTCATCGTATCCCAGTTGTGTAGGTTCATGCTCATGATGTTGATCACTGGATTGTCTGATCACTGGGGATTGGTTAAAGCGTTGGTCGTCAGACCGGGTTCGATTCCCCACATGGGCACAATGTGTTAAGCCCATTTCTGGTGTCCCCCGCCGTGATATTGCTGGAATATTGCTAAAAGCGGCGTAAAACTAAACTCAGTCAGTCAGTCCAGACTCAGTTATTTACAGACCGGAACCATATTGCTGGGTGTGACGTTACACAGGAAACAAACATTTTCACTTTCATAAATCTCATTTTACTTTGTGCTCACTAAAACATTTCAGATATACTTTGAAATATCATGGATTCTCGTACGTTAAGTCAGTATCCGAGAACGATAGGAATGAGTAAGTTAAATATTTGCATGTTTGTTTATATTAGTTCTGTAGTATAACCAATTAAGCCAACACATGTACAATTATGTTAATAGCTATGACAGTCATATGGACTGTTGTCATCAGAGATATATTCGAACTTTATGCAATGAAATAATTATCGTATACACCTTACAATTTTCGGTTTTGCATGTCTTCCTAGTAAAAGTCGCACGTTAGTTCCTCGTATAACTTTCGGTTCAGCGTGTATTCTTGGAAAGTCAGTCAGTACCACTTTCGGTTTTGCTTCCTTTTGTAAAATTACGAGATATGTTGGCACTCGCAGAATAGACATCACCGCGGTCACTCGCCTACCCAGAGTTCCATGCGGCCAGCGTGGTACTTACAGCATTTGTTTCTAATCGAGTCATCACTTCGCGGAGTGTGCAAGTTGCGGTGTGCTTGAATGTGACATTTTGGGGCAGAGGCGCGCGCCAAAACGCACCTCAACACCTCTCCCAAATCTAATTGGTTGAATGGATTCAGCGCGCGCCAGCAGTCATTTGCAAGAGAAGAGGACCAAGCTAATGGTATTGATTTTTTTCTTACAGTACGCAAGAGTGATTTTATTTGATGACGCATGTTTGTTGTATAAAGCAGAAGAAGGGATAACAGCGCCGTTCGTTGTTTGTAAAGAACAACCGAAACCAAAATGGACGCCATGTTAATACCGGAAATAGACTTTCTATCGCTGTTCACGTATGAAAACCGCGGAGAAGCATATTTCGCCCTATTTATAGTGTTCATGAGTTGAATTTTGCAGATGGTACGTGGATTATGATGGAATAATTAAATTTTACGGAGTCTGTGGCTTGGTAGTGAGGACATGTTGTGAAAAATTGATATTTGTCGGATTAATCCTCTGAACTCCGTGATATGGCGTGCCACGAGCTCAGCCTCAGAAGCCATGTGGCTGCTTGGCCCTTGACATTGGTCTTTGCAATTGTTTTCCATAGTGTCCTTTCTTTTGAACCAATTGTTCCTACTGGTAAATTGTGCTTAACATGTTAAATTGTAAGTTGAGTTTTGTCGGGTAAACTTGACTCGGCAGACAGGGTTATAGCTGAAACGGCCCCACGGCAGAACGGACCCAAATGCTTTGACTGAAATGGCCCCATATTTCGAAAGATAAATATATAGATCTGGGCAAGCAGAATTGATATAAAGGCAATGTTGCTTGTGTTATGATGACATGACAGACTCACCATTCTTTGATGAATAAAGAAAGACATCTTGAATAATTGAATTATACATTTGAGAGCTTTCTGTTATGTTGTGTGATTTTAATGATAGTCCAACAGTATCTTTGACATAACTAGTATCGTTGACTATGTAAAACATGGTGCTGTTACTGTTGAACAGACATTGTGTAATATTTTGCTGATCTAAATACAAAGTACCAACTAATGTGTTTTCATGAATACTCTGCCAACCAACGGTATATATGATCTTCAAATGTTATATCTGAATCTGAAAAACATAATTTTGAAAATTTACCTTTAAATTTGTAAAGTTCAACTCATATTTTCTCATCAAATGCTCTTTCTATAAAATGTTTACCTTTAACCTTACCAAAATACTTTTTGCGATGAGCATATATGTAATACTATTGTCCACAAATGTAAATCATGGTCTGGGCATTCCAAAACTACTATTTCTATTAAAATCGGTCAAACCAAACCAGAGTTATTAAATTAAACCATCCAGTTGTCGATTAAAATATTGCGATAACTGACATGACATGTTGCACCTTAAAAGGGCCCCTGCACGGAAGTCACGCACGGTAGCTGATGACAACCGGCTTCATATCAAAGCTAATTCATTCCTGATTGTGAAAAGTCACATCCTGTTTGGTCGCCAGAACTGCACCACATTTTCACCATTTTGGGGGGTCTGGCTTCTAGACCAATTATGTAACTTCAGATTACACTAAACTTGAAAACAAATACATCGTCAAGAACGTTAATAGTACTGCTGTGTGTGCCGCTAGGAGTATGTTGTTAGGACGTTTTCTGTTTTCAATATATGTTAAATGTCAATATAAATGCTCAAATATATTTCACGTCATTTTTTTGCAGTTGTACGGGGTCATTACAAGCAACATAGTTGATAACAACATCGGGACTATTTGCGTCGGGGCCGTTTTAGCCAATTTGGGGCCGTTTTAGCCAAGCAAAATTGGGGCCGTTTTGTCATGGGGCCGTTTTAGCCTGATCCCGGGCAGACTCGAAGCCATCATGAAGTGACCAAACCAAATATGTTCTTATAGACTTCAAGAGCACCTGCTTGAAGAAATCAGTGTTCACCTCAGCATAAGTCACGTAAATAATACAGCATCAAATAGTAAAACTCAATGTTGATTTTAAGTACAGATTCAAAGTACTTAAACAAATTAGCAATCTTACACATAGGGAGGACTTGCAAGATTAATCTTCTCAATGAAAGTTTTGTGGAAACACCTCATTCTGATTTTGTAGAGCATAACTTGTGAGCTCTAAAATTCACTCTAAAAAACTACTGATGCTCCTTAAAACAGGTTCTGCTTTCTAAATATGTGCATTTGCTAGAATATAGCAAGTGTACTTCCATATGCTGTGTTGTTATACATCTGTTGATAGTCATAATACTAATATGGGACATGATATCACATTTAGGTATGATAAGACAGGTTCTTTTGTCTTTTCCCAAAAGTTTATTTTTTGCTTAATGATGTTAGTAAATAGAAACGACACAACCCTTTTCACATTCATAAGATATCTCTGCCAAAAGCCAAGCCGATTGTACATTTGTGACTATATCATGAGCAGATATTTGTTTCAGCAGTATTACAGCTGTATGAGTTTGTTTGTAAACAAATCAGGTCTGAACCAGACAATCCAGTGATTGTCACCATGCGATACGATGACAGGGCATGTGTTTATGAATCACTATGAAATAGTGATGATACCAGGTGTTTGTGAAAAGGTGAGCATATCCTGCTCCACCAGTGGCACCCGTCGTAAACATAGTCTAGTCTTTTGTTCACCTGAAATAAGTCGGGAACTTACAGTATAAGTCAAAATTCGGCAGGGTTTTACATGACGATGATTCCTGCGTATTTGGTTTCATTTGGTGGTGTGGACTTAACAATGTTGTTACATTTCGACTCTAAAAATACTATCATAAAGGTCTGTGAGTCAAGCTTGACCCAAGTTTTATGAGTGGCCCTCACAATTCAGTTCAATCAAATCCGTACCACAGCCATGGTTGTACATGGGTACCATGTGTGGTCTTAGAATCATTTACAGGCGTATTTATCTGAAAAGTATTGTTTTATTGTTTATTGATCTGTTTATACAGGACTAGCAATATTGTGGTGCATACATGAAACGAAACACAAGATTACTGATACTCCATTAAATTCCATTCAGTACTCTAAATGTACTCTTAAGGTTTTCCAGTACTCCTATATTGAAAAAATAAAAGATACTCCATTAAATTCCATTCATGCTATACTCCTGATGTTAAAAAATTATCTGGAGCCCTGATCCCAATTGGTAGGAGGATGTTCATGACATTTCGGTCCATATTTAAATCGTTGACAAAGGTTGTTATTGTCAACAATGGAGAAGTCACCTGTGATTATGTCCTGCAGGTTGGTAGCAAAATTTTAAGTCTTGGCAGCCTCATGAGGTGGAATTTACATGGTGATCTGCCAATTCCATGTTCTGTAACACGTTCCTGTAATTGAACAACATGCATAAAATTGTGTCTGTATAAGAGAACCAGGCTTTGTGGAAATATGAAATAAACATTTCAAGCAGCAGGACGTTGACTGTTGAAGAACACTTCTGGTGATAAGAGTTATGTTTCCTCTATAATGACAAATTAATTTCCCTCCCATTATTACTTTGCTTTCCATTTTCATCAGATAAGTCCATTGCAGTGACAGCTGAACATCCTGAATTTTCCATCTGTGAATCTGTGATAAGTCAGTGTTTATCCTTAACCCCGAAAAGCTGCAGGCTGTAAAGACCCAGAGGCATATAACATTGTGGGTCCTGATCAGAATGTGTAGGCCCTAAATAACACTGTTAGTTATTGGGGATGAAAAAGCTGTCGCCCAAAAAGACTTACGGAAACAAAAGTTGTGTGTCCACATGGTTTTCAGTCTGCTTCAGGTCTAAGGACCGACGGTAATTTCGAACACTGATAAAATGATAATTACAAAGCACCATTCAGCTCTTCAAGGCACTAGCCAAGAGAAGTGATTTGAACAAGTCAGCATTAATGTTGTTGCAGTTACTTGGGCCAAGGTACATGACCATAAATATAACTTTATGCGAGTTGTACAATGAATTTATGAAAACATGGAAAGGATTTCAGGTCATCTTGCAAAATGTTTTTTCATTTTGTACAAATGTTTGTGCTTCACGGCTTGTTTACCAGATGAAACCATCTTGATGTTCTGAATGAGATGTGAACCAAAGGTACAGATTGTTGTCACAAGAATGGTTTTGTCAAGATGGTATTCATTACTGAAATGTTACACACATATTCATGTGGTAGAGCTTGTCAACATACCTGGTTCTTATATTCATATATACTACATAGATGATTTCATGAATAGTCAGAACAATGAAGGAAGTCTTTTAATGTTTACCAGGGAAAATGGTGATGTAAAGCATTCACAAATATGACCTGTACATGTGAATAATTGGGCTGCCTGTGCATGTGTTTGGGATGAGTACCACCAGTGTCATCACCATTTGATGGTGATTCATAAACACGAGCTCCGGATATGGACAGAATCATCTCAGCTGCAGGGGCTGAATGGGTTAGATCGCTGATTTTGTGTGCTGGCGATTGGGTTCCTCACTGAGAGCTGGATGGAGGGGTAGCCTAGAGGGTAAAGTGTTCGCTCGTAACACTGAAGGCCCTGGGTTGATTCCCCACATGGGTACAATGTGTGGAGCCCATTTCTTATGTCCCCACCGTGATATTGCTGCAATACTGCTAAAACCTGCGTAAAACCCAACTCACTCACTCTCAGAGTGTGGTTTCAATCTCGGATGGTGGTTGGGTAGCCTAGTTCTTAACGCATTTCACTTGTAATGCAGAAGATCTAGGTCTGAATCCACACATGGCAACAATGTGTGAAGTCCATTTCTGGTGTCCTCCACCATATTTCTGGAATATTGCTAAAAACATTGTAGAACTAAACTCACTGAAATCCTGCTTTGGACTGTACCTAAAAGCAGAGGCCCAGATAAGCTGCGTATCCGGGTAAAATACGCATAGAAAATTTCCATTTACGCGTTGAAAAATAATTGTTGTGTACCAATTACGCATTTACAATGTTAGATACGCAGAAAGTTAAAAACAAATGCGTACGGAATATATTTAAAAAAATTGCTTGCGTAATGAAAAAGACATCGATTGCTATTAAGTTGTACTGTTAGTATAGGACAAGTGTTGTACTGTCAGTATAGGATGAGTGATATTTTATGAAATCATTTCCATTATATTTAAGTTAGTTTTGATTAGATATGACATAAGGCAGTAAACTTACTCAATGACATAATACTTTGGTGAGTAAAATGACTGAAATACGCACATATTTGAAAGCAGTTGGTAACTGAAAATGAAATACCCACTCAACATTCATAATACCCACTCCCAAAAAATACAGTGGGTACAGAACCCACATGAGCTACAGGTTACACACCACCAAATGTTTTCCCATAGACTTCTATAGTAGCCTTATATTTTTTTTAAAAGAATCCAGGCTATCAACAGCCATTCCATGTGCACATGGGTACACTCTGGCCTTTAAACTACCATAAAAACACACTATCTGGCCAACTTGTCAGGCTCGTTTTGCGAGCACAGGAAGCGGAACACATCAACCCCAGATCCGCACCAAATGTCACCTACTGGAAAATATCTGTACACACAATAAGCATAAGTCATGGTGATGGAAATCACAGCACTGAATACTTAAAATTGTGGTCAGTTTTAATTACTGGTTGGATATGCTTTTAAAAAACATAAACATCTTACACTATTTCATCCAATCACAGCTGTCACATGTCTTTATCTCTTCATTTGTTTACATACGCATCTCGCTCAGTGAGCAAGCGATTCTCATTTAGTGTAGTATAACCTGTAATCTTATCTGGAGCTCTGTAAAAGTACTAGAGTCTGTACTTTATCGAGAAAATGTAATCTGAATTATGACGTATGTTACAGAACAGCTGATAGATGGGAAACAACTTATATATATGCTTTGTGTGTTTTATTGTTTTGTTTGATTTTGCATGACCGAGAGAAAAGGTGAAAAATGTATTTTTTTATGTGTTTTCAGTGAACAATTAACAGTGATATCTAGAGAGTGTTAAAGCGCTGCAGCAATGTCGGGTAGAGCAAGAGGAAGAGCTCGAGGAAGAGCCCGTGGTGGTTCGGAACAACAACAGGCACGTCAGGCCAGGGGAAGAGGCGCAAAAGACAGAGGTAAACGGAAATATGTTTATGCTGATTTATTAATTTAAATCTTTTGGTGGATTTCTGTCTTTAGTAAATTTGTGTAAAATTAACTAAACTAAGAATTGGTGGTGTAATACTTTTGAATTGTTATTTTTCACATGTAATTTTCAGAGCATTTTTGTACTTTTTATTTATGTCTCCTTCCATTATGTTCTTTTTGTTCTTTTTGTTCTTTGTTTAACACTGCACTAAGCAATATTCCAGCTATTAGACAGCAGTCTATAAATAGTAATGTCTGGACCAGACAATCCAGTGAGTGACGCCATGAGCATCAGTTTATGCAATTGCGATATACTCCAGCGTGCCACTTTAGACAAACTCACTTGTACATTGCGATATGCTTGTTGTATATGTTGCAATATTAATTCCAAAGAGGGGTGGGTTGTGAGGACGTATCCCTATGTGTGTTAATGTCAACCACTGTTTTTCTGTAGCCCTTTAGAGGCGGTGGGATAGTGTAGTGGTTAAAGCGTTCGTTCGTCACGGCGAAGACCCGGGTTCGATTCCCCACATGGGTACAATATGTGAAGCCCATTTCTGGTGTCCCATGTCGTGATATAGCTGGAATATTGCTAAAAGCAGCGTAAAATTAAACTCACTCACTCTGTAGCCCTTCATAATGTTATGAGGGATAAGTGGCTAGCCTAGTGGTTAAAACGTTCTCTGGTCACGCCGAAGACCCAGGTTCGATTCCCCACATAAGAACTGTGTGTGAAGCCTATTTCTGGTGTCCTGACCCAGGAAGATCCGGGTTAGAAATTAGATTGATCTTCCGTAACCCATGCTTGGTCAGGCTCACTGACTTGGGTTAACACATCATCGTATCCTAATTGCATAAATCGATGCTTATACTGTAAAACAGTCGATTGTCTGGTCCATTTACAGACCGCCACCATACAGCTGCAGTACTGCTGAATGTGACGTAAAATTAAACCTAAACTAAACTTGGTCCCGAGCCTAGATATTGCTGGAATATTACTAAAAATGGCACAAAACTAAACTCACTCACTCATGTTATGTTGGAAGGTGTACAGCAGAGAAGCTGCAGCAGCCCCACCCCCGCCTGCAGGTGCAGGGGCGGGTCCCCCTCCTGCCAGTGGCCGTGCCTCCTACAGAGGAGGGGCCAAGGAGCCCCGGCCTGGGATGGCAGGAGAAGTACCCAGAGCGCCAGTAGAGGAGATAGCAGCCATGTCCATCGGCACTGGAGATGCTAGTGAGGTGGGAAGGAAGAGATCAGACTTCCGTTACACTGATCTCAACACAAGGCCGGCACACATAGCAGATAAGAGGGGTATGAGGAATTACTATTTCTTGTCTTAAGTTTTCTGCAACGGTTTGCTTTTGCAAAGCAAAATTCAAGTTCAAATTGACTTTTTCAGTGAACAGTGCAACTTCTGCATGTCTTTTTCTGACAGAAAAATGTTGTGTCGCACTGATTGAAACATGTTTTTATCAAAATAATTGAATAAACAGAGCTACAGATAATTTTTTGGGTCAATGAGTTATGTACTCGCTTGTGTTCATCTCAATTGGGTATCCTAATTTTCCTTTAAGTAACCAAATAAATTGTACCAACCTCACTCAAACTCATTTTGGTACTTTGCCATCTTCCATTAATTGTAAAAATATAATAAAGTTTAAATGTTTTTTATTTATATTTGATCTGTAATATGAGAATCGATAAGGAAGACTGCAAGTTGCTAAGTTTATTTGTTGAAATAGAACCCCTAAATATACCTCAGTTATTTTATCTATCCACCGGTACGCAAGCTAAGATTTTATATCTTTGCGTGTACGCATGTAAGATCACATTTATTGAGTATTTACAAAAATTCGAGCGTACTTGTACGCAATAGACTCGATAGGAATTGAGTTTTCACATAAATATTTGCGTAATTTACGCAGATACGCAGCTTATCTGTACCTCTGAATAAAGATGCTTTTACTTTGCATCATGAATATTAAGCAGGGGATGCAAATAAACATCTACTTGACCAAATGGTGATAACAGCCAAGGGGCGTTTGGGTAGCCTAGTGGTTAGAGCGTGATGTTGCTGGAATATTGCTAAAAGCGGTGAAAAAACAAAGTCACAGTCAAATAACATTGAAATACACCTTCTAAAAGGTTGGTAGTTGTTAAAACTTGTGGAATGTGTTTAACATGAATGAAACTTGTCTTCACTTGTAGTCTCAATTTTCATCAAGGGAAAGAAACCTTTCATAATTTCCCACTAGACCACAGGACCAGTGAGTAGACAATAATTAGTGGTCCTGTCTATACTTCACTAGTACAAAATAACTTTTGCAGATTGACTTTAAAAATTCACTGGCCACCAGGACCACTGCAAACTTATCATTTAGTGGTCCTGATGAATTTATACTAGCCGGGGATCACAGGACCAGCGTAAATTTGGCACACTGTTTGTCTATGTTAAGCATTGTTTATATTGCAGGGCAGGGATAGAAAAAAATTGCATTTCTAATGGTGCCATAAGGTACTAGACAGATAATTTAGGTGCGCATTTGTGAAAATATACGTAAAGGAACACAGGAAAATTCAAGTGTTCTTTTAATATTTTCTAGGTTTCATCACCTGCTTTGAATAGTGGTGCGGTGATGAAAACTGGAAAATAATAAAGGAAAGCTTGAATATACCTGTGTTCCTTTATTTGTTTCTCTATGTATATGTGTGCCATGGGACATTAAAAATTGAAATGGCACAGACTAAAAATACCATGATTCATTAAATAGAAAATACGATAAATTTTACCAACTCAGTTGATTTACAGGGTTCAAAAAAAGTTTTAAAAGCCACTTGCCATAGGGCAAGTGACTTTAAGAAAGTAACTTGTCCTAACTAAGTTTCCACTTGCCCTGATTTTATGACATAATCATGATGATGTAATTATGAAAGAATAAATCAACATGGTATTTGATGTTATGTTTACTGGACTATTTATTGAAAAGTGATAAATAGCCAAAAAAGATAACTCTACTTTATTATCATTGCGAAATTTAATAACTACATTTTGAGCAGATATGAAATTAAATCCAAGTGTATTTGCAGTTTGAAACCGTAAGTGGAAATTATCTATTACTAGCCCACGGACAAGTAAGATACCATTATTTGATTGCCCGAAATGAAAACTGACTTGTCCCGAGGGTCGGGTGATGGGATTTTTGAACACCTGATTTAAAATCCATTTTGCACCCTATCAAACTGTTTTTAATGGTACCATCTCTCACAGCTTAACAGGGGCCTGGTCCTTGTGAATGCAGTTGCTCGCGTTTGGAATGGTAGCATGGTCCAGGACAAGTGAAGATGAACTGTTCTTGCACTCATGCTAGTGTTGAAGAAATCCAGCCCTCAAGTTGTCTTGATGTTTAACTGATTATAAAACATTAACTTGAAATGACGTAATTGTTTAATTCAGTCCATATTGGATTTTACGGCAAATTTTTAAGAATTCCGCAACAAATTTAAGCAAATTCTGCATCCTATTTTTCAAAATTCTGCAGTTAAATACCTGAAGAAACAACAAAAAATGTTAAAGAATTTTAAACTTTTTTTCTTAAACCCAAAGCTACAACCGTTTTAGAGCTTCATGACATTCTAGGTACACCCAGCATTTTGTTTTTATCTTGCAGGATGATTTTTAGATCTAGAAAGATTATCTAAAACAGCACTCTTACGAGTGTGATCAGGACTGACATTACAAACTCTGCAAACTATCCTTTTGTTTTATAGTCAATCTTGATTCAACTTTCAAAATAAGTAAACTCCGCTGCAAGAAAACGGCCAATTCTGCATGAAAATGCGTTTTGCGTGGCCCAGTCATTTTTCTGCATTAAAAGGTAATTTCCACAATTTATTCTGCAACTGCGGAACCATGAAGTCCAGGACGGACTGTTAATTGGATCATCAAAAGGAATGGGCACGTATATTTTTACAAATGCACACCTACTTTATTTGTGTGGTGCCCTATGAGTATGACACCCTTAAAAACCTACATTTCTATCTCTGTAATTATAAAGTAGTCAATATAACATGTTACATTTGTGATTACACTTTCACAGCAAAGAGAATCAAGGGATACCTGAGAGTATGTTTTACCACAGTTTGAATTCAGTGAAGTTTTTGTGTTCCAGGAAACTCTGGCCGGCAGATGCCTGTGTTGTCAAATTTCTTCCGCCTGGAGACAGCGCCTGATTGGATGTTGTATCAGTATCATGTGGACTTCAATCCACCAATAGACTCCAGGAGATTAAAGAATGCCTTATTAATGCCACATGTTGAAAGACTGCTTGGAAATACCGGGCTTTTGATGGCATGATCTTATACTTACCAAGAAAACTACCGCAACAGGTGAGCTTTGTTTGTCTTTTCTTGTTTTGTGCTGAACTCAATTGGGTCGTGTAGCCTAGTGGTTGATGTGTTGGCTCGTCACACCAAATGCTCGGGTTTGATTCCCCACATGGGTACAATGTGTGAAAGTTAAAGCCCTTCACTCAGCTATACTCTCGTTGTATGATGGTGGGTAGCCTGGTGGTTAAAGCGTTCGCACACCAAAGACCCAGGTTTGATTCCCCACATTGGTACAATGTGTGAAGCCCAGTTTTGGTGTTCCCTGCCATGAAATTGCTGGAACATTGCTAAAAGCAATGTAAAACCAAACTCACTCACTGTGTGATGGTTGTCTTAAAATGGAGATTGGATGAGGCAATCCAGTGATTAATATTGCAGGCATCAATGTAAACAAGGGGGGGAGAGATGCTATGACATGCGTCAACCAAGTCATAGACCTTACCAACCTCATTTTTTAATCAATTTTAGCCTGAACCTTCTTGGTTAATAAGCATGTAAATATTGGCAGTTGTCTTGCTAGTCATGAAATAGCATTTTTGGGCTGATTTGTGAGATTGAATACCTACAACTGCAAACACATTTTGGACTCCAGGTGGAACTGCACACTCAGGTCCACATCTGGTTTAGACTTAGTGTCCAGTAGAATATCTGGGTTAGGTAGGAAAACAATATATGGATGAACAACTTCTCTATTACCCACAACGAAATGTCACTCACACTGTAATAAAGACGTTCATCCATATATTGTTATCTTTCCTTACTACTCAACATCTAAATGCCTCTCCAATATTATATGTTGGTTAGAATTGCTCTCCAGTAGGCTGTCACTGTAAGTCCCCATGGTCCCTAGTATGGTGATCTACCTTCAGTTGTTGGCGATCTATAGCCCAATTTTACATTGTATTGTCCAGAAATAATTTTCTACTTTTAAAGATATATGCTAGCTAGTTTTAACTCAATCTGTGATAATCTAGTGGTTTTACTGTCCTTCGTTGACAGGGTTTTATATATTATATGTATGTATTACAAATTTAGAACTAGTTTTAGTCACGATATGGCTGAGATATTGCCGATGTGACTTTAAATCTTAACTCACTCACTCACTCACTCCAATAGCCTGTGTGGGTTAGAACTTATAGCCCACATTGTTGAGAATAGCCAATCTGAGTAAGATTTAGTCCCAGTGAACATTTGCCACCCAGAAGAGTGTACAGTGTTCACAATTGATGATTTGATTGATGTGTGGTTGTTTGTGGTTCATTATATTACTTTACTTTAAGTTTTCTGTTACTTTCAGCTGACCGATGTTGATGACTTGTTTTATCTCTGTATCATTTTGTAGTTAAATATAATTCCAATGTTGTGACTGTTTCCTTTCAGACAACTGAAGTCTTCTCCACCAGAAATTATGACAGTGCCCAGATCCGTATTACAATCACACTTACAAACGAGCTGCCTCCAACCTCCCCACAGTTCATTCAAGTGGCAAACATTCTCTTCCGCAAGTAAGTATCGTTATTTTACACAGAATATGATATCAGATGAAGTTTAATGTTACTTAGTGTTTTTTCCAGACTGCCGCAATACCGCGATATTGTGACAAATAGAGCATAGAGCTGCGTCCCAATAACTAGATAGTCTTTCTTCACTCAGGTTCTTTCGGGCTGGTTTGTGTTTTGCTACGTTGCAAAACTTAAAGATTTATTACAAGAATTTCTGAGTTATAAATAGTTCATCTCCAGAAAAAGCCTGACATTTGGACCTTTTACCCTAAAAGATCCCTAAATTCATTTTAGTGTTGAAAAAGGCCCTAATTACCATTAATTTGCCCTAAAAAGGTGACCCGTGAAGGTCCGGGTTAGAATGAGCCTTCAGTAACCCATGCTTGTCGTAAGAGGCGATTGACTAACAGGTGGTCAGGCTCGGGATGTTGTCAGGTTCGGTTCCCTGACATGCTGTTTACTGGTTGACTCACATGTCATTTACAGGTTCCCAATAGCTGAAATCGATGCTAGTGTGCTGTGGATCACTGGATTGTCTGGTCCAGACTCACCACCCACTCACTTATTTCACACTCACCCACTCACACCCGCTGCCACTATAGCTGGAATATTGCTGAGTCCACTCACTCATAAAACTCCATGCTCTCCACTCACTCACTCACTCACTCACTCACTCACTCACCACTCACCCACTCACTCACTCACTCACCCTAAAAAGGCTATTTAACAAAACTTATCGAGATTAATTTATGACAAGCATACCTTGCAATGACAGTGGTGTTAAGTTTTCATCATGTTTCATAACTAGAGGTGTAATGTTTGTTTACTTTCAGGTACCTGTCTATGATCGAGATGAAACAGATAGGACGGCATTACTTCAACCCATCTTTGTCTATAGACATTCCCAGGCACAAGTAAGCATGTTTTGATGTAGGACTTATCAACTGCTATTCCCTCTAAATATTTTAAACCACCTCTGTGATGAAAGTAGAGGAACATCTGCCCAGAGAACAGAAGCTCAACGGTTTGATTCACTGGCTAGAAATAAGATAACCATCTGAGATTGCTGGTGCTTTTCAGTGCGGGGCTACCCGTGAAGATCTGGGTTGGAATTAATCTTCAGAAATCCATGCTTGTCTTAAGAGGCAACTAACTGGATTGGGTTGACAGGCTCACTGACTTGGTTGACACATGTCATCGGTTCCCAATTGCGTAGATCGATGCTCTTGGTGTTGATCACTGGAGTGTCTGGTCCAGGCTCGATTATTTTCAGACCGCCGCCATATAGCTGTAATATTGCTGGGTGCGGCGTGAAACTAAACTCACTCACTCAGTGCGGGGCTGGTCATGGCCAAGGTCGTAAATTGCAAACAGGCACAACACAGGCCTGTTTGCGATGAATAAATGTATGTAAACACATGGCAGTTAGGTCTAAAAACCTAAGTACTGCTTTGATTTTTATATTGCATGTCTCATTTCGTAGGTAAATCTGTTGTGTATAGTTTAAACGGGTTATATACAGTGAGCATTGTTAAGATGAACTTGGTGTGTTGACCTCGTTACGTCTCTTCCCTTTTATATAGTGTTGAGACCCCGACAGTGACAGTTATAATAATAATATAGTCGAACTCTGATAACTCGATATCTCAGTTGTCTCGATATAACATCTCGGTCCCGGCAAAATCCTTCATAATTTATCATTATTCAAGCTCTTATAACTGGATGCGGATGTCTATTTCGGATATCTCGATATAATTTCATAGTCCCAACAAGCAAAATTACCCTTTTACCTCTATCTGCAAAGAAACTCAATATTAACCTACCTTTAATGGGCAAGTATCCCTCTGAACTGAGGTTGTTTCCACACGTTTAAACACGCTGCGGCATGAATCAAAGGGATGCGGTAGTGTAAACTAATTAGGGCTACTTGATTTGAAGGTGTCACTTGTTTGGTATGTAATTAGGATAAATTAAGAAGGCATTAATTAGGAAGTACTCATTGTTACGACTAAACACTACTGATAACGGATTATAGTTTCGAACCAAAACATTTCTTTCATTAGTAACCTGGATCTTCATTTGTGATGATATTCCCTGGTAGTATGTCTCGAAGTTCGGATAACTCGATATTTTTTCTTGGTCCCATGAATATCGAGAGAACGGTGCTCGACTGTAGTAGTGATAATGTGTCTGCCAAACTCCACACTAGATATGCTCACTGTCATAGTGCTAATCATCAACAACACAGCACATTATTACCCTAGATAATCCAAGCTGTCTGTTAGGCCGCAGAAGGTTAATAGTCATTTGACTTATACCACCGGGTACCCATTTTCTGCTCGGTGAACAGCAGAGATGCCAACCCATACAATTTTATCGTATTTGTTACGAAAAAACAACGCAAAATACGCTTGTACGATAGGCCACTAACAGAATTGCATCCCAGAATGATGCTTGCAGCTCATGCTGTTGATCACTGAAGTGTCTGGTCCAGATTCGATATCGTGTGAATTCTACAGAGTATGGTGTTAAACAACAATCGATCATGTGAAGTGACTTGGACATTTTGTTAATTTGTTTAGATCCCATGCATGTATTAATAATATGTTGTGTGTGTGTTTGCAGGTTGCAGGTGATGCCTGGCTTCACTACATCCATCCTGCAGTACGAGAAGTCTGTTCTGTTGGGTGCAGATATTGCCCACAAGATACTCAGGTCGGACACCGTGCTTGACATCATGTATGCCATCTATGAGCAAGACAACAGGAATTTCTATGACAAAGTTTTCAAGAAGTTTGTTGGTTCCATCGTTCTTACAAGGTATGTGTGGCCCTTGAATTTTTTTTTAGCTTTTTTCCTGAGTACGTGTTTCTTGTAAGAGACAAATTGACAAATTGCGAATTAATGATCCAAGTTGGTGACTTTGTTGATTCATGACACTGTATCCGAATGATCAACAGGGTTCACACGAGGTTTTTGAAAGGCATTTAGAAGTTGGACGAACATGAATACATAATGCGTTTCATGGATAACAACTTCTTTTTTATTCTTTATACAATGTTTCAGAGCTAATTCTTGCTCCATCATTCACCTGATGATTCGAAGTTCGGTAGCCTAGTGGTTAAAGCGTTCACTCGTCATGCCGAAGACCTGTATTCGATTCCCCACATGGGTACACTGTGTGAAGCCCATTTCTGGTGTCCTCAGCCGTGATATTGCTGAAATATTGCTAAAAGCGGCGTAAAACCATCCTCACTCACTCTCCTGATGAAGGAGCAAGAATAAGCTCTGAAACGTATTAAGAATAAAAAAGAAGTTATCCATAAAACCTGTCATGTATTCATGGTTCCCATGGTCTTAAGAAATCTTGAAATTCGAACATTTTACATTAAAAAAAGCCATATTTTTACCAAACTGGTCAAGTTATGAATTTGCAGGAAAATACCCAAATGACTGTGGATGTTGATCTCCCATCACAAAGCAAAACTTTCCCAGTGCAGCGATGTAGAGTTCTTTCACTCTGATGGCCGGTCCAACATTTGACCAACATTGTGTGTGTTCATCTACTAGCGTGTTTCTACAGTTACTTAAAACTGCTGATTGCCCCTACAAAGGCCTTAAATTTGATGATAATGTGTTCAAACCCCGATGAATCTTTGTCACAATATCTATCACTAGATTATCTCTCTTGATATTTACTGTTCAAGGCCATGTTGCCCGTGAAGATCCGGGTTAGAATTGATCTTCAGTAATCCATGCTTGTCGTAAGAGGCGACTAACGGGATCGGGTGGTCAGACTATCTGACTTGGTTGACATGGTTCCCAATTGGTTCCCAGTTGCGTAGATTGATGTTCAGGCTGTTGATCACTGGATTGTCTGGTCCAGACTCGATTATTTGGAGACAGCCGCAATATATGGAGTACAGCTGAGTGCGGCGTAAACTTAAGTCACTCACTCAAGGTCATGTAGCTAGATTATTCTCAAGAAAACATTGATGTTGAAAAGACTGAAACATTGCCTTGTTGAACGACAATGAGAGAAGAACATTGAACTTATTGAAAGTATTGTAGGAATTTAATGTCTCTTTTTCTATTGTAGATACAACAATAAAACTTACAGAGTAGATGATATTGATTGGGATAAGAATCCTCTGGACACATTCAAGATGAGCGATGGTTCCCAGATCACATACAAAGAATATTACAAGAAGGTTGGTCAAGTTTTCAACAGAGCTGAGAGATTAGATATGTTTTAGTTCAATCCTTTCCTGTGTGTGTGATGGGGATGGGGGGTGGCCTTGTGGTTAAGGTGTTCGTTTGTCGTGCCGAAGACCCGGGTTTGTGTCCCCACATTGTGTGAAGCCCATTTTTGGTGTTCCCCGCCGTGATATTGCTGGAATTTTTCTAAAAGCGGCATAAAACTAAACTCAACATTCACTTGAGTTAATGACAGTTTCATGATTTGAGTATGTTGTACAATTGACTGTTTTCATTGAAGCTGCACCTAAAAAGTCAGAAATCAAAGTTTTAGAGAGAGAGAGAGAGCGATTTATTTGCATGTAAGGCCATACATACATATTACATACTATAGTTGAGTTACCCAATGTGTACATAGTATGGATCGAAGAAACGATTTTGCTAACAATGTTTTGCAGAATAAACATTTCAAATATTTCACAAGATTGTTAATTATGTAAAATATCAGAGGATGTACAGAGACTTTGAATGGAGATATAGTGCCCACTTGATGTCTTTGGAATAAGACGTTGGCAAAGACTATCATGAAACTTAGTTGTATATAACATGAACTTCACCTTCAACAGCTTTACAATGCTTACATAATGCAACATTATCATTGACAGTAGCCAGACCTTTTCTGATTAACTGAATACAGAGTATATTACATCCTAATCTAAACATTGTAAAAATATGTTTATTATCATTACTAATATTAGACAGGAGATATTTTTCACAATTGTGAAAAATCAAAGTTTTAGTTTGTGTTGGTCATGTATTAAATAAATATCAACATTCTAAGACCTTATCTTCTTGAAATGTCGTATCACTTTATGTAACTCATTCATTTGTCATTTTCAATTCAGTCTTACGAGATCACAGTCACAGACGACAAGCAGCCACTGCTGGTCTCCAAACCAAAGAAGAGCGACATCAGACGAGGCCACACCGAACCAATTTACCTTCTGCCTGAACTGTGTACACTGACAGGTGAGTAGTGACAGCTTGGGAAATGTCGTACCTACACTGCAGCTCACTTCAGTAGCTCAAGGGGTGGTGGGGTAGCCTTGTGGTTAAAGCGTTCGCTCGTCACAGTGTAGACTGGGTTCGATTCCCCCACGTGTGTGCCATGTGTGAAGCCCATTTCTGGTGTCCCTGTCATGATATGGCTGGAGTATTGCTCAGTATTGATGAAATAACAGTTTCAGAATTTTTCCTTATCCTGACTCATGTATTATTGCTTGTCTCCTTCCTTTCCCGAACGTTAGTGGAACACTTGTATCTCCTTTTGAAGCTCCCTTATAAAAAGCAGACGTAAAAGCACTACTCACCACGAGTTGTCTCCCTCTCGGTTTTGGCGGGAAAACGGCGCCACCCCACAGTACCCGGACAAATCTTACAAGATTGATGACAAAAAGCTGGCACAGATAGACACTATGACCAGAAGGATGTTTTTCGGACTTAACAGATCCAGGGTAAGTAATGAAACGCTCATCTCCAAGTTCAGGAACTCTACTGCAGAGGAAGACCGGATGATTTATTCTGCCCTACTAACGCAGAAAAAGCACCACCAATTGATGTCAGAGCATTTATCATCCATATCAGCAAGACTCTGTACAGAGCTCCATGGTCTACAACATCCATCTTTGCAGGGGAGATTGACGAGGTTGCCAAGGAACTCACGAAGGAATCCAGGGAATTAAGTTCATTGATACACTAGCCAGTGTCATCAGGCAGACGTCCCAACGCTACTCTGGAGAGCGTACAGATCTTCAGGTATTTACATTGGCGGGGTTCAGCACAGCCTTGCTAAGGCTATGAAGTTACAAAGTCAACATATTCCCAACGTCCAAGCTTGGGAATTCCCGCTACTTTACATGGGACCCTGCATAAAGACTCCAGAGATTGAGGTAAACTACAAAATCAGCAACGACTCCCTTTGTAGAACTTACAACCAAAGTTGACCATCAACTCTACAAGGACCTGTGTGTTTCAACACAAAGAGGGTATTTACGACGCTTCATTGAGATCGATGAATGCAGTCTACAAGTGGCAGCGTTGAGGAGGTGTAGACGTCAGCTGATCATCGACTGCATTATCTGAAGTGACAGTCACAGCAGCCAGGAAAACAGCCTACCTACATCGGTATTACGCGGCGAAATTTTTCGCGCGTTTACCATGAAATCCTCTATACACGTGGTCACTCGTATAACTTCGGAAGGCTACGGACAAGACCGAGTGTTGATAAGATATCAACGACTGCACAAGATTCTACAAGGACCTTTTTTCAGCTACACCGGTGACGTCACATCACAGGAAGCTAAAGGAATCAAAATGCTGCATTTTGATTGGTCCATGAGAGACAACGCCCTGCGCAGAAGTCGGACGTAGTTCACATGTCAGGGAATTGTTTACAAGTGACAACAACCTTTCAACGGGAGGAAGGCCTCAATTACAGTCCAGTTAGACGGAACTACATTGATGCGGCTGTTTTCACAGGGTTAGAGACCTTCCCTGTCAGCATTAAAGACAGTTCATCAGGCTTAATTGCAGCAACATACGCTTGACGGACTTTGGTTACGGCAGCCAGTCTACTTTATATAGACTTCACAACGATGGCAGTCACAGAGTCGACATTGCTTCGCTTCCTTTACGGACATGGCAAGGGTTTCACGATCGTTGGATCTAGATACAAGCCATTGTATCTCAAGTACTACTCTCTCCGCTATTACTACGGTTGGCAGAGCCTACTCAGTCCTCAAGTCGGAACTAGAGCCTACACAGGACCTGCAGTTCCTAGCAATTCGCTCATCACAACAGAAAACCGCATAACAGTACCAGAGGACCGCTGGCTAAAGATACAACAGATGGTATCGCAAGCTCTACTCTCTCCGGGCCAATCTCGACAGTGGCAGAGTCTGTTGGTCTCCTCACGCCAGCACAAGATATGACGCGCTAGAGGGAGATTACAACTACGCCCACTACAGGTCTTCGTGAATTGCACATCTGACGATCCGACTCCCTTCGACTCTCGACAGACTAAAACCATATCTACTATGGTGGACTCAGAGATCGAATGTTTGCGGAGGCACCACCTACAACGAGTGCAATCTCTATGTGGACGATCTCTCCAAGGATGGGGAGCACACCTGACAACGGCGTCAGCTGGGAAATGGACGTTACAAGAGAAAGATCTGCATATCAACATGCTAGAAATGAAAGCAGTGATAAACGCCATACTCCACTGGACCAGCATTCTATAAAATGCTCATCTAACGGTACACACGGACAACTCCACAGTGGCGTTCTACATAGCAAACAAGGGTCAACAAGGTCGGCAAACCTTCTGAACCTGTGCTTTCATCGGTTCAGCATAACAGACAATCTGAACATCCACATAAAGCATGCCACATTCCAGGAGCCAAGAATGTGATAGCAGACGCACTATCTTGTCCAACTCAGCCATCCCCAACAGAATGGATGCTACATCCAGAAATCTTCAAACAGATCATACAAGAGATAGGAGCGCCACCAATAGACTTGTTTGCCGTAAGATTCAACAATCAACTGGTAACATTCGTCTCTCCAATACCAGATCCACGAGCATGGGCAACAGATGCTCTAAGCATCTCTTTGGGAAGGACTAAACGCTTTACGCTGCTCCCGCCACCAGCTCTAATACCGAAGTGTTGCAGAAAATCATGCAGACGAGGAACCTGCAACTGATTTTGATCGCTACTTTATTGGCCAGCGAGAATATGGTTCCCCATTCTCATACAAGAACTAGGACCGCCCAACTGCAACTACCAGAGTGGACTAACTTGCTAGTACATCATCCACACACAAAGCAAGCACACGGCAGCCCCAAGGTGTTCCGCTTTACACACATGGACCGTATCAAGATGCTTGAATAAGAGAGGATATTCCGCCAGGGCAGCTAAAGCGGTCACGCTTAGCTTTACGCGAAGTCAACACGCAACTTGTAACGACGACAAGTGGCTAAGCTTTGAGACCTACGCTTTGAAAACAGGCTTCACAGCCATGAAAGCGACACACCCTCAAGTGGCGGACTATCTTTGTCACCTAGACAAACGAAGCGGTTAAAAGGGTCAACACTCTCAACATACCTAGCGGCATTGAGCTCAGTTATCACTATGAGGACGCAGTGTAAAACTGACTAAGGTACCAGAGTTACTGGCCTTACTACTTTTAAACTGGAGGACCAACAACAGAGATTTAAAGTTCCGGCCTTGGACCTCAACATAGTTCTACGGCATCTCACCAGTGACGCTTATGAACCATTAGATAGGACATCTTTTGAGTTCTTGACACAGAAAACTCTGTTCCTGATTGCCTTAGCAACAGCAGCAAGGAGGTCGGAAATACATGCTTTAGACTTTGAAAGGACACGATTTGATGAAAATCGAAACATCGTGCATATGGGACTGAGATGGGACTTTATAGCAAAGAATCAACTGCCAGGTCAACCAGACAGACAATTCCACATCCCAGCACTATCATCAGTCCTTGGGCCACAGGATACACAGGACCTATCCTTGTGCCCAGTAAGAGCATTGAAAGTCTACCTACAAAGGTCTAGGACCAGGAGACTAAAATTCAAGCCGCCTTTTCATCCCTATATCAGCAGAGACACAGACTGAGATCTCGCGACTACGATATCAATATGGATGAGAACTGTCATTCCACGGGCCTACAAAGCAGCAGGACTTGATCCTCCAAGAGCCTCCAATCCACATGAAATTAGAGCTCAAGGCCAACACCTCCGCCTACATGGAAACTGCTCTATCACGACGATAATGGAGGGCTGCTTCTGGAAATCGGACATGGTGTTTGCCAACCACTACCTGAGAGACATCGCCACTGAGGACGTCTCTGGCATTCACCATTTCGGCCCATTTGTTGTAGCACAACAATTGACAGTTCCACAGAGGCGTTGAGACAGAGTCTCGCCCTTTTATCACATGACTTGCAAAAGCCTACACTCAGGAGAGTTATAGCTTTAGAGTCCATATGCACGTCTAAGACAGACTAGCATAAGTCTTGTAAGGATGTACTCGTACATAAGAAGGGTCGCTTCTCCACTTGATGATGGAGTTGCAAAAATCCACATAAAAATGTTAACAGAAGCAAGGACCAAAAGTTAACAATTGTGGTCCCCCCATCAGAGAAAGCTGGAAGTAAAGGGTTACAGCAGCAGAGACTAGCAGTAAATTGAAGTGCTACCAGGAAGTTCCCATAGGTGGGTATGCAAGACGTAAATCACCAATTGGAATCCAGAAGTGGCTTGACCCACCACCAAATCCGTCGGATTCTACAAGCAATAATATCATGATGAGTCAGGATAAGGAAAAAATATGTAATTTTCTGAGTAAAATTGATATTTTATACTTATCCTGACTCATGAGGTAAGCCCTCCCCAACCTCCCTGCTAGGCACTTTGGATTTCCCTGTAAATCGTAAAAGTGTCGGGCTAGCAATCGGGAGAGAGGGAAGAGTGGGAAGACGGGTGGCGCCGTTTTCCCGCCAAAACGGAGAGGGAGACAACTCGTGGTGAGTAGTGATTTTACGTCTGCTTTTTTTAAGGGAGCTTCAAAAGGAGATACAAGTGTTCCACTAACGTTCGGGAAAGGAAGGAGACAAGCAATAATACATGAGTCAGGATAAGTATAAAATATAAATTTTACTCAGAAAATTACATTTCTATATTTTTCTGATCACACTGCATCAGAATTCATCTCGAAAATCACCAGTAAATCGCGGGGATGTGTGCACAGCTGATAGCTATTTCCGGCTCTGTATATGAGACAAAATACACACGGTAATCTTTATCCCTGCATATATTACAGAGCAAAGCAAAAACAAATTAGAACTGAAATGGTAAACAAACTAGTGATGTTTAATTGCAAATTTACTGTCTTCTTTTTTTCGTTCACTCAAAGCGATAGGTGATGTCCTTTTCTTACCCCTGAAAAACTGTTTCATGAAAGTGGAACCTCAGAGATCTTCACCCCTGCTTGGTGTCAGCCCCCCCCTTCTACAATCCAAATTGAGGGGCCCAGATCTAAGGAATTTTCTATGATGCTGCTGTTGCAGCATGGAAATCTAAGAGAGACGCGTTTTATTTCACAAGTGTTGAATCAAAGGCCATTTAAGAAAACTCATGAATAGTTAAGCACTGTTGTGATGGCATCAACATTACAGTAAATACCTATCTTAGTCAATATGTGATACCCCTGCTTGGTGTCAGTATCAAGTGCATAAGGTTACTCCCTAAAGAGGGGTTTTTGTAACAGTTAATGGGAATGTGCCCCTTAATCCCAAATTCCTGGATGCAACACTGTTGCTAAAAGCAACATAAAACTCACTCAGAAATCACACAATCAATAAAGCTGAAAAAACCCTTTATAAAAGTAGTAAATATAGATATTCCATTCTTTAGCGGCGGGGGACATTGCCATATCAGTGGCAAACACTTGTACAGGATGGTTTTACATCTGTATCTGTGATTTTCTGTTCGTTTTTTTATGTAGATCTTCAACATGTTTCTATGGTATCGATTTATGTGTCATGAATGTATAACTTGTTTTGGTAACTATATGGTTGAAATGTGGCCAACGTGACTAGAAATCTTAACTCACTCAACTAGTCTCACCCCCCCTGCTGGGGCAGTTTGGTGGAACAGAGGTAAAACTGTACGCTCATCACGGCGTAGATAGGGTTTGATTCCCCACATGGGTACAATGTGTGAAGCCCATTTCTAGTGTTCCCCAGCCGTGGTATTGGTGGAATATTGCTAAAAGTGGTGTAAAACCATACTCTCAGACAAGTGGTCATATCAGTACCTGTGCAGTAGATTCTTTTCTTTGAAAAGGCCACTTGATTATTTCACATAGCTCCTATATGTATAAGATACTTGTACTATAACAGAGCTCCAGATCAGATTTAGCTCATGTGGTTACTGTACCCAATGTATTTTTTTGGAGTGGGTATTATGAATGTTTAGTGGGTATTTCATTTTCCGTTACCCACTGCTTTCAAATATGTGCGTATTTCAGTCATTTTACTCACCTAAGTATTATGTCATTGAGTAAGTTTACTAAGCAGGTATGTTCTGCCTTGTGTCATACCTAATCAAAACCAACTTAAATATAATGGAAATGATTTCATAAAAATCACTCATCCTATACTGACAGTACAACACTTGTCCTATACTAACAGTACAACTTGATAACAATCGATGTCTTTTTCATTACGCAAGCGATTTTTATAAATATATTCTATACGCATTTGTTTTAAACTTTTTGCGTATCTAACATTTTAAATGTTAATTGGTACGCAACAATTATTTTTCAATGCGTAATGGGAAATTTTCTATGCGTATTTTACCCAGATACGCAGCTTATCTGGACCTCTGCTTTAAGAAACGGAAGTTTCCTCCTCAAATAGACTCAGCTATAGGATCATAGCTGCCAACTGTTTTCCAATTGTCATCAGTTGTGACTTTTGAGGGGGAAACAACTATTGCTTTGTTTCAGTCGAGACACTGTTGTAGTCGGAAAGAAACAAAGAGATAAAGATATTAATTATTTTTCTGAATTCCATGCCTATAGTATACAGCATCTTGGTGTTCTGATCGTAAAATTGAAACAAAATATCCATTGAATCTTGGGAAATATGACAGCTGTGTGAAAAGATGTTGTACAATGGTTTGAATTACAATGCCATGAAACCTCTCACACAGGTCTGTCTGAAGAAGTTCGTGCAGACTTCAACGTGATGAAGGACGTGGCAACCCACACCCGCATCGGGCCAGACGGCAGATCTAAAACGTTGACCTCATTCATAAACCAGCTCAATACGTAAGTGTTTGGCATTCACTTTTTTAATATAAGAATAATAGTCCATTTATCATGCATATTGCTCCATGCACAAAGCATGCTCGAAACGCCCAAACAATCTGATTATTATTACCCCATATAACTGTTACGCGCTAGAGGGTTATAGCAGTGTTTCCAGTGTCTTAATTATTTATCGGACACTGTCCGGCAACCTAAAATTTTACCGGTCAAGAATGAAATTTGCCGATCATATCCTATTACAGTTATCCCTCGGAATAACGCTTTTCGCGATACCGCGGATTCGGTTAAACCGCGGGGTAATCATAAAAAAAGTTGCCCAGCAATCACACACCTTCACGTCGAGAAAAGCACATCAACAAATCCGCTATTGAGCTCTGGTTAATCATGTTGTAAACTAGGGAAATTCAGTGCGGATTGCAATTAAGTGTTTATCGTACATATCCATGGTTTTTCAGACACTTAAAACATGCAGGGTTTTCTCAATAATAATCAGACGAACAGCGAAACATCGTAATAACTTAGACAACTTTATCATAAAGACATGCCATCAGCCGAGTACTTACAATGTTTGCTGTGATGCACCGCGTTATAGTGAGGGTAAACACTGCCATCTGAGAACGTATGATGTCAAAACATATTGGACCAAAACATCGGTGCACAGCTGATGGCTATTTCGGCTTAGTTGAATAACAGGTAGCATAACAGGAACAACAATTGAATTATCATGTCTGTGATGGTTGAATGCAAGTTTCCCTTACATACTTCTATTTTCACTTACAAAGTTTGTTTTTTCACCTCAACGATACGATATCGTTTTGACTGGGCACAATACACGATATAGTAGCAGGTTTGTGATGTCCATGGAAAATACGATTTTACTTGGCCTTTTTTTATGTAATAGTTTTCAATATGTTTCAACAAACGTTGATATGTACATATCAAACAGAACCTAAAGTGGTGCCTCTTGCTATTTGCAGATTTTAGGCATTTATATTTTCCACCATATTCAGACCTCAGGGCTTCGTTTCTGGAGCACAACTCGAAAACCGTTCAATTTTACAAGACTTAGCAGACATATCAAACAGATCTTGAAGTGGTGCCTTTTCCTATTTGCAGATTTTGGGCATTTATATTTTTCATGATTTACATGGAAACCATTTTGGACTTAGTCTATTAACATCAAGTTCGACTTAAATTAAGTAACTGTCAAATGATTTGTTCTTTCAAATTTGTGGGGGCCGGGGGGGGATTTGTCATCTTCTGATGACTCTTGTTTACATTTAATACCACACTCAGTAATATTTAATTTTTAGAGAACAGGGACCGCCTCCGTGGTGTAGTGGTTAGAGCGTCTGCCCGGAGAGTGGAACGTCACGGGTTCGATCCTTGACCGCGTCATAACAAAAGACGTTAAAATATGGTACTTGTTGGTCCCTGCCTGGTGCTCGGCATTAATGGGTACATCAAGGAATGGTCGGCTTGGAGTCAGTATAATGTGTCTGAGTGGGGTATTCATGCTTCACTGCAGCACATACACATACACACGCATGCACGTCGTCATATGAGCGAAATATTCTCAAGCACGACGTTCAACCCAATTTCACCTCACCTCACTTCAGAGAACCGAAGATAGTAGTATTTGGCAAAGCAACTTTCCTGTAAGGAAAGCCCTTAACAGTTATAACAGATGTGTTTTGCTTGCTTTAGTCACCCGAAGATAGCAGAAGACATGCGTGGATGGAGGATGCGTTTCCAGCCCGAGTTGTTGCCGATACAAGCAAGGGTTGTACCGCAGGAGAAGATAAAACAGGGCAGGGATGCTGAGGTAATACTCACAATTATCTATATTCTATTTTGCTTATCAGTGGTTGACTCAGTCTGTGCCAGAAATGTTTCAGGCCTCTAACTTGAATTTTCCCCCTTGCATTATTATGCCTCCGATTATTAATGCTCGGGGATATAGTCAACACACCACCTGTCTGTATGTCAGTCAGTCCATAATCATTTCGTTTCTGGAGCATAACTTAAAAAATGTTCAATATTTTTCAACAGAAATTGGATAATATCTCAAACAGAACATAAAGTGGTGCCTTTTGCTATTTACATATTTGTCTTCTTCTTTTTTCTTGGTATGGAGACTTTCACTGCGCTTTTGTTTTAGGTACACTACAAGCAGGAGGATGCTGACTGGTCGAGGGATATGCGGGGCAAGCACATGCTTGTGCCAGTCAACCTGGACAACTGGGTTGTCCTGTCTACACAGAGAGACTCCCCGCTGGCACAAGACTTGGTACAGACCCTGAGTAGGGTTGGACCACCCATGGGCATGAACTTCAGCAAACCTATGATGTATGTGTTTCTTCATCCGGGGCGAGGGGTTAGCATAGTGGTTAAAGCACTTGCTTATCACGCTGGAGGTCTGGGTTTGATCCCGGACATGGTATAACATGTGAAGTTTATTTCCGATTCCCCGGCTGTGATATTACTGGAATATTGCTAAAAGTAAATAGAAACCCAACTCCAAGAGGTGTTCTGGTAGGAAATATCGGCGATACTTTCCATTTTGCAAATGGTGTAAAAACAAAGGGAATTCAGTATTTATTTGTGTGAAAAAGTGCCCATTTCTGGTGTCCCGCGCGTGATATTGCTGGAATATTGCTAAAAGTGGCGTATACCTAAACTGACACTCAGTCCTGTGAGATAAAGTAACAGGTCTAAGTTCCACTTGAATTAGGTTTTATCCCGATTTTCTCACAGGGGTGGAAATAACCCATTGCCTGACGTCCGAGTCCAGTGTGTTTTTTGTCGGGCAAGCAAATTTGTATATCACACTGTACCAGTGTCCAGTTGACTTTCCAATGTTAAATATGTTGTTTATTTAAAAAATCAACAAGAAAACGGCGGGCAAGTGATTTTACATGTGCCACTGTACCAGAGTACACTAGCAATCTTAAAGTTCTTTCCACCCCTGTCTCAGAGGCTAATATTCAGCACAAAGTGTGCGGCATAAGTCCTTAAATGTTCCCAAGTGGGGTAGACTAGAGGTTTAGGTGTTCTGTGTATTCAGTACAGGCATTGTGCTCGATTCGTCCTTCAGGTGTGCGCTTCCGAATGATCGCAATGAGACGTACCTTCAGTTCTTGAAACAGCAAGTCACGGAGAATACACAGATGGTGGTGTGTCTGTGCCCCAACAACAAGAAAGACAGATACGATGCCATCAAGAAGTTTTGTTGTGTTGAACACCCAGGTACAGTTTAAGGAATTAGTTCTTTCCGTGAATATTCATAGCTGCCATAGGGGCGGTGGGGTAGCCTAGTGGTTAAAGTGTTCGCTCGTCACGCCGAAGACCCGGGTTCGATTCCCCACATGGGTACAATGTGTGAAGCCCATTTCTGGTGTTCCCCTTCGGTGATATTGCTGGAATATTGCTAAAAGCGGCGTAAAACCAGACTCTCTCACTTGTAGCTGCCATAAAAATGCAATCCGGGATGGGACTCATCCCAACAAAGGTACTAGAATTTGTACTTTACTAAGAAAGTGTAATCCCAGATAAAACATTACATTTGACCACTTCTAAATGACATTGTGTATTCATAAAAATACAACTACAAAAGTTATTTTTTCCTTCATACATACAAATGATACGCCAATCTAAGAGTGAAAGGGGCAGTGGCATAGCCTAGTGGTTAAAGCTTTGTTTTTCATACTGAATACCCTGGTCTGATTCCCCACGTGTACTTTTCTAGTGTACTCTGGGGGCGGTTGGGTAGCCTAGTGGTTAAAGCGTTGGCTCGTCACGCCGAAGACCAGGGTTTGAATCCCCACATGGGCACAATGTGTGAAGCCCATTTCTGGTGTACCCGCGTGATGTTGCTGGAATATTGCTAAAAGCGGCGTAAAACCAAACTCAGTCAGTCAGTCAGTCTAGTGTACTCTGCTGTGATATTGGTGGAATATTGATGAAAGTGGCATGAAACTAAACTCATGAATGAAAAATCTCTGACTGAATTTATTTAGACATCGTTAGAAGTGTGTCTTATTGATGGACTGGCGTCGTAAGTATTGCCTCTGTTTTGTCAAGGCAGCCCATTGGTACTATTGGAAGTTGATCTAGTCGAAATATGAAACTTCCAGTAAAACTATCAACCAAGTTTTTGAATCATGTGGTGGCAGTGCTTGGTAGCTGATTGTAAATCTGTTTCCAGTGCCAAGCCAGGTGGTTGTTGCTCGAACTGTGAGCAAGAAGCAGATGTTGATGTCTGTAGCGACCAAGATTGCCATTCAGCTCAACTGCAAACTTGGAGGGGAAGTCTGGGCAGTAGAAATACCGGTAAGTAGTGATGTGACCTGCATGGGGGTCAGAGTAAGAACAGGTTCTCACAAACATGCCTCGTTGGAAAATTTCTGTAAGATTTACCAATTTGCAATTAACCTTTAACTGGTTTTTGCTCACACAGAATATCTGGATATATATCTTACACTGATATGAAGAGGACAATGAAGTGAAAGAGGACTGTGATACAAAGGGTTTACACTAAGTCTTAATTTTGTTTAAATATCTTTTGTTTTTATATATTCAATTCATGGAATTGGGCTCTTGGTGTAATTCCTACTGTTTTATATATGGTAAAGAATCATCATGCTTTCAAACACACATTTGATTCCTGGGCAGTTGGGTAGCCTAGTGGTTAAAGCATTTGCTCGTCATGCCGAAAAACGGGGTTCGATTCCCCACATGGCTACAATGTGTGACGCCTATTTCTGGTGTCCCTGCCATGATATTGCTGGAATATTGCTCAACTCTCTCACTCACTCATTTGATTCTTGGAGTTTGGTTTAGCTTGTGTACAAGTTTTTGAAAGGCATTGAGTTTGTAGGGTACCACTTACATATTCAGAGATGCCAACCCCTACAATTTTGTCGTATTCGTTAAGAATAAAACAACACAAAATACGTGACTACGATAGCAGTAAAACTATACGAATTTTTAAAAATAATACATTAAATTAAATTATCAAATAGCATACATACATTTCAACCGCATTTTATTCAGTATCACGCTATATATGGATACTTAATACTGATTTAGGTGAGTACAATGTCAATAACAAGGTCTTAGACTATATTTACATTTTTTATTTAATATGAAAATTCTTCGGGAAAGTTCATACTAATTTTTGTATCAGGTATTGGCCAAAATACTAATTGGGCTAAATTAGGGTTGTCATGTACACATTTGCTGAAAGGTGCTTTTAACCATGTGAAGAAGTGTGAACATGTGCTGATGAAATTTTGCTCATGTTGGTGTGGTAATTTTAATATGCTGCATGTTAGCTAGATCATGTAGCTAACACTCTACTGAATGCCTTGTCTATCTGTCCCTAATATATCTATCTATATATCGACTGCTGTATTTTCCTGTGTATAATTTAATCTTTTCAAAGGCTCGCTGACTAAGTTGACACATTTCATCATATCCCTACTGCGTAAATCGATGCTCGTGCTGTTGATCACTGGATTGTCTGGTCCAGACTCGATTATTTACAGACTGCCGCTTAATAGCTGGAATATTGCCTAGTGCGGTAAAACTAAACTCACTCACTCGCTCATATCCTGATGTGTTTGTGCTCTGTTGGTTAAATGGTTTCTCAGTATGATTCAACATGTTTGAACAAATACCTTTCAAAAGAAAAGTATTTCCTAAAGCTGTCTTCCCTAAATGTCATTTTAAATTTGGCAGTGGGACAGAAATGTTTATCCTCATGGAACCATTGAGTTTGCCTAAGTGTATTGTATGAAGGACCAGATAGGCATAAAAATTCTGAATCATGGTGTTGAAACCTTCAGTAGAACAAGCTTTCTAGCTCTGACTTATCATTTAAACTAGTTGAAAGATTTGATGGTGGTTGGAATCGACTGCTACCATGACTCGGCAAAGAAGGGGCGCTCTGTGGGTGGCGTGATTGCAAGTCTTAACCCACTCCTTACCCGCTTCTACTCACGCTGTACCTTCCAACACAATATGCAGGAGTTAATGGATGGCCTCAAGATCTGTATGAATGGTTGGTTCTCCAGGCTGCCTGACATTCAGTTTCAGGAGTTCAGTTGCGTTTTCAGCGTTGTTGCTTGTTACATCAGTTGCGTTTTCAGCTGTTTGGCTGAAGCTTCAGCATGGGCTTTGAAGGTGGCATCGGTTCTGGTTCACTGACGGAAACATATTCACGAAAATATTGAAGTAACCAAACTTTGACATCCCATCATGAATATAAAGGAGGGGTATATAAATTAAGTACATCCAACTACCCAAATGGTGATTACAGAGAAATACCCCAACCACCCCCAATGTTTGAAGTTGTTTAAGCCTTTGGGCATTTAACATGAACACGACTATTCTGGATTTTCGTCCGTGTTGCATTGTGGTTAATAGATGGTGTACTCAAAGATCGATTTTGCGTGCAATCAGAGCTTGAAAGATTAATTTGTCTGATTTGGTCAACATTACGTCTGGTACTATTTGGGGTTTCAGAATACAGTGTTTCTTTCAAACCAGGAAACCTTTGCCATAAACTTCGTTTTTCTGATCACAAGTTTGAAACATGGTGTTTTGCGGTATCTGAAGAAAAACGCACAAGTGATCATTGACAGAGGCCTCAAAGTCGAACCTAATGATGACAATATTACCGTGGCAAACTCCACCTTCAGAATTTAGTGGCTGTGAAATATTCAGGAAGTTTTCGTTATAGTTCTTTCTTTATTCTTGGCTTGATTTCCTTGACTCTGAAAATTTTACTTAGAGGCCTGCTTATATGCAGTATGATCACTTGTCTACTAACATCAACTATGCATGTTGCCAGGAATTTGGCATTGTTAATTCGTTTTATTCATTTCATGTTCATTATTTGTTCATTATTAATTCATTATTAATTCATGACTGTTTTGCACGTTCAGCTGAGCCTCACGATGGTCATAGGTATTGACACGTATCATGACTCGGCCAAGAAAGGTCGTTCTGTTGCTGGTGTAGTGGCCAGTGTGAACAAGAACTTGACCCGGTATTACAGCAAATGCACGTTCCAGTTCACCCACCAGGAGTTGGTGGATGGTCTTCGGACGTCTTTCACAGGTAAGTCGCACTTGGTGTTTCGGCATACGAGAACATATGTTCCTTTGCAGGATGGGGTGCAGGTTAACCCTAGTGGTTACAGTGTTCGCTCATCTTGCCGAAGGCCCGGGTTCGAGTCCCCACATGAGTCTGATGTGTGAAGCCTATTCTGGTGTCCCCCGTGGTGATATTGCTGGAACATTGCTAAAAGCGGCGTAAAACCCAACTCACTCAATCAATCTTTGCAGGATACATCCTGGTTTAGATATTTTTGTCAGGAAGTTACTATTTAATAAATTTCCTGAATAATAATTGCACAATTTTCAAGTGTTGTCAGGGGTGGAAATAACCTATTGCCCGAAGTCCGAGTCCAGTGTTTTTTTTCCATCGTGCAAACAAACAGTTGTATGTCATAATGTTATTTATCAATTGTTTATTTTAAAAATCAACAAAAACCTCAGAGTGGGTATGATGTTTGGAAAATGATCAGCGTTTCATTGAGTATTTTATGTGTATTAGTTTTGAGTTAGATTGCAATTCATGTTCCGCTTTTGACACTAGCAATTTTAAAGTTGTTTCCTGAATAATAGTTGTTGTCAAGTGTCAGTGCGGTGGTGTAGCCTAGTGGTTAAAGCATTAGTTCGACATGCCAAAGGCCCAGGTTAGAGTCCCTACATGGGTACAATGTGTGAAGCCCATTTTGGGTGTCACCTGGCATGATACTGCTCAATATTGCTAAAAGCGGCATAAAACCATACTCACTCAACTGTTGTCAGTTTATGGTAAGTAGTAATAAATGCACATTTTTGGGTTGATGTTTTGTTTGTTGGTTTTCTCTTTCGGAATTTTGTTATGCATGTTTGTCACAGGCAGTGGCAGAAGTACAGGTTAGACCTTGTGTTCTTATTAAATGCTGTATGACAAGTACATGCTGTATGCCACAAGTAAATGCTGTATGACAAGTGCTGACAAGTAAATGCTGTATGACAACAAGTGCTGACAAAGTAAATGCTGTATGACAAGTAAATGCTGTATGACAAGTAAATGCTGTATGACAAGTGCTGACAAGTAAATGCTGTATGACAAGTAAATGCTGTATGACAGAAGTTAGTGCTGACAAGTAAATGCTGTATGACAAGTACATGCTGTATGACAAGTACATGCTGTATGCAAGAAGGGAAAGAACCCCAGAAATTTGTCAAGTCCACGAGTTTTTGCATTGGCGTTTGATTTAAGGCTGGACTCATAAATGTATGAGCTGTCAACCCTTTCCAGTGCAGTCTAGTGATGCTGGCTTCATGATATTATTAGGGACCATAGTAGCACTTTTAAACGTCTGTCTTCAGCAACCCATGCTTTGTCAAAAGAGACGACTAACAGGATCAGATGGTCAGGCTCGCTGATTTGGTCGACACATCGTATCCCAATTGTCTAGATCGATGCTCATGCTGCTGATCACTGGATTGTTTGGTCCTATTATTTACCGATTGCTGCCATATAGCTGGAATATTGCTGAGTGCGGCGTAAACGTAAACTCACTCACCCCATTTCAAATTTTGAACGCCTGGCATTTCAGACAAAATATCATCTTGATCATCTTGCATGCATTCACAAAGATGCAGTGTCGCAAAGGCTCATGTGAGAATTAACGTGTTGCAGGAGCACTGAAGAAGTTCCATGAAGTCAACAGCAAACTGCCTGAGAAGATCATCGTGTACCGAGATGGCGTGGGAGACGGCCAGCTGCCAGCTGTGTATGAACACGAAGTGCCACAGATGATCCAGGCCATCAAGAAGAGTGGAGGCGCTGAATACGAGTATGTCGCCCGCTTTAACCTAGCAGGGCTCGATTTAGTGCTTTGTTACTTGCACTGGTGCAACCAAATATTACAAAGTGCAACCTAGTTATTAGTCTAACTCACACCAGGTGCAAGTCAATTTTTGAGTGGGTAAACTTCTGAATAAAGCATCTCAATAATTCAGTAGCATATTTCTGATATTACATATTGCAATAAAACAGTGCAACTGGAATTTGACTGGTGCAACTAGGTTTTTATCTTAGGTTGCACCTGGTGCAAGTGGGTTACCATCTCTTAAATCGAGCCCTGCCTAGACTTACAACATAAACTTAGATATTGGTTATTATATGCATTTATTGTTTGTGATGCCCTTTTCACCTGAAGATAAAGATAAAAATTAGTCATTGTTTGCGACGACTTTTTGATGTGACAGTATCTATTTTAGACAGAGGGATCTGGGTTAGAATAGGTCCCTAATAGGTTTGTCATTACTTAATTCCGTGGAGGCTTTTTCTGAGCAATGTTCAGAGGCCTTGAATATGTTTTGCAAGTCTCCTGTTACAATTTATACAAAGGTTTAGCAAATGTGACTTTGAAATTTCACTATTTCACCTCATGAGAGGTGACTGGTTGATGCAGTCATCAAATGCTGATTGCTAGGGATGATGCTTATTGTGTCATTGACTTAAATGTCAAGTCTGGACTTAGACTGCCGTCATATATACCCAACAAAAAAAAGTAAAGGACCACCCCAATTTTCAATATTAAAGTATTCGATAGTTCACGTTATGATCTATATAATACTTAAATATTGGGGTGGTCCTGAACTGATTTCGTTGAGTATAAATTAGTATTGGGAATTGGTTGAAATCTCACAATTGATGATTGCTTCAATACCAACGAACAATCATCGACAAAAATTGGTTAGCGTCATTTTTCAGATTTTCCTATCCAGATTGTTATTGCAGATATGTATAACATGATGCAACTTGCTACTTTCAAGTGATGACTAATATATCATGAACATAAACTTCCTGGAGTTTCGAGAAATATTCAGTCATGTTTTTTCAGTTAGTGAAGTGAGTTTTCTAAGAATTAAACACGTTTTCAGGCCCTGACAACTTCAACGATATGTTCCATTGTCAAGTATTTCAATATACCAGTAGTTCAAAATCGTATATTCGAATGAGAACTGATCGATTATTTAAATTAATCGGAACACCACTAGTATAAATATGGAATATTGCATTGTCCTGTCAAACACAAAACGAAGAAACAAACAATTCTTCAATGACCAGGCAAATTTCTTTGTTTTCCACAAGCACAGAATGCTTTTGGAAGAGGTGTCGAAAAAAAATGTACAACTTGTATTGATTGCACTTTACTCTTATGTTACCATAGCCCCAAGATAGCTGTTGTGATTGTGAAGAAGCGCATCAATGCCAGGTTCTTCGCCAAGAATGGCCCCAATACAGGCAACCCAATGCCAGGCACAGTCATCGACAGTGAAGTCACCAAGCCTGAGTGGTAAGTACACCCACCTTCGCCTATCGCTGTCCAGAAATGGCAGTTCCCAAATTTTGGGGTTAATCACTGAAAGAAACCTTTCAAAATTTCCCACTGGACCACAGGACCAGTCAGTGGACAATAATTAGTGGTCCTGTTTGTACTTCACTGGTCCAAAATAACATTCTTAGATTTACTTAACTTTCATTACAAAATTCACTGGCCACCTGGACCACAGCAAACTTATCATTTAGTGGTCCTGATGAATTTTTACTCGCCAGGGACCACAGGACCAGCGTAAATTCCGCAATATGGTTAATGGGTGCTGGTTGTTGACAGGCCAGTCAGTTTTGCATCCTACAACATTCAACATTTTTTAGCAGATTTACCGTTAAAGTAAACCAGTTAATAGCTCTTGCCCCACAACGAAGCACATGTGATACATGAGGCAAGTGAGTTTGTTCAAAACTGCCCCAACCCGTGAAGGTCTGGGTTAGAATTAATCTTCAGTAACCAGAGCTACAGATAACTTTTTGGGTCATTGAGTTATGTTCTCGCTTGTGTTCATCTCAATTGGGTATCCTAATTTTCCTTTGAGTAACCAAATACATTGTACTCATCTCACTCAAACTCAATTGGGTATTTTGCCATTTTCCAATAATTTAAAAATATAATAGAGTTTAAATTTGAGTGTTTTTTATTTATATTTGATCTGTAATATGAGAAGCGATAAGAAAAACTGCAAGTTGTCAAGTTCATATCCTGAAATAGAACCTCTCAGTATACCTCAGTTATAGTATCTATCCACCGGTACGCATATTAAGATTTGACATTTTTGTGTGTACGAGTGTAAGATCACATTTATTGAGTATTTACAAAAATTCAAGCGTACTTGTACGCAATAGACTTAATAGGAATTGAGTTTTCACATAAATATTTGCGTAATTTACGCAGATACGCAGCTTATCTGTACCTCTGAGTAACCCATGCTTGTCATATGAGGCAACAAACAGGATCAGGTGGTCAGACTCGATGACTTGGTTGACACATGTGATCGGTTCCCAATTGTGCAGATCAATGCTCATACTGTTGATCACTGGATTGTCTGGTCCAGACTCGATTATTTACACACCGCCACCATATAGCTGGAATATTGCGGAGTGCGGCGTAAAACTAAACTCACTCATAACTGCCTCTGTTCACCCAGCAGAAAATGGGTACCCGGTGGTATAAGTCAGATGACTATAACCCTCTGGTGTGCCACACATGCAGCTTTTATTATCCGGGTAATAATGTCCATGTTGTATGCACTTAGAGCATGTCTCTGCAGTGTGGAGTTCAGCGCTATATAAGTGGCCACATATAATATTTTGGTTCTTAAAATAAGGGTGGTGGAGGAGTTTAGTGGTGGAAGCATTGGCTCACCACACCATTACAGACTTACAGCAACGTTACTTCCAAAGAGGGGTGAGTTTGCTAGGGAATGTCATGAAAGATATGTCCCAACAGTCCTTATGTACAGTTTTTGTGTGTTAATGACAGCTGTAGCTCTTGATATGTTACTTGGGCAGGTGGGGTAGCCTAGTGGTTAAAGTGTTCACGCCCGTCACCCAGGTTGGATTCCCTATATTGGTACAATGTGTGAAGCCCATTTCTGCTGTCGTACACCATGATTTTGCTTGATTGTTGCTGAAAACCATATTCACTCATTCTTAAAATGAAAGGCATGTCCTTTGTAGATATTCATTGAATTACACAGTGAATGTACTTTTTCAAACAAATGTATCCTGCTTTAATGAATTCTGTCCCCTTCCAGGTACGACTTCTTTTTGATCAGCCAGTCTGTACGACAGGGAACAGTGTCCCCCACCCACTACAACATCATCTGGGACAAGACAGGATTGAAGCCCGATCACATGCAGAGGCTAGCGTACAAACTAACACATCTGTACTATAACTGGCCGGTAAGCCGACTTTCAAAAACAGCATAGCACTTTTACTTTTGGGTTTGATCCTTGTTAGAATGTTTGTCATAGGAGGTGATAAATGGGATCGGGTGGTCAGGATCGCTCGTCATTGTGATCCTGAAAACAGAGTAAGTTGCTGTTTCAAGACTTTTGCTGTAGGAGAAATACGTGATTCTATATTGTGATTGTTCGTAGATTAACTTGTCTGTGGAAGATGGGTGTGGGTTAGTTTAGTGGTTAACGTGTCCACTTTTCATGCCGAAGACTCAGGTTCAATTCCCCACATGGGTTTCATGCTCTTGCTCATGCACATGCTATCTTATGTCCTTGCTCACGCTTAATCTCTTGCACTTGCTCATGCTTAATATCATGTCCTTGCTCAAGCTTAATCTCTTGCACTTGCTTATGCTTATTATCATGTCCTTGCTCAAGCTTAATCTTTTGCTCTTGCTTAATATCATGTCCTTGCTCACGCTTAATCTCTTGCACTTGCTCACGCTTAATATCATGTCCTTGCTCACGCTTAATATCATGTCCTTGCTCACGCTTTTAATATTCCTTGTCCTTGCTCTTGCGCTTTAATAATATGTCCTTGCTCACGCTTAATATCATGCGCTTGCTCACGCTTAATATCATGTCCTTGCTCAAGCTTAATATCATGTCCTTGCTCAAGCTTAATATCATGTCCTTGCTCACGCTTAATATCTTGCACTTGCTCACGCTTAATCTCTTGCACTTGCTCACGCTTAATATCATGTCCTTGCTCACGCTTAATATCATGTCCTTGCTCACGCTTAATCTCTTGCACTTGCTCATGCCCAATCTCGAGCTCAATCTCAAGCTCATCCCCATGCTCTCTCTTGCTGATGCATGCAGAGAATGTCTATTAATTTCCAATGTCACTTCTTGCAGGGAACAATCCGAGTGCCAGCTCCATGCCAGTATGCACACAAGTTGGCTTTCCTTGTTGGTCAGTCTCTCCACAAGGATCCATCTCCTTCCCTGTCAGACAAGCTGTTCTTCCTCTAAGGATGAGGAACAAATGACACCGTCTGAGAAAAACAATGCTTAGTTGGCTTTCCTTGTTGGCCATTCTCTCCACAAGGATCCATCTCCTTCCCTGTCAGACAAGCTGTTCTTGTTCTAGGGATGAGGAACAAATGAGACCATGTGAGAAAATCAATCCTTAAGTTTCAAATAGATCATGTTAAGAACATGTCTGAATTACTGAACGTGAAAGTCCAGTGCAGACATTTCCAGCTGATAATCATTTTTGTTATATTAATGAATGCAAGATTTGTGACAAAGTCATATCAACTGTTTCAAAAGAATTGTGGAATGAAAGGTTGTTGTTGCAAGGGCATTTTTCATTATCATTATAAAATACGTATTCAATAGGTACGTAGTCATACAAGTCAAAGGCTAGTGAAGTTTCACTGCTCCAGAAGCTGATAAATACCTTTATCAGCATTATTCTGATTGTTACATGAATGAAAGACTTCTGTGAACGTTGACTTACCTGGTTTGAGAGAATATGTAATGCATGTTCGTGTTGAGGAAGTGCGTGTTTAGTTCATCCAAAGCATGTGTTAAGTTACAGCTATTTGTAGCGGAGTTATCTTCAGTTGCCATAATTACCACCTGGCGTGATTTTTCACCCTATCATGTATGTAAGTGAACATACCATTACCTAATCATAAGTATTTTCATAAGCTGTTTTACCTATTCTTTTGGTAACATAGTTACTGAATGTTTAGTTGTAGTTTAAAGTTAAGATATTTTACTCTGAAGTTATTTTAGTGCATACTCACTATATACTTTGAAAGATGTGTGAGTGTGGTATCACTGTTTTTATGTACTTTGTAAATAAAAAATATTACAAGTAATTTGTGTATTTGTTTCAGGGGTGGAAATAACTTTAAAATTGCTAGTGTACTCCGTTACAGTGGCACATGTAAAATCACTTGCCCTGATAATTTTTCCACTATACCGGCCGTTTTCTTGTTGATTTTTTAAATAAACAACATAATTAACATTGGAATGGAATATCAACTGGACACCGGTACAGTGTGATATACAAATTTGCTTGCCCGACAGAAAAAAACACTGGACTCGGGCGTCGGGCAATGGGTTATTTCCACCCGTGTGTTTGTGTGTGAAATTGATACACGGTAGTTGTATTATGTCAAAGGAGGGCAGCGTGGTAGCCTAATGAACGAAGCATCCGCTCACCACACTGGAGACCGGGTTCAATTCCTCACATGGGTACAATGTGTGAAGCCCATTTCTGGTGCCCCTGCATGATACTGCTGGAATATTGCTAAAGCTGCGTAAAACCATACTCACTAAAAGGATTTGACTGTCCAAAGTTTTCACAGCTTGAAGGGAATGGAACCTGTTGATAAAGCATCTGGTGCTGGCTAGATGGCTGAATTCAACAGTTGGCCCAAGTCACCATTGTGCAGGGATGAAACCCCCAGGCTCGCAAGGTCCCTATGATTGAATGTTTTGTTGGTCCTAACAATACCCATTCAAGTGATTCCCCCAGGATCAAAAAGGGCAGGGCGACAGAATTTCAAAACGGGCATGCAATGACAGACTAACAAGCATTATGTTAAGTAGTGGTGGTCCGATTAATTGTTATAATCGAAGATTGGTCGCAGTGACGAAACGACCAAGCAATCGATCATGTTTTCTCATAATCGAACACAAACATTTCGTGAACACTTTTTGCATTAACAATATTTTTCACACCGTTGGTTTTATCAGTTACATTCCATGAGTACTACAAGCTCGTTCCAAATCATGATTGAATTTATCTTAAAGACCCCAAGAAAGTTATGTTCCTAACATACTAGTTATCCGTTCAAGATGTGAAATTTGCCCCAAAAAACCCCAAAGAACTAATGTTTTTTCTTTGTTTTTGAGCATTAACAAAAATAACCAGGACAAATTCATAAATGACGCTAACCAATTATTTTCGATGATTGATCGGTTGTAATGAAGCAATCATCAATTATGAGATTTTAACCAATTCGAAAATGTTAAGTTATTCATACATATGATTCTTGAAGACTAAAAGAGCACAGTTATTTCACTTAACTTCAACATGAAATAGGAACTTAGAAACACAAGTGTTAATATCAATTATTGTATTTAAGTACTGTCAGAAACATAAACTTTATGAAAGCAAGACATGTAAGATGTTAATCAATAGAGGAGACATATTCAACAAGCATGAACAAGTATAAAATATCTTTGAGATGCCCCCTTGAGCCTGTACGCATCACTAGCATTTCATGCGAGGTGAGTCGACGGTCTGTTGTCATGCCTGGCTGGGCGACCTAATTGTCATCTATAGTCGGATTTATTATTTTCTGTAACTATTATTTTTTCTAAGTTTTGTCCGATTTTACGAGTAAACATGCTTTTCTGGATATCCTTTTACGCATTCCACTGAACGCCCAGTTGTAGTCGTCACACAGACCCTGAAGCAAATATATCAATGACATCCCATGCAAGTCTAGAAAATGTGGCAAGTCTAGATTTCCACAGCTTCAGGCTGAAAATGAAGAAAGTCTCAGGCCTTTTTATTATATTTTGGGTTTTGTTTTCACTATTTGTTTTTTTTCTGTAAAATATGTTCATTTCAAAGACTAGTTGTTAGTCTAGTCCAGTTGGGCCGATGTGGGTTATTTCGACATATGCTATTTGCAATTGTGTAAATTTTAGGGATACAGAGTAACAGCCAGTGTTTTTTTTCTATTTCCGACAGTACTTTAAGAACATGGCAAAGACACCAAATAAAAGGGCAGGGTTCTGCACTCTGCTAAAAATGCTTAGGGGAAGCATTACTTGCACATAATCATCAAGGACTGCCAACATCTGAGACTTTTCTCCCACATCACATTGTGAAATACCCGGTACATGGAATGCTGTAAGGCTGCCTGCTATCCAACTCACTCACTCTCAGGGGTGTTGGGGTACGTTATAGTCTGTTTGCAGTGAAAACCTACCGATGAATTTCACTTTAAACAAGAAAGTAAATCAAGTAAAGTGAAATTAAGATTGCGAATCCTCATAATTTTACCTTGCCAATTGAACATTTGAATCTCAGAATTTTATTCATCATAGAATAAAAGTTGTTTAACAAACGATCATAGATTCAAATCGCTATTATTGGTTTGTATTACAAGGGGTAAGCGCAGTAGTTGGAACACTGAAACAAATGCACGTGCGGTACGTGATGAGCGTTAACTTAGACCAACCCTACTTGCTCTCGGTGTTTCATTTAATGTGCATACCCCCTTGTAATACAAACCAATAATCACGATTTGAAACTATGATCGTTTGTTAAACAACTTTTATCCCAAGTATAATAAAATAAAGATATTTAAATGTTCTGTTGGCATAGTAAAAATATGAGGATTTGCAATCTTAATTTCACTTAATTTGATTTACTTTCTTGTTTAAAGTGAAATTCATCGGTAAAATTTTCACTGCAAACAGACATAACGTATAGTGAGTGTTGGATTACAGGCAGCGTATACATGTACACAAAGAACTTGATTATGCATTTGTGCAAGGATAGGTTTTCAACACATACTTAAAACTTCTGGTCACCACGATGAAAAAACACGAGTTTTTCTGACCGGCATGATCCTTCGACTCCCCCCCAAAACAACAAAATGATTGGAATCCATGTTTATTTTATGATGTCAAGTGAATATTGACCTATCATTCGTAGAAAGCCAGGCGCTCTTCGAAACGGAGTATGTCGTAATTTGATATATACACAAAGAACCCCTATATTTTTGCAATGATAGGTTTACAACAGGTACCTAGCACTTCTCTTGGTGACCACGATGGAACAACGTCTGACCCGTATTGATCCTTTGATCCGTATGATGATTGTAATACATGTTGATTCTATGATAATTGCTAATTTAAAAAAAAAAACACTGATTTTTTTATACAAAACCACGTTAGTACAAGTATGGCCATGGAATTTTTAATGTTGAATTTATTGGCGAATGCGAACATTCAAAGTGTCATTTTGCGTGTCTTACACCACTCAAGGTCAATACCGAGTGTAACCTCCGTGTGACTGTATGACAGCCAGCACCCTCCTCCTCATACCCCCTGTAAGCCTCCTGATCCTCTGAAGGGCCAGTCTGCGCCATTCCTCGAGTAAAGCAGCTTCCAATTGGGCCAGGTTCTGTACAGGAGGGGCGGTGGGGTAGTCCAGTGGTTAAAGCGTTCGCTCGTGACGCCGACGGCCCTGGTTCGATTCCCAACATGGGTACAATGTGTGAAGCCCATTTCTGGTGTCCCCCGCTGTGATATTGCTTGAATATTGTTAAAATATTGTTAAAAGCGGCGTAAAACCATACTCACTCACTGTACAGGAAGATCCCTTGGTTGCAGACGATGACCAATGATGTCCCAGATATGCTCCAAAGGGTTAAGATCGGGGCTCATCCAGTCGTGAGATATATCAGGGGTACTTAACTAAGATCTTTGTGTATATCAGCACAAATATCGCCACGTTGCAAGTGTCACTCACGAGCGGCACCGTTTCCCACTGTCACTGACACCGCCGTTTAATGGAAATGATCGGAAGCCATATGACCGCTAACTTGGAAGCCCATCCTCAACATCCGCGGAACGTGACCAGGCGTTTCTAGAGGAGTGGACCTGGATTGTCATTGGGATATGATCTACGCCGTATAAGCAGATGTTTGACCAATCATAAATGTATGACCCATCATGCATGGTTTTACGCGACGGGCAAGTGTGCGTCCACTACGTACATATACTAAACAGCAAAAGAAACGCAAGTCTGGCTTTTTGTCAAGTTTTTGAATAGAAGACATCCAAAATCATGTCTAATCATTTATTCTATAGAAAACACTGTCAATTTAACAGCTAAAAGTTGCTGTTGACATTGAATTGCAATAAGTTCAAACTGATCACAGTCCGTCAAATGGAGTTAACCCTGAAAGCGAAAAGTGACAGTCTCTTTAGTAGCGCGTATAGCCACCTTGAGCTTGCACACAGTCCGTGCAACGTGGCCTCATTGTGTTCACTAGAGTCTGAAAGAATGCCTGAGGCAATTGGTTCCGCTCAAACACCAATCTCTATTCCAATTCTGCAAGTGTGAGTGGCTGTCTACCTGCAGCAATCCTCTGTCCAATTTTGTCCCAGAATGTTCAATGGGAGCCATATCCGGGGGAAAAGACGGCCATAGAAGAACGTTAATGTTGTTCTGAGCCAGATAATCCATCGACACCCTTGCTGTGTGGAGGGCTGCAAACGTCCCTGGCGTTGTTGACGTGCCAAAATTATCCCCACATATGGCCTTCGGCAGTGGATTCCAGCAGCCCGAAGACGACGCCTAATCGTATCGCTTGACACTGCTCCCCTTGACCCCAAGAACTAAGGCTGCTGTTACTGTTGCTGCTTGAGCTCGGTTCCTTAGATGAGTGACCCGGATGAACCGATATTGCGCATGAGTTGTCATCCGTTGCCGTCCGGTACGGGGACGATCAACAGCAGCCCCGGTTTGCTGATGACGTTGAGCAGGTTGTGTCATGGTGGTAAGATGACAGACCAATTGCCTATAGCTACAGCGGTTGCAGAGCTACTTCCGTGCAACTTTCCAAAGGCCATTCCCCTCTGCTCAGTCGTTAGTCTAGGCTTCGTTTGTGTGGCGTGTTCATATCCTAGCGTCAATACTGAACTGTTTTTTGACACAAACCGTTATAAAGGATACCTCAGAGTGAAATGCATGCTTTTCATCCAGAACCGTCGATGCACGTGCTAAAATTATGGTTTTGCTGCACTGTTGGTGTGTTTGTGCGAATGGTTCGTATGGACGTCAAATTGCATGACACCATCTCATCTGGGATCATTACGTCACTTTACCATAAACGATCCATAAACATGAACGCTTACCTTCATGAGATTTCGTTTTTTCGAAACTCTCGTTTTTTGCTGTTCAGTATATGTAGAGAATGGACGCAGAAAAAGCGACAAAAACATTTACAATATTATTCCTTGTACCGACAACACATGACTTTGCTTAGTGTTTGTTTGTACTTCCGTTAGAGCAGTTGCGGGCGGTGGGGTAGCCCTGGGTTCGATTCCCAACATGGGTACATCGTGAAGCCCATTTCTGCTGTTCCCCGCCATGATATTACTGGAATATTGCTAAAAGCGGCGTAAAACCTCACTCACTCACAAGAAATTATCTAAGGCTCTAAAGAAATTATTGAAACGCACAGTTCTCAGGACCGTTACTTCACAGGAGCCTCATATTGTCTGCTAGGATCCCCAAAACTAATAATTAGTGGTGCACGGGACCCCCAGGTTTGTGAGTCGAGGTAAAACCCTGCCCATGATTGATGAAGTTATCTCAAACGCACCTGTTGTCTTTGATGTTTGCAGACCGCCTCCGTGGTGTAGTGGTTAGAGCGTCCGCCCGGAGAGCGGAAAGTCGCGGGTTCGATCCTCGACCGCGTCATACCAAAAGACCTTAAAATATGGTACTTGTTGGTCCCTGCCTGGTGCTGGGCATTAATGGGTACAACAAGGACTGGTCGGCTCGGAGTCAGTATAATGTGTCTGAGTGGGGTATTCATGCTTCACTGCGACATGGTATCTCAGTGGGCTAGCACTATAAAACCAGCTTAAGTCTGGGCTAGTACAAGCAGCCGCACATACACATACACAGCATGCATGCACGTCGTCATATATGAGCGAAATATTCTCAAGCACGACGTTAAACCCAATTTCACCTCACCTCACCTCACCCTTGATGTTTGCCAGCTGACAGTGCACAGCCATCAATTCTTGTTTGTTTTGTTTGTTTGTTTGTTTGTTGTTGTTTTTTTTGGGTTGTTTGTTGATTTTTCTATTCGGGGATTGGCGCTGGGGTTGCGTAGTGGTTAAAGCGTTCGAACATCTCAAGACCGGGATTCCATTCCTCACATTGGTACCATGTGTGAAGACCATTTATTCAGTCCTCAGTCCTGATTTTGTTGTTATATTGGCGTAAAATCACATCACTCTCTCATTCACTCAATAAAGGATTAAGGCAGATTTATCAATGATTTATTTTCTTTATTTGCCAGATGGTATACGGGTACTTCGGACGAAGGCGCCCTGATAATACTCCCCTACTTCGTGACCTGAAAGTATAAACACGAGTGAGTGAGTTTAGTTTTACGCCGCTTTTAGCAATATTCCAGTAATATCATGGCGGGGGACACCAGAAATGGGCTTCACACAATAACACGATGAATAAATACTTTGTTTACAGATTTGACGTCAGGGGATTGGCATTTATATTACTCATTTTCTTTCGCTGACTGTGTGGTACAAATATTGACTCAGTCGTATTGTCATCGTATTCCAGTTGCTTTGATCGATGTTCATGCTGTTAATCACTGGATTGTCTGGTCAAGATTTCATTATTTACAGACCACCGCCATATAGCTGGAATATTGCCGAGTGCGGCGTGAAACTAAACTCACTCATATCCTGATGTGATGTTTGTGCTCTGGTAGGTTTATGGTTAAGACTCGATGATGTACATTACAGATGGCCGTCATAGAGCTGTAATATTGCCGAGTTATACAACAAACAAACTTAATATATATATATACTTTTGATAGAACCTAATTATTCCTTATAAAACGACCGCCTCCGTGGTGTAGTGGTTAGAGCGTCCGCCCGGAAAGCGGAAGGTCGCGGGTTCGATCCCCGACCGCGTCATACCAAAAGACCTTAAAATATGGTACTTGTTGGTTCCTGCCTGGCGCTCGGCATTAGTGGGTACAACAAGGACTGGTCGGCACGGAGTCAGTATAATGTGTCTGAGTGGGGTATTCATGCTTCACTGCGGCATTGGTATCTCAGTGGGCTAGCACTATAAAACCAGCTTAAGTCTGGTCTAGTACAAGCAGCCGCCCATACACACACACACGCGCATGCACGTCGTCGTATGAGCGAAATATTCTCAAGCACGACGTTAAAGCCAATTTCACCTCACCTCACCTTATAAAACGTTAAGGCTGTATTCCCTTATTAAGTTCAAAAGCCGTGAAATAACTGGAATACTGTTCACAGTGACGTCATACTCACTAACTCACCGACGTTACGGACGAGTAAGGAACTCAGGTCGTCTGTGCTGCCTATTGCGAGGAGAGTCCATCTGTTTGCGGGAAGAGTCCATGCTATTCCTAGGAGAGTCCATCTGTTTGCGAGGAGAGTCCATCTGCTTGCGAGGAGAGTCCATCCTGTCACGAGGAGAATCCATCCTGTTACGAGGAGAGTTCGTCCTGTTGCGAGGAGAGTCCATCCGTTTGCGAGGAGAATCCATACGTTTGCGAGTGTGTCTTCGAAACTGCTCACCATCTTCCTTCTCATCTTCATCATCATCATCATCATCATCATCATCATCATCATCATCATCATCATCATCATCTTCATCTTCCATCAGAGTTACTAAGTACTCCAGTGTGTGGTTTAACATGGCAACTGTGAAAATGAAATGTATTGTGGTAAGTATTATAAAACCTTTCGACCCATGCTTGCCATAACATAGGACCATGTCATCGGAATTGCTTAGGTCGACGCGTATTCTATGAATCAGTGGATTGTCTGGTCAAGACTCAATTACATAAAGGCCTCAGTCATATAGCCGGAAAACCTCCCAGTGCGTCATTAAGTGACTGAGTATGGTTTTACGCCGCTTTTAGCAATATTCCAGCAATATTCCAGCAATATCACGGCGTTGGACACCAAAAAATGGGCTTCAGACATTGTACCCATGTGGGGAATCGAACCCGGGTCTTCGGCGCGGCGAGCGAACGCTTTAACCACAAGGCTAACCCGCGTCGTTAAACAACAAATAGACAAATATAACCTGATACATACTGTCTCCAATGGCTGCAACGGTCTTATTTCGCGCCTCCAACGTCTTTATTTGCTTGCAATACGTTGTGTTTTCAATGGAACCCCTTAAAACGAAAGGCGAAGTACTGTTTCAGCCAAACCACTTGCTTCTTCCCGAGACAGGGGCGAGGGGTAGCCTAGTGGTTAAAGCGTTCGTTCATCACGCCGAAGGCCCGGGTTCGATTCCCCACATGGGCACAATGTGTGACGCCCATTTCTGGTGTCCCCCGCCGTGATATTGCTGGAATATTGCTAAAACCGGCGTAAAACTAAAGTCACTCACTCACTCACTCACTAGACAAAAATAGAAGTGGAACACTTTTTATGTATAGACGACTTCTTCAATGCAAAAGCTGCGACGTTTCGGTGCAGATACTAACACCGTTATCAAGCTTGCCCACGTGTTCCTGTTCATTATATCAGCTTCTAAGTGCCATCTAAAACCGTCTATGCAAAGTCTACAGTCCGTTTGAGTCAGAAACGGACCGATGAATTGCAAATTTTATCATTGTACAAAATTGCCACATAAATATAAATAGTACACATGTTTATCATTTACTAATACCCAACAGCTTTCTTATATTTGAAAATTTTCCGGACTCCAACAAAAAAGTTCTTTAAGAAACTATCATTAAAATTTTGACACAGTTCACTATTTGTTACGAGGGAGTGCAGAGAAAGGGACGGCCTGGTGTGCGAGAAAGGATGGAGACGGCACAGCACAGGCTAATGAATCAATAACTTGGTGGGCACGTGCTTCTCTAACACCTGGCTGTCCCTTTCTCTGCACTCCTCCCTCGTAACAAATAGTGAACTGTGTCAAAATTTTAATGATAGTTTCTTAAAGAACTTTTTTGTTGGAGTCCGGAAAATTTTCAAATATAAGAAAGCTGTTGGGTATTAGTAAATGATAAACATGTGTATATTTTTATTTATGTGGCAATTTTGTACAATGATCAAAAACTAAAACGACACATGGTCCATAGACAACTCGGCGACTGTCCTCGAGTGCAGGCCCTGAAGAATACCGTACAGTCAAGTGGGTGTCCACAAATAGTTTCTGAATCTTTTTATGTTTTAGATCAAGGTGTTAAAGAGATGATGGCAAGATCGACTTTACTGTTGATCATCGAACAGATCTCAAGTCAGAGTTAACAAAGCACTGCCTGCCTTTATTGTTTTTATTGCGAACTACCCGTGAAGGTCCCGGTTAAAATGAACCTTCAGTAACCCACGCTTGTTGTAAGAGGCGACTAACGGGATCGGGTGGTCAAGCTCGCTGGCTTGGTTTACACATGTCATCGGTTCCCAATTGCGCAGGTCGATGCTCATGCTGTTGATCACTGGGTTGTCTGGTCCAGACTCGATTATTTACAGACCACCGCCGTATAGCTGGAATATTGCTGAGTGCGGCGTAAAACTAAACTTACTCACTTACTCACGAACTTACTTTTTCCTTCCAGTGTTGAGGATACCGCCACCAGCTTCTTCATCAGCATCTCTTGTTGTCGCAACATGGTTTTAACACCCTCCGCAAGGAATGTTTCAACTCCCTCAGATATTTCTGAAAACGACACCGCTCGTAGTTCAAATGCCTTACATTCAGTGTGGCAAAGGGTTTAGTGGGGTAGCCTAGTGGGTTCGAGTCCCCACATGGGCACAATGTGTGAAGCCTATTTCTGGTGTCCCCGCCGTGATATTGCTGGAACATTGCGGCGTAAAACCATACTCACTAACTCAGTGTAGTTAAGTATATTTCCTAAACTTAATATAGCATCTATTGTTACACCAGAAGTCGTTTATCATAATTATCATTGTTATTGTATATCATTCAATAACTATCATCATCAGTCATAACTGACACTGCTGTTCTCATAACTATTAGGGTAGGGTGGCCTGGTGGTAATAAAAAGAGAATGTCATCACTTAAAGAGTTGGTTCTTGAAACGTTCAAGCTGGCTTCTGTCATTAACGTAGCCTGTGAGGGCCTGGAAGATGACATTTCAAATAATTGGGATGAAATATAGAAATGGTTCAATGATTATGTAGACCTGGGGCGGTGGGGTAGCCCAGTGGTTAATGCCTTCACTCATCACGCCGAAGATCCTTGGTTTGATTCCCAGCATGGGTACAATGTGAACCCATTTCTGGTGTCCCCGCCGTGATATTGCTGGAATATTGCTACAAGCGGCATGAAACTCACTCACCCACTCACCTCTCTCTGCAAAGCCCTAAAGTATAGAAACTTGCCTTTGTTGACTTGTGTGTTGTTCTTGGTTTTCGTAGCTGCATCCTGAACACCTCCGGGTGATTGTCCAGCTATTCCTTCAGCCGGTCCAGGTTTTCCTCGAGAGTGACCGTCAAGTTCTACAGAATGTCCAGCGATTCCATGAGAGTGTCTAGCTGCACCTTTAGAGTGTCCAGCGATTCCTTGAGCTTGTCCAGATATTCCTGGAAAGAAGCAAACCACAACTATACACAAGAGAAGAGTCAGCGGACAAAACATGATGCCTTGCATATCTCCCAGGGGTCTGTGAGCCTTGTCCAGCAATTTATACCTGAACCGTAATGGCTTTCCGTGTTTCACCTGGGAAATGAGCAAGCCACGTATCACATTGAGGTTATGAAGTGGATGCTGTGATTAACTCAGACGTAATTCATATAAACAAACTAATTACTATACACAAAGAACTTAGTTATGCACCCCCTGACATAAAGCTCACGGTTTAATGAGCCACGAGCCCTTTGGAGTATATCTGGGACATGATTGGTCGTCGTGTACAACAAAGGGATCCTCCTATACAGAACCTGGCCCAATTGGAAGCTGCCTTACTCGAGGAATGGCGTAGACTGCCCTTCAGAGGATAAAGAGGCTGACGGGGTATGAGGAGGAGGGTGCTGGCTGTCATACAGTCACATGGAGGTTACACTCGGTATTGACCTTGAATCGTGTAAGACACGCAAAATGACATTTTGAATGTTCACATTCACACAAAAATTGAACATAAAGATTGCTGCATCCAAAAATCATTTTTCTAAGATCAGTGATAACTCGAATTTAGTTGGGTGTTTTTCACCTATAAAGCCTACTTTCTCCATGGAACAATATTGAAGTTGCATAAAAAAGATCCTCGGCGCATGTTAACGTTGTTAAGAATATGTGAAATATTACATTTTGCCATTATAATGTCATCGAAATTGAATTTTATTTAATGTTTCAATGTTTTATTTGTTATGATTTGAGAGGTGAGGTGAAATTGGGTTTAACGTCGTGCTTGAGAATATTTCGCCCATATGACAACGTGCATGCGTGTGTATGTGTATTTGCGGCTGCTTGTACTAGCCCAGACTTAAGCTGGTTTTATAGTGCTAGCCCACTGAGGTACCATGCCGCAGTGAAGCATGAATACCCCACTCAGACACATTATACTGACTCCCGAGCCGACCAGTCCTTGTAGTACCCATTAATGCCGAGCGTCAGGCAGGGACCAACAAGTACCATATTTTAAGGTCTTTTGGTATGACGCGTTCGGGGATCAAACCCGCGACCTTCCGCTCTCCGGGCGGACGCTCTAACCACTGCACCACGGAGGCGGTCCGATTTGAGAGTGAAATATTTTCCATACATGCAGTTTCAAACAAAATAGACGCTTATGTATACACTCAATTATCTGGTCTACACTTGGCCCAGATTCGATTATTTACCGTGGTTCTATGGTAAGAGTTTGACTAACTAGCAAATAGTTATACCAAATCTCTATCCACAGTGCCACACAGTTATTGTTCTACGATTGCCTTCTAACCCGTGAAGATCCAGGTTAGAATTGGTCTTCAGCAACCCATGCTTGTCTTAAGAGGCGACTAACGGGATCGGGTGGTTATACTCGCTGACTTTCCCAGTTGCGTAGATCGATGCTCATACTGTTGATCACTGGATTGTCTGGCCCAGACTAGATTATTTACAGACCACCAACCAGCCAACGATCGCCTTGTTGATAGCTGCTTCTGTCTGCCATGGCAAAGTGTACCTATATGACTTCAATGATTTCTCACGCTGCAAACTCTGCTTACGGTTAATGGCATCTGCCAAAAAACATCTGACACGTCCAAGCAACTAACCTTGTAATAATAGTCGGTATTATTATTGTTCTCATTATCCAGTGGGGCACCAACTACACAATGCTAATAGGTATTCTCGGCCCAAACACAAACAATTTTCCTGGATATCGTTATGGTAATAATACTGGTATAGGAACGTTAATGAATATTTTGAATACTTTTCATACTTCAGGTGTTTGACGTCAGTACGTCAAACTTTCTTTTCTCAATACGTTAATTTCATAACCATGTGAAAAGATAAAAGTAACTTGAAAAATTCACAAAAGCGACTGTAGTTAAAACGAATATGAATTTATGGTGACCAGAAGGAAACACGTGTGTGTATTGTGCGAATTTCTTTTATAAATATTATATTATTTTGATACATCTGTACTTATTAAAACTAGAATCATGTAAAATATTCCTTGAGTGCTACCCGTGAAGTTCCGGGTTACAATTGGACTTCTGCAACCCATGCTTGTTGTAAGAGGCGACTAACGGGATCGGGTGGTCAGGCTCGCTGACTTGGTTGACACATGTCATCGGTTCCCAATTGTGTAGATCGATGCTCATGATGCTGATCACTGGATTGTCTGGTCCAGACTGAAGTATTTACAGACCGCCGCCATATAGCTGGAATATCACTGAATGTGACATTAAACAACAAATCAACCAATCAACCAAACAACAATGTGTGAAGTCCATTTCTGGTGTCCCCCGCCGTGATATAGCTGGAATATTGCTAAAAGCGGCGTAAACCATACTCACCCACTCACTCACTCAACTACTGGCTGGTACAGCCCTGCGTTGACGCTTTACACATTTTCATACCAATTATAACAGCTCATGCATGTATAGTTTACACATCACAAACGCCGAGTCACCGGTAAGGCAGGTTATGCTTACCCTTTCCGCGAACACCCGGTGTCATCATATGATTTTCATGGCTATTTTGACCTTCACAGCAATTGGAATCTGTTTCTGAGGACAGTTAAGACTTGGTATTCTTTTGCAAAGTCGTTCTATATTTACCATTTCACCAGGCAGTCTCTCGAAAATCAAACGTCACATTGTAAAAGTAAGCTTTTATGTGTAGGAGAATGTCCGAAAACTCCCGATTAGTTTTGCACGTGAAGTAGGTTCGACGCCGTAGGCTGAGAACCTGCTTCACGTGCGAAACTAATCGCGAGTTTGAGGACTTTCTCCTACTTAAAACAAAGTTCGATTACTTGTTCGTGCGCATCTTATGTCTATGTTACTATCAAATGCTTGCCATGGTCTGGAAACGTGTGTACACCTCGCCTAAACGCAGCTTAACACGAACAAAACTACGGGAGTGTTAATCGCATGAAAATTGATAACGGCACGTGCATCATTCATTTTTTGCTTAAACTGTTGGTTTGTTGGGTTCATAATGGAAACCTCTGATTCAGATATGGACATTTTTATTACGCAAAACATTTTTTCTCGAAATTAAGACTGACTGACTGACTGAGTTTAGTTTTACGCCGCTTTTAGCAATATTCCAGCAATATCACGGCTGGGTACACCAGAAATGGGCTTAACACATTGTGCCCATGTGGGGAATCGAACCCCGGGTCTTCGGCGTGACGAGCCAACGCTTTAACCACTAGGCTACCCCACCGCCCCTCGAAATTAAGAAGTTGTAATCAATTCTGACTTTGAAGATTTACTTAATACCACTATTTCAGAACCAAAAGACACTCCACGTTTTCATTTAAATGTTGACGACATTTCCTCTGGTTCAGCTGATTACAATTGTTTTACAAACGTAAACCATCTGGGCCCCTTCTACAGAAGCAACTGCAGCCATTGGTTCCGGAAATAGTTACTGCTGAAAATAGATCCCGTTTTGCCAAACCGTTGACAGATTCTGACTTCAGTAAGTTATGTAATTCATGTTATTCTACAAATACTGAAAACAAAAGTAGGTGGGCTGTCAGACTCTATCAGGCATGGGTAGACGAGAGGAAAGCAAGAGAAGGTCCTAGTGGTTTTGACTTAAATTCAAACATTTTGGAATTAGCAGTGAATGAAGGTGAATTGAACAAAACATTAATGTATTTTTTGACGGAGGTCAGGAATCGGAAGGGTCAAGAATATCGGGGCAATACACTGTATGAGGTTATTGCCACATTTCAATACTTTATTCGTCGGAATGGAATTCACATAAACTTTTACGAATCTCCCTTATTCTCCGGACTTAGAACTGTTTTGGACGCCAAAATGAAATCTCTAGCGCAACAGGGAATTGGGATTGATAAGATACAGGCTGCTGTGATAAGTGTTGAACAGGAGGATGTGTTGTGGAAAAAGGGAATTTTAGTTGAGGACACCCCTCAAAAACTCCTAGACACTCTAGCGTATCACAGAAATCTAAGGGTGGGACCGAATTCACAGTTCTTCCTGGCCGATACCGAAGATGGGTGTAAAACTCTTAGGTACACAGAGGATGTTTCCAAAACAAACAGAGGAGGAATAAAACACAGGCGCATGGAAAAGAAATCAATAAGCATATCCGTCAACAGAGAGCGACCTGAGAGATGCCTAATTCGTCTCTACCAAAAGTACATAATAATAAATAGTATTACTATCATAATATTACATGTGAATATTTTAGTTTGATTTGATAATGTTGTTTAAAAATACTTGATTTTGGTCTCGCTCGCTGGTTAGACCTGACTGGTTATCAACGTACGTTAAACCCAATCTCACTCTCACTGATATTTGGTATACACAAGAAGGCATGACATGTGCAACTGTCAGAAATAATTAATTCTATTTTTGTCTTGGTTTATAATATTGGAATTACTGTTACAATGTAGTGGCATTATTGTAAATTGTCATTGAATGGGCAAGATGATATCTATATTACAAATTCTTATTTCTCTTTTAGGCCTAGAGATGGCAAGTGTTCTGCTTTCTAACTCCAACCACTCAGGTTTGTGAAAGATAACACGTGGTTTTCTGACTGTCCTATTGGTAAACATCCTTTGAGAGGAACAGTCGGGCGAATATGCAAACTTGCTGGGTTTGCAGGATTCTTCTCCAACCACTCTCTGAGAGCAACAACAGCTACACGTCTCTACGACGCCGGTGTAGACGAACAGCTTATTGCAGAGAGGACGGGGCATAAATCTGTAGCCATTAGGAGTTACTAGGTGTGTTAACAGTTATTCTTTATCATAAACTCGCCCCCAAAAGACGTTTTACATCAATAGTGTTTTGGGCGAAATATAATGTAACTACTTTAAATATAATTTGTCGGCACAAATGTTCCACATTTCAATTTTTTGGGCCACGTCCTTGTGCATATCGATTTATAAACAGCAATTCGTCTGCCTAAGATTATTTTATTCAAACTGTCGCCTAAATTTCAGATAGTAGGCTTTGCCTATATTATATTTACCACAAGGTCCTTAATATAAGATCATGATATGCTTCTGTGAATAATGTTCACGTCTTCCTAACGCAGAGAACATCATATGAGATGGAGGCCCGGGTTGATGACATAATACAGAGGAAACGCCCATCTGTCACAGCTGCAGCTACAGTCACATCCACGACATCGTCGCCCACGTTCTCGGTCTCCGCCCTCCATCCGCCCACCCGCCACTGAACATGCCACTGTAGTCCAACATGGAACTTCTTCCCGCAAGATCTTCAACTAGTTTTGAAAGATGGTGTGACTCTGTCTCTTAAATTTTGAATTAAAATATAATGTTATTTGTGTTCTTATTGATATGTGCTATTTTTCCAAACCACTGTCATAATGTTTGCGTTTAACAACCAACTGAATGAGGAATTGTTGAAACGGTTAGATCCCATTTTCAACCAACCAAAAGCTGGTTACTTAATGACGTCATGCTGTCTCCATCAGCTGTATTTCTGCGATCAGTTTTGGTAACATGAGAACGTTGCATACTATGGAACAGAGACAGCTCGGCTTACTATTAGAGCGTACACATGACTATGGGAGAGTAGACTTTAGTTACACACTGTGGGAACCTTTCCCTTAGTTTGTTTAACTAACAGCTTTTGCAGTTAACATGAAAATTTACCCTCTTGCTACTAACATCCACATAACTTAGTTTTAACTTTGGTTAGGGGCTCGTTTTTGCATGTGCCTCTGGTGGACAGGATATTCACGCCCATTATCATCACTACTGCACAAGAGTACATAGACACATGCTTATGGTTTCGTCTAATTCCTACAATGGGGTTATCTCATTATGTAAAAGGTTTTGTCGTTTTAATTCTGATAATGACATTATTCACCTATAAAAACTATGCAGAATGGAAATTTGCAGAAGGCAAGAAAAACTCATAATCTCATAATCTTGGAGGGGCGGTGGGGTAGCCGGTTAGGTCCCATACTGCCTACAGTTCCAAACTGCCTACATCTCAAACTGCCAACAAAAATATTGTAGGCAGCGTGGGAAATGATTTTTTGCCCTGTAGAATAATGGAACAGCCCAATTATCAATGAAGAAGGGGTGTGTCGTTTGGAGTAAAGTAGTAGTAGTTATTTGCTTTATTTAATGTCGCACGCACAACTAAGGTATTTCGGCGACGGGGTAGTACAGTTATTTAGAAATGAGGAGAACAAAAAATAGAAATTTTGAAAGAGGGGTGTTACTAAAAAAACAACAAAACCAACAACTGAATATTAAGGGAAATTTGAATGGGATGCCAAATTTAAAAGGTAAGAAGAAATATGAAATAGGTAAAGAGTATTAGAGATTTTGAATTTAATATAGATGTGGTGTAGTAAATGGTTATTATTATTGTATTTTTTAACCAACCCATGTTTAGAAACATATTTAATGATAAATATATAAAAGGTTAAAGAATGAACTTGATAAAAAGAGAGAACTGATTTAAAAAGTTAAAAAAAAGCCTTAAAGGTCACATGCAACGTAAAACACAACTTTGCAGATTCTGATACCTTTCGGTATGGACTTACCGAAACAAATCATCAAAAATGCAAATTCAACTTATAAAGTTGAAAAATAACGCGATGAAAAAAACCGCGCAAAATCGGAGTTCAAACGTTTCATTAATTTTCCCCCGACTTTTCCGGGGAAAACTGGTTTCAACAGCTGGGCTGCGCTCAAAGCACGTGCGCAGTGAAATAGGTTCGCGCAGCGGGTTGTCCGGTGAATACTCGGTGAAGGCTTTGGTGTGAGCTATTTTTCTAATGTTTTGTTGATATCTCACAGGCGCGAGCTTTTTATATGTTATGACAGTAAATTAACTGTTTATATAATTTCATTTGTCTATTTCACCACACGTTCTTCTTACCGAGTCACTTTCTCAGTTCGATACTTGAAAGCAATGTCATTATTTAGCGTTGACAGAATTTCTAACTGTGATATAGATATGTCGTTGTCACAGACAAAACGTAATGTCTTGTTTTATTGACACCTGTGTGTCTGCCTGCCTGTCTGCTAATGGCAATATTCAATACACAACTGCTATCACTGACCACATGCAATTTGAACTTAACACCAATCAGGCTATACACCATAAACAAAATGCATTGATTTATGGCCCGAGTTCGGTCTCTGTCACATTATGTAATTACACAGACAGGCAGGTGTAATACTTGAACACATGACATGTTATGATGTCTGTTGATTGTAAAATGTTATACACAAAAAAATGAGCATGTATTTACAAAACCCAACATCTCTATATATACACATACAATGAGCCGTGAGGGCATCTGCAAATGAACCAGCCGTTACACTTGAGTGCACACCCACCCGCTCTGACTGGGTTCGGTATCCCGGCTGCTTCGTTTCTTGGGAAGTAAACCCAAGTACACAATATTGCACTTTTGATTTGCGATTGTACGCTTATAATTTTGTTTATATGTTTTTTCATAACCAGCAATGTATATTATATGTCATGAATAAGTGATAATTGTGTTATAATTATGTTTGATTTTTTGGTTGCATGTGACCTTTAAACAATCCTATAATCTCCCGGCAAACTCCAGTATCTTCACAGCAGAACTCGCAGCCATAGTTCAGGCCTTGCAAACAACATCTGACCAAACAAACACTACCATTTGCATTTTTTACGGATTCCTTAAGCTCCATACAAGCTCTCAAAACTTACTCTACAACAAAAAGACCAGATCTAATAAATAACATATACAGAAGAATACTATACCACCAAAACAAAATAATCAAATACATTTTATCTGGGTCCCGTCACATATCGGAGTCCATGGCAACGAAATGGACATCCTTGTCAGTTGTGTGTAATTGTAAAACCAGTAAAAGACTGTAAAACCAGTAAAAGACTGTAAAATTTATCAGATTTTCAAGATATATCCATGTCTCCATGTAAAGACGTAGAATTCTCAGAATGATAAAACAAACCAACACTTGTCATTTTTTAAACTTCTGTAGGCAGAGTGGGAAGACACCATAGAACAGGTCAGTTCATTAACCAAGTAACTGGTCAAGTTCATTTTAGCAGGGGTAGAACAGGTCAGATCGGTGTATTCCCATTAACTTCACTTCCTGATCACTGGACCCTATCATGTTGTTTTAACCTGTAGGCAGTTTGGAACTGTAGGCAGAATGGGAATACACCGGTCAGCCTAGTGGTTTAAGCCTTCGCTTATCACCCCGAAAACCCGGGTTCGATTCCTCACATGGGTACAATGTGCAAAGCCTGTTTCTTGTGTCCCCCGCAGTGATATTGCTGGAATATTGCAAAAAGCGTATTTGGTACTCTGTAGAGCGATGGATCGGTTTGTCAGGCCAATCGCGTTAACTCGGCGACGTGTGTCGTTACGGATAACATCAGTCATTGATGTGTTTGGTCCAGTTTCGGTCACTTGCAGACAGTCGCTATATAACTTGGAAATTACCGAGGACCGTTTGCTGTTAACTTGCAGCAAAATGAGTTCGACCCCCAAATGTCGGACAGCAAAATTCAGGAATTGATATCTCAAGTTTTTGTTTTTGTTTTCTGTTTTACCCCGCAATTATCAACATCCCATGTGCATGAAGGCGGCCTGGAAGTAAATTGGACCAGACTATCTAGTGATTGACATCATGAGCATCGATCTACACAACTGGGATACGATGGCATGTGCTAACTAAGTCATCGAGTGTGACCACCCAATCCACTTAGTGATCGCTTATAAACGTGGGTTGTTGAAGATCAATTTTAACCCGGGTCTTCACAGGTAGCAACAATGTACGGAATTGGGATACGATGACATGTGTCAACCAAGTCAGCGACCCTGACCACCCGATCCCGTTAGTCGCCTCTTACAAGCACATGTCTCTGACGGCCAGTTCTAACCCGCGTCTCTGAGAGTCATTGAACTCGTCGGCGAACAAACATAGGTAACACCTGAAACCAGAGTTGACAACACCACAAATCCGTACAACACGACTTGGTCGCTTTATTCACCGAATATCGACATTTATCCAAACGGGTTGAGGCAGGACGGACAAGGCGCCACTAGACACGCAATGGGAATGCATGTGACTGGTACTGGCGACACTTTCAGTAAATCATCGATGAGGTTTCGTTCAACTGAAACAAAACATCAAATTATTGTCAACAGCAATGAGCCTTTTGTGTACGTTCGATATCGACTTCAAAATTTCAAATATACAAAACATCAAATTATTGTCAACAGCAATTAGCCTTTTGTGTACGTTCGATATCGACTTCAAAACTTCAAATATACAAAACAACAAATTATTGTCAACAGCAATGAGCCTTTTGTGTACGTTCGATATCGACTTCAAAATTTCAAATATACAAAACATCAAATTATTGTCAACAGCAATGAGCCTTTGGTGTCTGTTCGACATCGACTTCAAAATTTCAAATATGCTAAACTTTTGTCCTTACCCCAAACAATAAGGAAAAGATCAGAATTATCAGTGTTTATTGAGGATGACAAGGTCTCTGGCACTCCACGACAAATGCTACGGAATATATTTAGAACTAAGCTATTTCAGTATACATAACGTTCCATACAGAATATGTGTTGACAGGGCGGTGGGATTGCGCAGTGGTTAAAGCGTTCGCTCGTCACCTCAAAGACCTGGGTTCGATTCCCCACATTGGTACAATATCAAGCCCATTTGTCCCCCGCCATGATATTGCTGGAATATTGCTAAAAGCAGCGTAAAAGCCAACTCACTCACTCATGTTTTGAAAGCCATTATAACCCCACTGCAAGTAGGGTGTCTAGCACGTGTGGAATCTGACTAATGGGTTTGACCATATCGAGCCACCGATCGTCCGCTCTTCGGACAGACACTCTATCCACTGAACCACTGTATCGGTGCCGTCAGTGCGTGTATGACAGTTAGCATTAGAGTGAGTGAGTTAGTGAGTTGAGTTTTACGCCGCTTTTGGCAATATTCCAGCAATATCACGACGGGGGAAACCAGAAATGGGCTTCACACATTGTACCCATGTGAGGAATCGAACTCTGGTCTTTGCCGTGACGAGCGAACGCTCTAACCACTAGGCTACCCCACCGCCATGTTAGCATTAGAAATGAGGTGACATGAGAGCTAAACATTTTTGGAACAATATGTTGTCCAGTAGAGCTTGTAACGCAAAAACTAGCATCAAGGTTGGGATGTTTTGGAATTAAGAGCTTCCCGAAGCACGGCTTTGATTTATTTTATATATGTCTCAATTTGTAGCTAAGTGTCGGTTTAAAATGCATGAAAAGGGTGTTTATTGTATAAAAATGATGAATTCGTCCTGAAGCGACCTCGTTACACCCATTCCATTTTATATAGTGTTTAGGTCCAAGTAGTAACAATATAAACCAATCGTGAAGATCCGGGTTAGAATTGGTCTTCAGCAACCCATGCATGTCGTAAGGGGCGACTGACGGGATCCGGAGGTCAGGCTCGCAAATCGATGCTCATGGTTTATATCACTGGATTGTCTGGTCCAGACTCGATTATGTACAGACCGCCACCATAGTGCGGAGTTAAACGACAATCAACCAACGACACCATCGACCTATACCTTGATGCTATTTTCTGCATTACAAGCCCCGGTAGTGTAAGCCATGTTGGTCTATGTCATGATATGATCGGAATTGTTTCTAGACATTTCTCATCATTATAACCATGGTCTTTAGTTGATGTTAACTGTTTGAAGATCATACACTGACCGGCAGGTGCTGCTGATGCCACCACCATCACAACCAGCAACATCGCCAACATCAGCCCTGTTTTCATGTTGCTGCGGAAGAGATGCAGGCTTGTTTGGTGAAAGTAGTTTGTGATTCAACTGAGCTTATGAACCTGAGAAAATTGAAAACAAATTATAGATTTGAAAGCTTCAACAGAGTGGTGGGGGAGATAGGTGGTTCCCTCATCATACAAGGCTCAGGTTCACATCAATGCTGGCTCAGTTTTATTGGAAAGGTGACCAAAGCCGATGTCACTGACTGACTGACTGTGGTTTAACGCCGCTTTTAGCAATATTCCAGCAACATCACCGCGGGGGACACCAGAAATGGGCTTCACACATTGTACCCATGTGGGGATTCGAACCCGGGTCTTTTGCGTGACGAGCGAATGCTATAACTACTAGGCTACCCCACCGACTAAAGCCACCGACCAAGTATGGCGACTACTCAAAACACCTGTATCGTTTGAAAGGTGACAAAGCCAACGTCGGGTATGGCAATTAAAGCACCTGTTTTATAGAAAGGTGACCAAAGCCAACGTCGGGTATGGCAATTAAAGCACCTGTTTCATTGGAAAGGTGATCAAAGCCGACGTCAGGTATTGCGACTAGTTAAAGCACCTGTCGCTCATGGCTGATAAGACATGAGTTATAAATAGTGCACACAAATGGCATTGATAGTAACATCTATGAAAATAGAATAAACTGCTTTTATGTGATAAAGATTTTGGAATATCTTTTTCTATTTTGACAATACAATGAAATGTGACCCACATTGGAGTGTTTCTACGACAAAAGCTGGTCTTCAGCCCATACATGTATTTAGACATAGAGTCCGGACAAGTTGATTGCTTACATATTAGGTAGCTGAGAACCAAAATTGTGTGGACATATATCCACTGATCAAAACAAAATATCATCTTTATGACACTACAGTGAACCCTGGTTATATTGCCGCCGGTTATAATGCCACCCTGGATATAATGCCATGTTTTTGACAGAACGGATTTCCTGCCTTTATAATACCCAAGGACCCCTATCTGTCCTTCCTGGTTATAATGCCACCCTGGATATAATGCCATGTTTTTGACAGAACGGATTTCCTGCCTGTATAATACCCAAGGACCCCTATCTGTCCTTCCTGGTTATAATGCCACCCTGGATATATTGCCATATTTTCTCCTGGACAAACGGTGTTATTACAACCAGGGTATACTGTAGTTGCAATGCAGTGTTTGAAGCATAGCTTACAGTCGGATCATCACCATCATTAGATTACATAAGCTCGACGAAAAGGTAACGAATAGTTACTTGGTTACATCTCACTCCCCAGCAATCTGAGCCTGCGCTATGACACCTTCGGGTGGTCAGTTCCAATCACTTGGTGTATCACGTGACAATCAATCACTGGTTTGTCAAGTCCAGAATCCCGTATTCCAAGGCCACCGTCAAGTATATAGTTGGAACACTGCTGTGTGCAGCGTTGAACAACAAACAAATACAAGGGCATAAAACATATGCTAAGAGAAGAGCTATAACCAACTTACACTCCTTCGTAATCCTCACACGTCAAGCGACAAATGACGTTGTCTTTCTAATCTTTCAGCGCGTCTCATGAGCATGTTTAGAAATATTTACGGAAGGGAGATAGTGTGGCTAATCTGAAACACTGCACCATGTGGCAGCTGGTTTTGTTTGCTTGGTGTTTAACGCCATACTCTGGAATATTCCTTTCTGGCGGTGGTCTGTAGATAATCGCATCTTGACCAGACACTCACATCATGAGCACTTGTCTTTTTCAACGAGCCTAAACACCCGTTCCTTTTACGAGAAACATCAGTTTGCGAAAACCGTTTCTAACTTGGATCTTCACAGGCCCTATGCCCTGGTTTGGAAGATATACGGTACATCACAGGTATATCATAGCTGCAGTCTGCGAGAAGGCAGTTTGCAAACTGAGGTTTGGTTTGTACATTTATTATGTGCATTACGGTATTCACATTAACAGCACATGCTGGGCTGTGGGGTAGCCTAGAGGTTAAAACAAGTCGCTTGTCACGCCGAAGACCCAGGTTCGATTCCCCCCACATGGGTACAATGAGAGAAGCCCATTTCTGTTTTTCCAATTCTGATATTGCTCACTCACTTATATGCACACAATGCCTGAACGGTTCCCACCTGTAACGTCGAAGTGGGCTCAGTACGTATTTTTACCTCTTCAATGTTAAACATATTTTTGATGATTTGGTTGTGAATCGTAAGGAAGTAGGTGTCCAATTTAAATATTGTTTCTTCTCTTTTGTATGTAAGCGTGTAGTTTTACGCCATTTTTAGCAATATTCCAGCAATATCACGGCGGGAGACACCAGAAACGGGCTTCACACATTGTACCCATGTGGGGAATCGAACCCGGGTCTTCAGCGTGACGAGCAAACACTATAACCACTAGGCTACCCCCACTGTCCATGAGATGACACACTTCAGAAGAATTAATTGAAAAATTGTTTAACCCCCAGGTTAGCCCCTCGTCTTCTGGTCAATGTAAGTTCAGTGAAGTTGTTAGACCAATACCCAAAAAATCGTTTTCGATATCAAATTCATTCAAGTCGTGCAAGGCATGGTGTGACCGGCTGATTGGTAGAACTTTGCCGATTCTACCATCCATCTAGGTGAAGTAAGGATCGAGGTGAGGTATTGGGGAAAATGAACACCTGCTCCTGGCTCAAGTGTCCTCGACACCAGAATCCCTTCCTACACTCACACAGGGACGCGCCCCGCTGCAAACAGGTTGCCGAATTTAGTCGCCAAATTCATTCAAGTCGTGCAAGGCATGGTGTGACCGGCTGATTGGTAGAACCGTGCCCATTCTACCATCCATCTAGGTGAAGTAAGGATCGAGGTGAGGTATTGGGGAAAATGAACACCTGTTCCTGGCTCAAGTGTCCTCGACACCAGAATCCCTTCCTACACTCACACAGGGGCGCACCCCACTGCAAACACGTTGCCGAATTTAGTCGCCTCTTAGGACCAGCGGTGGTGTGCTGGGGACACATTCTACCCCACGGGCGAAGAGCTATAAACTTGACCCAGCACTCACCACGAGGAGGTTGCTCTTCACGAGGTGAAGACACATTCTACACGGTGTGCCCACGGCGCATTTTGGAAACGATGGCAGGCATCAACCAAATCTTACCAAAAGCGGCTGTTGAAGAGCAATTCTGAGAGATGCTGCTGATCTAGTCTTGTTTAACATAAACATCGGATATATCACGGATGTGTAAGATACTCAAAGATATGGTTGCCAATATGTTTAATGCTACAATTAACGACATACAAAGTTGTAATTCCTTATTATTTATTTCATGGTGTGACTCATTTTTGCTCACTGATGAAGAGGCAGGTGGTTCCTGGAAGTAAAGTATAAAAATGTGGAAACATTTGGATTTGAATGGTTCACTGACATTACAGAACGACCTTTGATATAGGATTACAGATAGAACAGAATTGTTCCTGTCTAAGGGAAGGAGTTTATCCTCTACAATTTTTTAATGGCCATCGTGTTTTGTACCAGCCGTTTAAGAAATCCATTAAATACCTGGTAAAGCCTGGATTATCTTAATCTACTAAACACCCTAATCTGCGATAATGTTGGTGACATAAATCCTGAGTATGTTAATCTTGTGAATGGCCTTGAAACAAGTCGCTAGTTTTAGGAATTCTGGTAGAGAAGAAAATATCATATACTGAAATGCTTATTATTAATGATAATAATAATTGCCATTTATAAAGCGCATGCTTCCACGCAATTGAGCATGATCAAGGCGCTAACACATTATTACCCTGGATAACCCCTCACCAATAGAAGGTGAGTGAGTTTATTTTTACGCCGAGTGAGTGAGTGAGTTTAGTTTTACGTCGCACTCAGCAATATTCCAGCTATATTGCGTCGGTCTGCAAATAATCGGATCTGGACCAGACAATCCAGTGATCAACAGCATGAACATCAATCTACGCAACTGGGATATGATGACATGTGTTCACCCAGTCAGCGTGCCTGACCACCCGATCCCGTTAGTCGCCTCTTACAACAAGCATGGGTTACTGAAGATCAGTTCTAACCCGGATCTACGCGGGTCTTACGCCGAGTGAGTGAGTGAGTGAGTGAGTTGGGTTTTATGCTGCTTTTAGCAATTTTCCAGCATTATCACGGCTGGTGATACCAGAAATGGGCTTCACACATTGTACCCAGGTGGGGAATCGAACCCGGGTCATTGGCGTGACAAGCGAACGCTTTAACCACAAGGCTACCCCACCGACCCTCACTAGAAGGTGAACAGTCATGACTTTTCCCACCGGGTACCCATTCACTATTGCATGAACAGAGACAATTCATGAACAAACTCACTTATAAGCACTTCAAAAAGTGAGCTCACATTTCGATAAACCTACACTAGTAACTGTATCCTCTAACTAATTCCGTAGCTTCCGTCATCTTATGCCCGCCCTCTTTCTCCAGTATTTTATCCAAATATTCTGTTGATGAAATAAATGTTCATCTATTACAATGTACTTCTTACCTAGGTCAGATCAACCCCCATGATCTGGAACTTTCATCTGCTTGTTTCTCAGGAGGAGGGGTATCAATCGGAGGGTCACTTTCCTGTGGAGGTTGGACAAGGATAGGTCCAGACGTGACAGGGGCAGGGGAGGAGGGGGAGGAGGAGGAGGAGGAGGAGGGCGGTGTCTGTAGTCATGGCGTGGAGGAGGGGGCGTCCCCTGTGACCATCAGGTGGGGGTGGAGGGGGTGTCTTCTGTGACCATCAGGTGGGGGTGGAGGGGGTGTCTTCTGCGACCATGAGGTGGGGGAGGAGGGTGTCTTCTGTGACCATCAGGTGGGGGAGGAGGGCGGTGTCTCCTGTGATGGGGAGGTGGTGGTGGAAAGCAGTTGCGTTGATCATTCACGTGTTTTTCAATCATAAACTTGAGATTGCTCAGCGAGCCTATGATATTCGAAACTGAAAACATTGAATAAAGAGGTAAATAGTCATGTTGTCAGCTTATTATTAAAAATCTCAAATTACACACACACACACACACACACACGCACACGCACACGCACGCACACACACAGCAAATTTATATTTAAGACAAAACAATACTTTTGCATCCTTGCATCTTGTAGAATTGAAATGAAATGCCCAACATAGGTCCAGATATCCCCCGTCATAAGCTTGTAACAGTTGGGTGGCGGCATGGCCAAGTGAGCTGTAGGTACCACATTGGGTGGATCGAAATGTAATTTCAAGCGAATGTAAATTATTTTCGCACAAGAGATTATTAATGTATTGAAAATTCCAGATGTTTTATTCATACAAACATTAAGGGTAGGGTTTTACAAACTATGCCCATTACTCATGTCAGTGTTTCTACACGGGTATGGTATCAAGATGAAGTTAAATGAGTGAGTGAGTGGGTAAGTGAGTTAGTGAGTGAGCATCTTATCGAGCAATATCACGTTGGGGGACACGAGGAGGTGAGGTGAAAAGATTATTTCGCTTATATGACGACGTGCATGCGTGTGTATGGGTATGTGCTGCTGTTTATACTAGCCCAGACTTAAGCTGGTTTTATAGAGCTAGTTCACTGAGACACCATGCCGCAGTTAAGCATGAATACCCCACTCAGACACATTATACTGACTCCCAGCCGACCAGTCCTTGTTGTACCCATTAATGCCGAGCGTCAGGCAGAAACCAACAAGTGCATTGTACCTTATTTTAACGTCTTTTGGTATGACACGGTCGGGGATCGAACCCGTGGCCTTCCGCTCTCCGGGCGGACGTTCTAACCACTACACCACGGAGGCGGTCGGGACACGAGGAATGGGCTTCACACATTGTACCCATGTGGGGAATCAAACCCGGGTCTTCGGCGTGAATTGTTCCATTGTGCGATCTTCACGGTCGTATGACATAATGACAATTACATATCTCTGCTATTTTCTGTGCGAAAAGGATATGTTTTTATCTAATATATATATATATTTATCACACTGCAGTTATGCACCTGTCATTAGGCACTTTAGGCACTTGCCTACGCTTACTTTGTTCGGCATTATTTTTACATGTGATATGTTATAGATTTAATATAGAACAAACTTCTTTTCATTCGTGAGTGCGAGTATATATATATATACTGGATGTAACAATGTAGCAAAGAAAACAACATAATTAACATAATAGGCTAGGGAGAAAGCTGATGAAGCCAGAGAGAAGACAAAGGACAGGCGTGGAAGCCAATGATGTACAAATGATAATGAGATGTTTATACAGCAGAGTTTATACAACAGAGTTTATACAGTAGTTTGGGCTTGGTGGATGAGTGCATGTTGTTTTCTTTGTTACATTGTTACATCCAGTATATATATACTTCCCCCTTCTTCATGTTCCATTATGCTTGACAACAGTACAAGAATCTGTATCGAAACGTCGCACTCACGAATAAAAAGAAGTTGTTATCCATAAAGTTTGTTCTATATTGTACTTCCCAACTTCTAAAATGTCACTCAAAGAAGTTATAGATTTAGTTTTCGAGAGAAGTCCCCCTTTCTATGAGCTCTACTTGGACGCCAACAAGGCGTCTTGCACTTCAAAAACAATTGCCAAGTATTTTAATTTTCAAGATCTGTGAAAGATGACACTCATGAGCATGCAACACCATATCTAGAATCAGTCAATTATGGAAATTGTTTGGTTGATCAGGAGAAGAAAGATTGTCATTTGTTCAATTTACCATCAAGAAATGAACGTTTCGATAACATAATTAGGACATAGATATCCTTAATATGTTCTCTATGATATAGATATAGCTACTTAAAGGCAGAAATTCATAACATGCTCATAAATGATATTTGTTTGAATATAGATTGAAGGTATTAGAAACCCTGCCCCCAAACAGAAATAATCCTTTATCTGGTGCGGGGCAGTGAGATACGGTTACTGCACCTCGGTCGAAACCAGTCTTTATCGTCAGACAGGACTCACTCTTTTGATCCATTTTCTGAGACGAACTTTCCTGTCTCTTCTGTAGATCCACCATGGTCTTTACCGTACCGACGAGGAAAGTCATGTCACGTCCAAGTGAATCTGAAAAATTCAATAACTCTTGATCAACATTTACTTACGTTCGTTTAGTTCAAACGGACGTTGACTCAACAACTGGATTTTCTGGTTCCTAGATCACCTGTTTGTCTGTTTTTTTCTACTGGCAGCCGTTTAATGGCAGAAGTACTGCTTTACTGGGTCGATCGGAAAAAACATATATTTTTATGCAAATTGCAGGGGTGGTGGGGGGGGGGTGTTGGTTTTTTGTTGTTTTGTTTTGTTGTTGTTGTTTTTTGTTTGTTTGCTTTTATTTATTTATTTATTTATTTTTTATTTATTTATTTTTTAATTTTTTATTTTTTATTTTTTATTATTTTTTGGGAGGGTGGAGGGTTCAGGACGTCCTTACCCTTTTCAGGAACACGAGGCGACATCACTGAACTTCAATGGCCTACTCATATAATTCCATACAGTATTCTGCTCTTTACACCAAATATATATATAACCTGTTTCTGGGGTTAGTCAAGGCTGTTTAGTCGTGTGTGGTTTTATTTCTGTTGGAGATATTTCATTTCTGTTAACAGGGGCGGTGGGGTAGCCTAATGGAATAGCGTTAGGGCTCGCCTCTAGGCAGGAGACCTATTGTAATCGTTCGATTTATTACATGGGTACAATCCGCCAATTTTGTACCAAGCCCATTTCTAAACCAATGCTCCGAATCACTTACAAAAAATAACACAGATGATGTTGAGTTGTAGATATTCCCCTTATTGCTGGCTCAAAGCAGCATATAATTCCAAATTAATTCCAAAATTTCAACGTTTGACAGCAAATATCTCAAGAACTAATTGTTCCGACACTTCCAAATTTCTTGTACAGATGCACAATCGAATACCTAACAATTTTGCCTGGACGGGTCAAGTCGCTAAAACGTACCGTTTGGCAGTTATTTTTGTTTTTAGTTTTTCTGAGTAGTTTGCTCCCAAAATGTGCAAATTCTGCACAAAGAGCCAGTGTGGTAGATGATGTCCTAGTGATTCCAGAACACTAATTGTTTTGAACGTAGACCCAAGAACAACTGAGATACAGCCTTTTAAAGAAGGAACTATTTCTTCTCCGGAAGTTCTTAAAAGGTACATGACCCCCGTCTAGCCCTCAGATACAATAGATAGAAAGTAAAGCCAAGGAGACCTCATCGTTGCCCGCAACTATATTTTTGTTTTGAGTTTGACGCCGACACACACTATATATTCCAGCTATATACATAAGAAATCTCTACTAAAAGCAGAGTCCATTGTACAATTGGGACTATATCACGAGTACATTTGTTTCAGCAAGATTACAGCTGTACCACGTTGTTTGTAAAGAAATCGAGTCTGGACCAGACAATCCAGTGATTGTTGCCATGCGATGCGATGACAACATGTGTTTATGAATCACTATCAAAATGATATCAAACTGATATCGTGAACAACAACCCAGCAGTTCATCTCTACATATTACTACTGTTCTATGTACTGTTCTTGCAGACCGGTCATTTAAAAATAAGGGACGCGCTTGGAATTTCAGTCACAGTTATGAATGGGCAGTTCTGTATGAGAGAAGAGTTCATGTATTACATATCTTTTAAGACATCTAGCATGCTAACCTATTCATTAATGTGTGCGCGGAGGTGCAACTCGGTCTGATGTTATCGAGTTGAATCGTCACACTGTGCTGTTGCAAAAACTGTAAAGCGGTCATTTGTAAAATCTCATCTTGGTACCTTCCTTTAAGTTCCCCTCAATCACAGTCACTGCTGTCCTTGCTGCAAATGTTATGCCACCCCACATCATGACGCCTCCACCTCAAAACGATCCCTTTCCAGGTGACGTTGACCTGTGAGCCGGCAGTCAGGTAGGTGAGTAAGGAAGATACACCTTTATTGCCAGGAATGGCTGTTGCTTACCGGAACCTTTGTCGCAATTGCGTGGTTCGAGTCCATCGATCTATAACTTGACTGCTTTGGTGAAAACATCGCCGTAAATGCCAGGTGATGTCTCTATGGACGTTGAGTGAGTGAGTGAGTTTACATTTAGGCCTCTTTTAGCAATATCCAAGCAATATCATGGCGGGGGACCACACAAATAGGGCTCACGAATAGTACCCATGTGGGGAAACGAACCCGGGTCTTCGGCTTGACGAGCGAACGCTTTAACCACTAGGCTACCCCACCGCCCCCATGGACATTGAATCGAACCAAAATGGAGTATGACTTAGCGTTACATCTGTCATTTTCCACAAGGCGTGGCATGTCGCACTTATTCCAAAACGATGAACAGTGGTTAAGAACTACTTCTTCACTGAGTTTAAATTATAAGCCTCTTGGTCTCTGGCCTCTCAACGTGAACGTTGTTGGCCATTTTCTCGAATATGTCATGCCTCTTGCAAATTTCTTGCAATTTGAAAAAGAACCGCGTGGTTGCGTTTCTTCGATCATATTAACACAATCTGTTCCTGGTTCCAGTCCAATATTACAAATACAAAATTCATAGGAACTTTTGCCTCTATAAAAAGTACAATTAATTCCAGTAGTAAAAAGGAATCCTGACAGTTCCAATATAGTATTGTTCATTAATCAGAGCAATGAAACTTCTATTTACAGTAGAACCAAACAGTTATGGCAAATATAAGAGATTTCCTGATGCCTCAAAGCGCACAGGTTTTGATCTGGTCCAAAACCGAACATCATTGGCGTATTTATCGCTTGTGTGGTGCGTGCTTGATGTAACATAATTCAAACATATATCTGGAAAATATTTCTTAAATCCTTTAGTAAATCAAACAAAATCAAGGTCTGATTCAACTGAAATGAAAAACCACATATATGCAAAACTCTTCGAATCATGTTTTACCCATCACGATAGAGCAAAATTTTGATCAAGTTAACGGTAATCACTGAACAATGACTTCTTGTTGACTTAAGCGCAGCTTTATTGAACGTCCACCTGTATTTAAATGTTTAACAGATCTTTTACAAATTAATTTCTTCTTCCTATATTTAGCTAACACGCCGTGGTGTGACTTGATCTGATATTAAACTTTATTAACTGAAACTCAACGAAAAGAACTGAAATATATTTAGCTGCGGACTGAAGCTCCGCGATAATTGTTTTACAGAGGTTTTACAACTTGAATACTCTTCATCTATAAATGTGATATACATTACCGATACCGATTACTAGTACGCCTTTCAACCAGCATTGACGCAATGAAACAAAGCTGAAACATATGTGACATGGACCGTACATGGATCAAGGAAATAAATAATATACGGCTAGCTACTCGCCTGTCTTGGGAGCCAGCGGGCCATCAACCTGTGCGTTGGATCTTCCAGCTGTAGAAGAAAACACTACAATTGCAGTCAGGAGAACTGTCAGTGCCTGAAACATTGTGCCTGGCACAGAGTCTCTGGACTCTCTGATCCTGTGGCAGCAATTTATACCAGAACTAATGTGTTTCAGTGTTGCACCCTGGGAAATATTTCAAGGTCAGTTAGTTCTCAAATAAATCTTATAAACCCGAAAAGTGTTCCATTCACTTGAAGGGCAAGTAGTTTCACTGAAGCATATCTGACATTGATATCCATAGAGGGAGGGTGTGTGTTGGGGTTGGGGGGTCGGGTGGTTTTTTGGTTTTTGGTGTTAGCCTAGTGGGTAAAGCGTTCGCTCGTAATGCCGAAGACCGGGTTTGATACCCCACATGGGTACAATGTGTGAAGCCCATTTCTGTGTCCCCCGCCGTGATATTGCTGGAATATTGCTAAAAGCGGCGTAAAATTCACTCACTCGCTGTTATCCAAAGAATGTGTAGCATCTGTAGGATCTTTCGAAACGTGTTTGTCCATCTACGAGTGCACTCCGTGGAGGCCTTGTCTTTCATAGTCACTATGTTAGTTGGTTGGCTGGCTGGTTGGTTGGTTGTTTAACGCCGCACTCATATGACGGCGGTATGTAAACAATCGAGTCTGGACCGGACAATCCAGTCATTAACAGCATGAGCATCAATCTACGCAATGGCGATACGATGACATGTGATGACAATACGATGTCAAGTCAGTGAGTCTGACCACCCGGTCCCGTTATTCGCATGTGTGGCTGACGACAAATTACAACCCGGATCTTCACGGCTCTTGTCACGATATGGCTGAAGTACTACTGACTTCGATATTAACTTCTCAAGTATCGTCGATCGTGTCTTATTAAAATTCATCTTATTGTATTATTTGACAAGATATTAAATAGAAAACGTCAATAACAGAGATGATGCAGAAATAATATTTGCTGTAACTTCATTAAGTGTCGAATAACTAGCAAAACGTCTGCGAACTGCCTGTCTGCGTAGTGGGAGGACACCAAATTGATTAGTAGGGGAGGGGGTAACGTTGGAGTAGTCGGGCCACGGTGCCATTGGACTCTATCGTATTTTCTTTGTCTCTTTGAACAAATGACTTGTTTTTGCATGTGACTCACGCCCATGGTAGACAGGATATTCTCGCCCATGTGTCATCACTATTTCAAACGGGTACATAGACACATGCTTATGGTTCGTCTAAATCCTACAATGGGGTTATCTCATTATGTGAAAGGTTTTGTCGTTTTAATTCTAATAATGACATTATTCACATTTAAAAACTATGCAGAATGGAAATTTGCATAAGGCAAGAAAAGCTCATAATCTCATAATCTTGGAAGGGCGGTGGGGTAGCCTAGTGGTTAAAGCACTCGTTCTTCACGCCGAAGACCGGGGTTCCATTCCCGACATGGGTGCAATGCGTGAAGCCCATTTGTGGTGTCCCCAGTTGTGATATTGATGAAATATTGCTAAAAGCGGCGTAAAACTCACTCACTCACCCACACATGATCTTGGAAGTGTCCATTGTGTAAAGTTAAACCACATCGTTTCAAACACATATTGAAAATAAAACATTTTCGCCAGGTTTGCAAACATATCTAGTGCGCTGAATACCCTGATAGTGTAAAATATAAAGTAAAAAATAGTTAGACACCTCTTGTCAGGAAAAAAGTGTGTTTTGCAACGGTCGCTGAAACTAAACCACTCACAAACATTCCAGGTGTCACTGAATTTCTTCCCGACCCTTGCGTATAGCAATCTTCAACAAAGGAGTTGGTGTTGATCAGCAATTAAATCGCACAATTGTTAGATCCACTGTTCACATATGTGAAATGTCAGATTGCAATCTCAGGAATCAGTCCATTCCCTACAGCGCTGTTTCGTTTAATGGACCATAATGTCATTTCAATTCGTCTGTATCAAACATCACGACTGACATGGCATGTATACTGTTGTCCTGTGCTATTGGTTTACAGTAAAGCACTGTATTCCTTTGGACCACGTATCACGAACATCTGGTGCCAAAGTACAATCTCATCATTAAAGAATTGTGAGAAAGACCAACTCAATGAGCTGTGATGTGAGCTGGAGCTGGTCATCTTAAACGTCAACGACGACAGAAGCAATCAACTCCATCATAATGAATAAAGTATAGGACGACGAAGTCTTCATTAAACTCTTGAAGGGTTGTCAACACAAAATGACAGATTGGTAAAGCTTGTAGGCTTTGTCTAATCAAGTTAGTTAGTTAGTTAGTTATTCGGGCGTCCAACATTATGGGACAAATCATCAGTGTTGGTCTGTGACTGTGCAAAATGTGCAAAATGTGTTTTTGTTGCAATTATTACATTTAGTGTTAGTGACCGATGTGTGTGTGGGGTTGGGATGGGGGTGGGTTTTTTTTGGGGGGGTCAGTTTTTCAGTTCACAAAATGAAAAATGAATTGGTGTTTGTGCCGAATTCACGTCGCGATCATTCGGCCTACATTACGCCAGCATGCAACATCGGGTTACTATTGTTAATGCATTTCTGGTATGTTTTACAAATGGAACTCTGACCTATGTCACGTTAAACAAGAAACAAAACAAACAAAAGAATAACAGTTTTTATGACATCTATAAGGTATACATTATCAGACATGTACCCACATTATATGCATGTTATATTTCAGCCAAGTATGGTATCTATGTCTGGAAGTTGATGAAGATACTGCAGCGGGTTAGGATCACCACAGCCACTACAGGGATCTACTATTTTCTTGCAACCCCCATGAGCGCAGGGATCCAACCTTTGCGGGTCTGTTTGGGGCAGCTCTTCTGCGTCAGGTCTGACCATAGCCAAAAGGCAATCGGCAGAAACACAGGGACCCAACTTCGAAATCCCAGAGGCCAGTATGTCAGTGACTTTGTCTAAAAGCAAATGAAATAGGTTGGATGGTTAGATGGACATTTAACAAAGAGATGGGGTTACTGTGATTTCAACATATGGTGTGTTGTGATACTTACGATATAGGCAGGAAACCACGTAATCGTCTACAGGGCTATTGGAAGTTGAAAGATACAATGCACGTGTACATGTCTACCAATATGGCTTGGTGTTATCACCACAAGTGAAACATGAATGAATAAGGTTTAATGCCCTTTTAGCAATATTCCACCAAAATCATGCAGGGGACATCAGAAATGGGGTTTCACACATTGTTCCAATGTTGGGAATCGAACCCCTGAACATTTTGGAATTAAATGTGTTTATTTGCTTTTTATGTCCATTGAGACATATTAACTTGGCTTGATGGGGTTCTGTATGCAAATTTACACTTGATGCGTTTTTAACATTACGTAACGATTATAACTCAGTGAGATCAGCGATTGTTACTTTGCGCAATGTAAGAAGATATGTACTGAATAACAGAGAGTAGAGAAACGTCAAGCGAAATAAATTTTGTATGACATTTTAGAGTTCTACGTGTAATTGTCACACATCTTACTAAGCACCATCAAATGTATATGCAGCAAAGGAATGTTCAAAATTTGTTCCAGAAAGTGACAATACCGTTAACTTACGCACCTGTCACTGGCGCTGCAAGGGTGACACATACCAGCGTGACGAAAACAGCCAACTTCAGAATCATTGTTGATGCTGAAACACTAGATTAGATCCATCCCTCATCACCTGGTGTAGTATATTTAATTTTTTGTGATAAATATACTCATCCAAAATTACTGATGGAAACTCTTTGCCATCCAACCAAATAATACCGATGGGCGAAGGAAATTGTATCCGATGTTACTGAGAGGGAATGGTTATGGTTACGGCAATTCAGCATCGATGTGCGTAAAGGGTTTTAATCATGACGGTACAAATCTTGTCCTTTTGCAATCCCTCTCACATGGGCGTGCGTGCGTGCATGTAGTTGCCTGTACATATCCGGATGTTTAATGGTTCTATATTGGTAGCCTATGGAGACACAATACCGTTCAGAAATAGTACACTTGCTGCAGCCAGTCCTTTTTCCATACCACTGATTATACACTTTGAACATATTTTGATATAGTAGCGACCTGGATCGACCTTCAGACACGTAGGCCCTCTGTATGAGCTCAGTTCAGATACTACTAGTATTGTTAGCATTTTGGCAAAATATCAGTACTTTTGTTTCTGTGTGGCATAATGTCGCACTCATTGTTTCTCCTTGTTTGGGTGAAACATGAATATACACTGAGCACTACACGAAGACGTTGGAGCATGTGACAAAATACACGACACCGTTGTAATACATCACCGTTATCAGAGAAGCATACATTCGCTAAAATGGACAGGTTTACATTAATCGGAAACTTACATGTACGCAGTCTTCAGCCGCTGGTTCAAGATTCGGAGAAAACTGAACTGTGGTTTCTTAATATATGAGCCATATCTATTTCTGTCAAGGTCTTTGTGTTAACCTTTATGCAATGATTGTGTAGTGTCACCTCGACCGTGCATGACATGCGTTATCTGTCAGTTATTATTAGCGCTTTCAAGAAAATTTAGCATATCTAAGTACGTTATCGTTTGAGAAAGTCAATGCAGCCCCTCAGACCTTCGGGGCAGAATAGGACTGTGGAACCTACGCCTGTCGAGCACATTAAATATCTTCATAATATTCCAACCATTTTTCAGTACTTTAACCCCTTCGAGGAAACAGCCACTAACTATCTCAGTTGCTAATTTACTCTACCGATAATAAAACATCATTTACCTATTCACAAAACATATAAATCAAAATTTATCAATCATCTTTATTTCCTTTCAAAACTCAATGATTAAAAGGTCTTTAACTGTTTTGAAATTGAAATATTTATCCCTTGTTATGGAAAAGTCAATACTGTCAGTCAAGCCATGCTTGACCGTGATTCTTTCTTCAGAAGGAATACAAAACGGAAGATCCTCACCTTTTTTAACATATATTCATGAGCATATCTAGTATGGCCAATACGACGTTGCATGATGACCTCTTCAAATCTGGACTGACAACCCAAGTAGGTACAACCAATATAGGGTTTTATTGCAGGTAATTTATTGATACCTACTTGGGTGTCCCACTTCGTCTGCATCAGATCACGGATGTACGCTCTAATGATAGGTTTGTAATCAGAGTATGGGGTGAGAAGTGGTGTCACAGATTTTTCTAGTGCTGCCTTTGTGTTACCAGAAATTCCAACATGGCTGTCATAATCTTCCAGGAAAGGTGACTTTGTTTGGTCAAGTCTCAAGTATTTAAAGGCAATGTTCTGGAAGTTACATTACATTCAATACTAAGAAATAATTTTATAGCACAAAATCTAAGCTAATTAGTAATTAATTACATCCGGGTGATCAATTTTCAGGAATCATGTGCTGATGCTCTCGGCCGTCATCTACATCATTACTATTTTGTTTTGATTATCCAGGATTCATCTGAAAGCAAGTGCCGCCATCAGCCAGGGTCTCATGCAAGTAGACAAACTGTCTCATACGTGTGGGACCCAACAAACCCAATGGTCATCACATCCTGCAAGGGATTCTACGAACCATGGTATGTGTTTTGATAATAAATATGAATGAACCACATTCTCCTTCCGCCGTTTCAATGCTACCCTGTCTACCTGGCTACCTGATGTTGCCACGCAGGGTCATAGTCCGTATGATATGAAGGGACACCAGCTAATGGTAATACGCCCACTTTTAGAGCAATTGGGCCCGATCTTACGGCGAGGCTCAGTGATGGTGCTCCAGTGATGGTCCTCCAGTGATGGTGCTAAAGTGATGGTCCTCCACTGATGGTCCTCCAGTGATGGTCCTCCAGTGATGGTGCTCCAGTGATGGTCCTCCAGTGACGGTCCTCCAGTGATGGTCCTCCAGTGATGGTCCGCCAGTGATGGTCCTCCAGTGATGGTCCTCCAGTGATGGTCCTCCAGTGATGGTGCTCCAGTGATGGTCCTCCAGTGACGGTCCTCCAGTGATGGTCCTCCAGTGATGGTCCTCCAGTGATGGTGCTAAAGTGATGGTCCTCCACTGATTGTCCTCCAGTGATGGTGCTCCAGTGATGGTCCGCCAGTGATGATCCTCCAGTGATGGTCCTCCAGTGACGGTCCTCCAGTGATGGTCCTCCAGTGATGGTGCTCCAGTGATGGTGCTCCAGTGACGGTCCTCCAGTGATGGTCCTCCAGTGATGGTGCTCCAGTGATGGTCCGCCAGTGATGGTCCCTCCAGTGATGGTGCTAAAGTGATGGTCCTCCACTGATTGTCCTCCAGTGATGGTGCTCCAGTGATGGTCCGCCAGTGATGATCCTCCAGTGATGGTCCTCCAGTGATGGTGCTAAAGTGATGGTCCTCCAGTGATGGTCCTCCAGTGATGGTGCTCCAGTGATGGTCCGCCAGTGATGGTCCTCCAGTGATGGTCCTCCAGTGATGGTCCTCCTGTGACGGTCCTCCAATGATGGTCCTCCAGTGACGGTCCGCCAGTGATGGTCCTCCAGTGATGGTCCGCCAGTGATGGTGCTCCAGTGATGGTCCTCCAGTGATGGTCCTCCAGTGATGGTGCTCCAGTGATGGTCCTCTAGTGACGGTCCTCCAGTGACGGTCCTCCAGTGATGGTGCTCCAGTGATGGTCCTCCAGTGACGGTCCTCCAGTGATGGTGCTCCAGTGATGGTCCTCCAGTGATGGTCCTCCAGTGACGGTCCTCCAGTGACGGTCCTCCAGTGATGGTCCCCAGTGACGGTCCTCCAGTGACGGTCCTCCAGTGATGGTCCCTCCAAAGCGATGGTCCGCCAGTGATGGTGCTCCAGTGATGGTCCTCCAGTGATGGTCCTCCAGTGATGGTGCTCCAGTGATGGTCCTCTAGTGACGGTCCTCCAGTGATGGTCCTCCAGTGATGGTCCTCCAGTGACGGTCCTCCAGTGATGGTCCTCCTGTGACGGTCCTCCACTGATGGTCCTCCAGTGATGGTGCTCCAGTGATGGTCCTCTAGTGACGGTCCTCCAGTGACGGTCCTCCAGTGATGGTCCTCCTGTGACGGTCCTCCAGTGATGGTCCTCCAGTGATGGTGCTACAGTGGTTTCCTCCAGTGATGGTCCTCCAGTGATGGTGCTCCAGTGGTTTCCCCCAGTGATGGTGCTCCAGTGATGGTGCTCCAGTGGTTTCCTCCAGTGATGGTCCTCCAGTGATGGTCCTCCAGTGATGGTGCTCCAGTGATGGTGCTCCAGTGGTTTCCTCCAGTGATGGTGCTCCAGTGATGGTGCTCCAGTGGTTTCCTCCAGTGATGGTCCTCCAGTGATGGTGCTCCAGTGATGGTGCTCCAGTGGTTTCCTCCAGTGATGGTGCTCCAGTGGTTTCCTCCAGTGATGGTCCTCCAGTGATGGTCCACCAGTGATGGTGCTCCAGTGGTTTCCTCCAGTGATGGTCCTCCAGTGATGGTCCTCCAGTGGTGACGGTCCTCTAGTGATGGTCCTCCAGTGATGGTGCTCCAGTGGTTTCCTCCAGTGATGGTGCTCCAGTGATGGTGCTCCAGTGACGGTCCTCTAGTGATGGTCCTCCAGTGATGGTGCTCCAGTGGTTTCCTCCAGTGATGGTCCTCCAGTGATGGTGCTCCAGTGGTTTCCTCCAGTGATGGTCCTCCAGTGATGGTCCTCCAGTGGTATCATTTTCTATGATTATATAGTTTTATTATAACGCGATGTCAGTTTTAAGTCAGAATCTGTGATACTGTAGTTGTTTTACTCTCCATTGATCACAGGGTTTTTAGTTTAAAACTGAATATATGTTACAGTTAATATGTATAATCAGTAAATGTGTATGCTTACTGATTTTTTCAGTGATTATGTTACTGATTCCGTCAGGGATTATGTATATTTACTGACATTTTTTTTGCTTAGATCGATGGTCATGCTGTTCATCCCTGAACTGTCTGGTCCAGAATCGATTATTTACATACCGCCGCCATATAACTGGAATATTGCCGTATGCGGTGTAAAACTACACTCACTCACTTATATACGTCACGGTATGGCTGAAGTATAGCCGACGTGACGTTAAATATAAACACTGCTGAGGTACATTGTAATGTTGTAAATCATGTATTGGCCCTGTGAACATCTCTGAAATTGTCACACTGAGGAGGCTGAACTTGTAAAATTGTGTTTTTATAACGATGGCTTCATCTTCTGTTTAACCCACTCGTATTTCACTATAGTTTACTGTGAAACAATACAAATATTTAATTAGGGGAAACATGGAATAACAGAAGGAGCCAACGTCGGCAAATTCGGCAACTATTGAATGTCAATGTAGTCTCTTTCTGGGAAATGAAATGAATTTAGGTACATTGGAAGATTAGCAGTATGCCATATAATAGTAGAAATGATTTCCTGTAAATTACAACAATGAATATTTTTTAAGTGACTGAAGATTTGTAGAAATATTCGCAATACAGATTTTTTTCACGTTTTTTCACTCTTCTCCAAATTGGCAGACAACAAACCGCATGTCATGATATACTTGCACAGCACTGTTGGCAGTTGAAGTTTACAGTGTATCATAAAGAATCTTACTTTCTTGGTAACAATGTAATTTAACCACTATGTGTACAGTTGCACCAGGAGAGCAGAATATCCCGTATTCAAAATTGGTCGCCGGATATGTTGGTCAGAAGAGTGAATGAGTGAGTTTAGTTTTACACCGCACTCAGTAATATTCCAGCTATATGGCGGCGGTCTGTATATAATCGAGTCTGGACCAAACAATCCAGTGATCAACAACCTGAGCATCGATCTACGCAGTTGGGATACGATGACATGTGTCAACCAAGTCAGTGAGTCTGACCACCCGTCTCGTTCGTCGCCTCTTACAACAAGCATGGGTTACTGAAGAATATTCTATCCCGGATCTTCACGGGTCGTTGGTCAGAAGTGAAGATCTAATATAAGTGCGTGTGTTGTCAGACTGGGTGATCTGGTTGACTGTGTGTCTCCCTACCTGGATGGTGTAAATCGTTTTCTAACAATATCAGATTGTGTACAGACTTGATTATTTAATGGCCGTCGTTTCATAAGTTGACTACTGTTCAGGTTGCGTTAAACAATGAACAAACAAATACACCAATTTTTTATTGCATCCGTAAGGTTTACAGTGGAACTACATGTTTTATTTCAGCCAAGTTTGGTACCTGTGTCTGTAAACGCTCACCACAGCCGGCAGCACCTTAAAGATCTTACGGAAACCAAGGCTCAATGTGATTCAACGGTGGCAAATTCGGTAGGATCCATGGTCTGCCGGTGGCTATGTGGAAATAAAGTTATATACGTTAGTAACGTTGGTGGATATCTAACAGATAAACAATGTTAACACATGGTTGGTAGTCAATCTGACAATTTAGACCTTTCCTTTAGACCACTATCTCAAAAGTGGCAGACAAGAAACCACGTCCCACACTGTCCTTGTACGGCGCTTTTGGCAGTTGAAAGGTGCAGTGAAATTTAACAACCATGTGTTCATCTTTTTAGCAAGGTTACGCGTGAGCAAGTAAAGCGTTATGCCACTGTCAGCATTATGCCAGTGATGACAAGATAGGGAACATGAGAAATGGACTTCAAACACTGTACCCATGTTGAAATATTCCTTCTGTCCATGGGTCTCTTAAAAAGCCAAATATATTTTGCAACACCCCCCATACAGAACTGGCCGCCAGAAACTTATATTGGTCAAAAGAGGAACCCGTGAAGTTCCGGGTTAGAATGAACCTTCAGGGACACATGCTTGTCGTAAGAGGCGACTAACGGGAACAGGTGGTCAGGCTCGGTGACTTGGTTGACACATGTCATCGGTTCCCAGTTGATCACTGGATTGTCTGGTCTAGACTCTATTATTTACAGACCGCCGCCATAAAGCTGGATTATTGCTGAGTGCGGCGGCGTAAAACTAAACTCACTCACTCACTCACTCAAAAGAGGTGATCTGAGGGTTCGTAATGCCGCACTGCAGACTGATAGCGTCTGATGTCTGTGTTGTTGCTCATTATATCAATCACGGGTTTGATTGGTTCAAACTTAATCATTCCCAAGCCATCGTCATACAGTCGGACCTTACTTAGTGTGGTGTTAAACAATAACCTGAAAGAACAAAACGATACCCGGTCTGAAATAAGGAAGCTCACCTAAAAGATTAGGATCCAGCGTAGGCAGAGTCATCATCTTCAGCAATTCTAGAAACGAGGTGACGCCTTGTACTGTGAAATGAAATTGAAATACATTGGAGGTTTGGTGGACATATGATATGGATGAATATATTCACTGAATGCTAAAGATTATTAGACCCTTAACTTTCTGTCACCCTTCAACCTGGCATAGAAAAATCTAATGTCACGATATTCTTGTACTAATGCCACCTAGAGTATGTGTCCACTCTGCTTTCAGAGGGGATACAAGAAATGGAGTTCACACAACGTAAGTATGTGAGGGTCGAAAGCCTGGTTTTCGGCGTATTGAGCGAACCTGTTTGCCACTAGCTACCCACACCGCCCTCAACATTTTGCAAATAAATGGTTTGGGTTTCTATTTTTTTATAGAATCAATTTCTAAATATTTCATGTCTCAATCTTTTGAGATTTGGGGGTCTTTAAAAGCAAATGTTGTGTTTCAACACAGTTTGTAAGTAACATGGCGAACTGACATTAACGCATTAAGACAGAACATTTTAAACACTGACTGACTGACTGTTTTTTACGCCGCTTTTAGCAATATTCCAGCAACATCACGGCGGGGGACACCAGATATGGGCTTCACACATCGTGCCCATGTGGGGATTCGAACCCGGGTCATCGGCGTGACGAGCCAACGCTTTAACCATTAGGTTACCCCACCGCCCCACATTTTAAACACCAGATTGTAGAGGTGTGTCAAATATAATATACAAAGCCCATTCCACATCCTTAAGAGCATGCTCCGTTGTACCTCAAATGTTGTGAAATGAAAACACCAAAGGATGGAACTGTGGATAGTTCCTCGACTTGAAGGAAACATTGACCATTGGAAAATTGAAATCATCCCTTGCGTCATACACCTTGTGGATATTTGTCAGTCTGAAACTTTATGCAGAGATCTAAATATCAAACACACGAGGCTCTCTCACCTGTCTACTATTTTATTAAAGTTCTGGTGGGTAAATCAGTAGAACGGAATTGGCGGGTTGATGGTTAGTGAACGATAATAGATCATAGATATTCTTGAAGCTTTAGGTAAATTGGCCAAATCACCTTGCTTTCATAATGCCAACCGAAGTAAAAATTCTCATTCGTATGCACAACAAAAGAGATTCACAGGAATGGTAGCACAACTGGTGCACATGAGGATGCCTACTTATTGTCAAATGTCCTGATACTTTGAAGATAGACACGTAAATATATCTGTTTTCCATCGATCAAGTAATGAAATGTTTTCTGAAATGTTGTCATGTGGGAAAATTGTGCACAATGCTTTACTTCAAAAAGATGGTAAGAATGTATGCAAATCCTTCGAGTTGACAGTAATTTAAGCTTAGTTACCTAGTACTGGCGCTGCATGGGTGACACATACCAGGGTGACGAACAGAGCCAACTTCAGAATCATTGTTGATGCTGAAACACTAGATCAAATCCACCTTTCATCATTATTACATCTCCATTATATTACGTTTGTTTGTTTGTTTCGGCAATTTGGTGTTCAGCAACCCATGCTTATCGTAAGAGGCGACAGTCGGGATCAGCTGGTCAGGCTCGCTGACCTGGTTAATGCTTGTCATCATATTTAAATGCCGTAGGTCGTGCTTATGGGTGTCAATCACTGGACTGACTGGTCCAGGCTCGATTGTTAACAGACCGCCGTCATATAGCTGGAATATTTTGAGTGCGACAACAAATATATCTGAACAATGACAGACATCCTCGACTTTGTGGGACTTAAACCCATCGTTTACTTCTTCTAAAATGCTGCGGACCAGAAACTTTTCATTCAGATTTTTTCTCTGAAAATGAAATCTCTTAGGCATTCTTGATCGGACTTTAGGGATTAAGGGACCTTTCATACGTTAAACGCAAACAAAGAAACAAATCTATGGACAAACCAAAGTTGTTGGAGAATCCCAGCGGGGAACATCTGAATACACACTCGCGTCAAAGAGCTGGAATGTTTCTGAGTGAGGCATCAAACAATATTCACACCGAGGAAACTTCAAACTGAGAACTTAATAACGAATTAATATTTCTCTTCATATGACCACGATGTGAATAAAATAAAATGCCTTGACATTGATATCTAGTTTGGTTTATAAACAATGGCAACTTACATGTATTTACTCCTGCGTTGCTGTTTGAAGAAACTGATAATACTGAACTGTGTCTTCCTTATATAACGCCAGCATGTACTTCAGTCAAGGTCCTTCTGTTTACCTTTATAAAATGATTAAATAGTGTCACCGTGACCATGCATGACACAGGGCATATGTCAGTTATTATTAGCTCTTTCAAGACTTTATCAATTTATGTTTTTAAACTTATAATCTTTTAGAACATCTGCTGGCTTTCTACACAGTGAATGCACTCAGAATGGGTCCTTGCAACCTGCGCTGATAAACCACAGGGGCGTGTCACGCTTAGAAACAGCGTTAGAAAGACATATAGGTACATAGACCCTACCCTAGTACTATATAAAAGGAAAGGGATGTAACGACGGAACAACCCCCTCCTCAATCAAAGTTAGATTTCACCACGTAAAGTATTTTTAAGGCCCCGTCGAGGCCTACGGATCGAAAGCGAGATGATGTCCCCACAAAATGAGCTATAAATGGTCACAATCGGATCATTATTTCAAAAGTTATATGCCACGACTCACCGAAAACAGCTACCTCCGCAATTCCAAGCCAAAATCATGGATCACCCAAGACAGCGAAAACTCACCTTTTAAATTCGTTTATTAATTCCAGCCACGCTGACAGCACCTATGTGGGGCTAGATTCGACCGGCAGCGGCATTCCACGGGTCTAAAAACCTATTGCAACATCTACAAATCATTTCCTCGACAGTAAGCAGGCACTTTCTCCAAAACCACCGGCAATCATACTCACTTGTCGGCCAAAGACGGCCTTGACATTCCTGTGGTGATTGTTCAGGGCATCTTAACTGGTGTGGGCTACAGGGATCATATTCTTCGACCTGTGGCAATTCCTTTTCTGCAACGTCATGGCCCTGGGTTAACATTCCAACAGGACAATGCCCGCCCTCATACGGCAAGGGTTGCTGTGGATTTCTTGCAACACCACAACGTTGACTTACTGCCTTGGCCTGCAAATTCACCGGATCTCTCCCCGATAGAGCATGTTTGGGACGCCGTCTTCCTCATCCGCCAGATAACGTCCTTGACCTTGCAACAGAACTTGAGAGAATCTGGCGTTACATCCCACAAGCCTTCCTTGCACGTTTGATAGGCTCTATGCGTCGTCGATGCAGGGCTGTTCTCAATGCCGATGGTGGACATACCCGTTATTGAGCTTGTGACATGGTCGTTTGACCCCTGTCCCGCTTGTGGATTCGTGACGTCATTCTGATTGACTTTTCAATTGAAATTCTCCCGACTTGCTATGGTCTCATGATCCCTCCATTAAAGTTTATATGTACCTTTGACATTGTTATCGTACTTATCAACTGGGATGATATTTTGACAATGCACAGTTTCTTTATGTGGCTAGTATATGTTTATAGGATTCTCAGAAAAGGTAACTTGCATTTATGCGTTTGGTCAAGATTCGATTATTTACAAACCATGTGATGAAGGTTTGGTGAGAAGTGCATTCAATCAGTCAGTACTAACAAATGATTTGACAGCACTAAAAAAACTAGTATGCAAATTATACATTATTCAAAACACCCGGGTCATCAATTTGTGCCGTTTCTGGTTCACTACCTGGCGTGCTCATTACTTGTTTCGTCTCATCACTGTCACTGATATCATTTATTTCACTGCATTAGATCGTTTCGATCCTGTTCAAAGTTACATCAAAGTTGCCTCTTTTCGTTTTTGTTGCTTTTATTTTCTATGATCCATCCGATACCAAAAGCTCCTATCATCGGCTAGTGACGAACTATCTCGTACAAGTGGGGACCACCCAAACCCAAAGGTAATCGCATCCTACAAGGGATTCTATGAACCATGGTGTGTGTTAGGTAAGAAATATGATTATAACACTTCCATTTCCATTCTCTTTCCACCGTTACCATGAAATCCTGTCTATCCAACTAGATAATTGGCATGACGGAGAGAGAGAGAGAGAGAGAGTGCGTGTGTAATTATATATTTTTAATAATAAGCTGACAACTGACTATCTACCTCATTAGTCAATGTTTTCAGTTTCATAGGCTCGCTGAGCAATCTCAAGTCTATGATTGGAAAACACGTGAGAATAAAACCAACCAACCAACCAAATCTTCTTCAGGTCCTCCAGGTCAAGTGGGCTGGTGAATAGTGGATCCTCCAAACCTTTTCCACTGTTTCACCTCTCCAATGTAAATTCCTCTGACATCCTCAACAGCTTACACCTAACAATCCATCTGTTAGGCAGACAATATAACAATATATTTGTTAGGCATCATCATGCACATTTTCATCGTTTAGAGTTACCTCCCCTGGTGGTTTAGAGAAATATACTGTCTTGATCATTCGATCCGTGGTGTGACGATATTGCCAGACTGGAGAAACTTTGTCATCTCTTTACTATGGCATTATATTTTGTTCAAATCAATGGTATTTACCCCTATTTCCTATTTAACACGAAAAAGAATATGGCATTAACTCAAATACACTGTTGTAATCAAATTTGGTCAAACTCTTATTGACCTCTATATTATGTTGTTGTGGTGATGATAGTAACATTGGTGAATATACGTTCGACGTGTGACGATCTGGACTAGAATGGGTCTTCAACAAAACATGTTGTAAAAGGCAGCTAACAGGATGTGGAGGTTAGACTCGCTGACTTGAAGATCAATCTATATATTTAACACTCCGAAAACAGAACTGGTCGCCAGAAACCTTTGTTGGTTAGAAAAGGTGGTTGTAGGTCAGTTTCGTTCCCCTGATATCACTCACTGTTTCGACTTGTTCAAACTTTATGAATTACAGACAGTCATTTTACAAGTCGACCAGTGTTCAGTGTGTGGCGTTAATAAAAACAACAACAAAAGTGAGAAAAGTGGGTTAATATTATTCGTCAGTATTTCAGCCATACCGTGACGAGAACAATAACTTATAATATTAAGATCAATAAAATGAGAAATTAAAAGCCCGTTGATGAGGAACAGTAAAACGACTCTTTTAACATATATCAAAGTAATCAAAGTAAAGTCAAACTGGCTTGTTATCATAAAGCAATATTATTAAAGAGAACTCTATAATACATGGGGACCTTTGCTACCTGCATGGACCGGTATTTACACCATACCTTCAGCTGTTGAAGATTGTACTCCAAATTAGCCAAATATTTTTAATAACCCTCATATTCTGCGATTAAACAAAGTATAAATAATGGAATGAAATTTGAAATGAAATTGGACTTACATACATTCTCATGTGGACAATAATTTTACGCTAATTCAACACCATTTGAAAGTATTGCCACTAACAGTCAAGGTTATTTAATCATTCTTTCCAAATAAATTGCTTTCATTAATTACAATACAAAATCAAAATTGATCAATTAGTTCTATTTTTGGTAAAAACCCCAACTAAGAACAAAATTAGGATGAACTTGATTAAAAAGATCACTTACCGTTTTGACATTGAAATATTAGTCCCTTGTAGTGGTAAAATCAATGCAGTCAAGCGGAATATGCTTAACCGAGATTCTTTCATCACAATGGATGCAAACGGAGGATCTTCACCTTTCAATAAGTATTCGTGTGTTTTGCTGCTGTGGCCAATGATGACCTCTTCAAATCTGGACTGACAACCCAAGTAGGTGTAACCAATTGCTGGTTTTATTTCATGTAATTTATTGATACCCACTTCTTTTGCATTAGATCACGGATATAAGATCTAATCACGGATTTGTAATGAGAGAGTATGGAATAAGAAGTGGTGTTACAGATTTGTTGAGTGCTGCCTTAGCGTCAGAATTGATCAGTTGTGTTCCCATATATTCAAACATGGCTGGGTATCCAACAGCAGGGGATGTCGTACTGGCCAGTAGCAAGATCATTATTTCTATTAAAAGTGGATGTTTACTGGATTTATTTTTTAATAGCTTGCAGACAAGAGTGGGAGTCCAAAAATATTATATATTGTTGATATTTGGAGTGATTTTAATATATGTTAGAGCTGTTAATATGGCGGCTTCTTCTGCTGTGAAAATTTAGCTATCAGCGGGTAATCTACAAGATATTGTTCTGGATCCAGTGACAGTGGCACAAGCTACTGCGCCACCAACCTTGGATTCATCTGTAAATTTGTAGGAATTATATTTATTTCTCAGCTACATAAATTCTTGTCTAGATTGCATTTCATTAGGTTCTGATCTCTTAGTAGTGATCAGTTTGAGGTCTACGTGTGAGTCTCACCATTGCCAAGGAGGCAATGTGAGCAGCTGAAATGAAAGGTTTAACTCTTATTAGGTCTTCAGACGAAAGTCTGGAAGACCTACTGTTATTATCCGTATATTCTTATTATTATTTGTACAAATTTTGTGACAGCTCTCCTGACATAACCGCTGGGCCGATTTTCATGAAACTTTCAGGGATGATAGCCGGTATGCTGCAATGGATACATAGTGGCATTCGTAACTACTCGTGTCATTCCGACAGGTCGGATGGCGTCTCGTACCCCTCTCGTGGCCATGTTTACGACTGGGCCCTGTCTAATAATAGTCTAGTACTATTGCCAAGGAAAGATAACTCTGAATTTCCAAACATGGCCCCTAGAATATCCAATATCCCGTGGGCAAAACAGCAATACAGTCATTCCCTTTGTTAATATATTTCAGTGTTTAAAATTTCTGATCCTTTAGCTCAGAGTTTCTGTTTAAATTGTGCTTTGCATAGTTTAGCGAAGTTTCAAACTTCAACGGTGCCGCCATTTTCATGCTTCGAAATGCGTTTTACTACGCGCGATTTGATTGGTTTGCCACGATTCTTGGCAATAATGGCGTACGATAGGGGTAGGAGTCTTCTTGTAAGTCACGGAAAGAGGCGAGTAGTTACGAATGACATAGTGGAAAAAATTCCAAATTCCGGCTTCCGGTAAGGACAGATAACCCAAAATGTCAAAATCTTTCAAACTCAATATCTCCAAAACTGTAAGCGATAAATGTACCAAGTTTTCACTCAATTGGCTGGAAGTTGGCTGGCCGGTCACATTTTCCGCTATTTTGAAAAAAACTGAATTTGTTGTCGATTTTCACGTTTTGACGGTGCCTGTGGTAAAAAATCTTCTTCTCCAGAACGGCATATAGTACAATCGTGTTCGATATATCATTTGAAAGCCCACACTCCGGACTACTTAAACCCTTCAAGGCATATCGATATCTTAAATAGTTTTGGAGTTATCACCTTTGGAAGTTGGTCAATTTTTCTAAGACGCATTTTGATATGGTTCATAAACATGTCACAGCTCTGCGAAAACCCAATGTATTTCATTGTTCAAGGTACCAAAATGTGTAGACAATTGAATACGAAACATTTTTGCTTTACGTTATGGTTTTGTAAAATTCAATAATTACGTCACAAACACAAACTATGCGATTTTTCACAGTTCCGCATGTTTTGACGGTGCCTGTGTTTAAAAATCTTCTTCTCCAGAACGACATATAGTACTATCGTTTTCTATATATCGTTTTAAAGCCCACACTTTGGACTACTTAAACCCTTCAAGGCATGGCGATATCTTGAATAGTGTCGGAGTTACTACCCTTGGAAAGTTGGTCAATTGTGTCAAAACGCATTTTTATAGGGTTCACAGCTCTGCGAAAACACAATGGACTTCATTTTCCAAAGTACCAAACTGTAGATAATGAAATGGGAAACATTTCTGCTTCACATTATTGTTATGAAAAAGTCAATAATTACGCCACAATTACGCCACAAACAGGGAGGGACATTAGGATTTTCGCATTTTGTCAGTGGTGAGATAACTGAAGGAAGCGACAGTAAAATCTAGCAACAGTAGCCACTTCCTGGTTTTCCAATGCCCAAAGCAATAGTTCCCCTTATAACAGGCCGTAGCTCCTTTGTTCTTGAGTCTACAGTCAAAACAATTATTGTTCTGGAATTGGCAGGATCTAATCTCTCCAGCAGTTTGATTACCAGCCTGACTGTGACATGATCACGCGAACCCTTTCTGCTACATTTTCATGATTGCAGGAATCCAGCACATAAACGCACAATATCTTAAAACACTGAAATGGACGCTCCAGTTTGTGTCCAAAGAAACAGTATAAGTAAGGTGGCCGCGGGAACTGTGCGGGAAGTCTGAACACCGTCAGTATTGCCCAGGAGGCAATCCTAGTTCTTATTATTATTATACACATCTTGGTGTACAGATACTCATAAAGAGGATTACAAATACAGTCGACAACACGCATAAATGTTTTTATGCCATCTGTAAAGTATACATGATCAGATATGCACCCGCGGCATGACGTTTTTTGTTTCAGCCGAGTATGGCATTTATGGTTGGAAGAAGAAGAGCCTGTTCCAGGGCAGGATCAACACAACCGCCGTCACCACAGGGATTCAAATTTTTTTGGATGGCTCTGACGGGTCCTACGGTGGAGCGCTCGGGAGGATTAAAGTGTATTCTTTCCGGAGTGTACTGCCGATGATAGTGATAATCTGATGAAATACATTGGAAGGTTTGGTGGATGTTAAACAGGACAAAGGTGGTTACTGTGAATTTAACATATGGTTCGTGATGAGTCAGACGATTTAGAACTTTCACTTTCTCCAGTATGGCACACAAGAGACCATGTGTCACTATATCCTTGTATATGGCTATTGGCAGTTGTTTGGTGAAATGAAATTAACAACCACATTTACATTTGCACTAATATCGCTTGGTATTTTGCCAATTTAGCAAAGTGAAATGTGAATGAGTAAGGGTTTATGCTGCTTTTAGAGTGAGTGAGTGAGTTAAAATTTAAAGTCACATCGCCAGTATTTCAGCCATATCGTGACTATAAAAGTTGTAAAATTGTAAATGTATGCATGACATAAAACAAACTCATATACTTACCTGTCTGCGAAGGACAGTAAAATAACCAGTGTATCACAGATTTATACTTAAAACTAGCATATAACCATAAAACACTATTTCTATCTTTAACGGTACAATATCAAAATGGGCTATATATTGCCAGCAACTGAAATTTAACAACCACGTGTACATCTGCATTAATATCGCTTGGTATTTTAACCATTTTAAGAAAGTGAAACGTGAATGAGTAAGGTTTTATGCCGCTTTTAGAAATATTCTAGCCGGGGACATCAGAAATGGCCTTTACACACTGTCCTATTCGAATTCAATCGTAGAACAAACGCTTTAACCACTAGACTGCCCTGACAAGTCTGGACCTGTTTTTTGGTTTTATCAACTTTTGAAGTCCACTGAGACATGCCTATAGGTGTAGGCCTACCGCCCATGTTCATACAGGTTGCCAGTCAGCATATAATGTACATGACAATATATCTATATGGAATGATAATTAATCAACAAGTTATTCGGAAGCAATTTGCATAATATATATATACATGGCCAGCTTTCTAAATACATTAACATCTGCTGATGCCCAAAGCATATTATGTTTGTTATGCGTAGGGTATGATATACATTTAGAAGGTGTGTACTTCTCACGCAGTGTTTTATATCGGATACAAACCATCAAAACATGATATTCATCTTCGATGTAGCCTTCAATACATATAGTGCACACCCTCTTATCTACAGGAATATTAACATGATCTGCCTGTTTCTATTTTGAGTCCAAATAAACTACAACGAAACAGCGCCATGGCCACGCGGAATTTTGCGATTGTTAATTGTTTGATTTATATTTCCGTTCCAAAGGTACCTTTGGCAAAAAGCTATGTAATATCCTTAACCGAACTTTTCTAACCTGAGAAGCCGAACTTTTGGTATGTTTATCCCACGATGGTGTTTTAGAAAAACTAATATACAAATATTTTTATAATGGCACGCACTCGAGTCATTTTTCTCCATAATTCCATTTTCTCTTCTCGAGGGAATACCTCTATATTTGAAAACAACCACTTTAATCTTGTCCAAATGAACTGTTAACTTGTAATTATTGCAATATGATTCTAAAATGTCTATTCTTTTCTAGAGACCAAAGATTGTGTCAGATATTAAAATAACAATAATATGAACAGCTCAATCATCTCTGTATGAAACTAGATACCAGGTTTACACGTGGGTTCAATTTCCTGTGCTAATTCATTGATAAAGATAGAGAACAGATATGGGCTAAAGACGCAAGCCTGTTGTACACCCAAATCACAGTCAAACATATCCAAATACATATTAACATGACACATAACACATGAACGTTCTCGATTGTATACGGCTTGTACTCCGTTTAACACTTATGGAGAAAACCCATTCCTCATCAAAACCATCCATAATTTAGACCTATTCACTAGATCGAAAGCTTTTGAGAAATCTACAAATACGGCATAAAGTTTTCCCCTTTTCTTTGATCCATACCGTTGAATCACTGATTGAGAAATAAATATATTGTCAATGGTAGAGTATCCCTGACGAAATCCGGCCTGTGATTCCATAAGATTTTCATAGGCATTAGTCCACAAAGTACGACGTCTATTCAAAATACACATATATTTTACTAAAGATGCTTAAAATGGTAATTCCTCGGAAATCGTTAGGAGAACGAATACCCCTCTTTTCATGAAAGGGAAAAATGATTTCCACCAACCATTCTTCCTGGAAGTGAGGATCAAATATGACATTGAATACTATTACCAAATCAAAGGAAGTCTGTAATACCTTGTGAGTACCTGCCGATTTGTTACATTTCAAACCCTTAACTGCTTCGTCAACTTCATCTTCAGGAATCTGAGAGTCATGTCATCAAAACATTCGCCTATGTCTAAACCCACACTTTCATTGTGAACTAAGTCATCATTCTTGTTAAATATACTACCCATCAAAAGTTTAGACTCACTTAAAGCAATCACTATATGTTTTGCGTATATGTATGGTTACATCGAAGATGAATTTCTCCACTAACTTTGGGGAACCAAGTGCAAACTGTATGCTGATGAATTGCACGAGGATCATGCATTAAATTGCATTAAAAGCATGTGCAAATATCGTGCATGTGAACAGCTGTGTTGTGGTGTAAAATCTTGTAAAAATTCGCCAATTTTCACTCACTTTCATCATTTTTTTAACCCATGACAATAATCTTTTCAACGTTACGAATTTGTTTTACAATACATCTGTTCATGTGTAAACAGTACCTTTAAACAGTATGGAACATTTTGCAAAATCTAGTTTAGAACAGTTGACTTAAGTAAGTGGCTACATTTACACTAGTGAGTCTAAACTTTTGATGGGGAGTATATATTCATAAAATGGTTATGCCACTGTGTTTTGAATATATTGGGACGACGTTTCGACATGCCTAGTTGGCACGATGGGTGTTTACATGCATATTTACACTCCATGCGTTTGTAACAGTACGTAACCAGTAATGTTCATTGAGATCAGCGCTTGTTATATTGCATAACGTAATGCAAAACATGATGAATAAAAGAATTTAGAGGTATGTCAAACACAATTAATGTAGGGTCAATTTTGTGTTCTTCCTGCAATTGTCATATAACCACTTAAACCACAAAATTTCATGTATACTGGCAAACTAGGAATTTCCAAGATTTGTTACTGAGAGTGACAATAGTTTAAGTTTACTTACTTGTTGGTACTGGTCCTGAAAAGGTGACACATACCAGCGTGACGAACAGAGCCAACTTCAGAATCATTGTGCTGCAGAAACACAAGATCAGATCATGCTTCATCACCTAATCTATTGCATCTAAATTATATTGTGATTAACTGAGACTTTATCGAAATTAATGACGTTTTGCTGCCAAGCCAAATAATACGGATCGGCGAAGAAAATTATTTCAGATGTAACTGAGACAGGATGGTAATGATGACGTCAATTCAGCATCGATAAGTTGTTCACTGGTCTCGAGGGGGACATGGGCTGATGTACCCCCGATGTTTCTTTATGTTCCCCTCGCCCTTCAACCCATCAGCCCCGAGGGACCAGTGAACAACGTATTTATCTTACCGAACACCTCAATGGTAATTTTGAACTGTTTGAAGCACGGGTATCGGATCATGGTATGGCGTACCAGACGACAAGAAAAACAAATTTAGAGATATGTCCCTTCCATCGATTTGCATTCGCAAAACTTCGGTAATTTCCGTACATCATACGATGTTATTCGAGCTAAAGAATTACTACTACGAAGTACCAAATGAGTTCGGCATTCCCAGCGGGGTACGTAGAAAATGTTACTCGCTTGTAAGCGGGGTACATTGTAAATAATAGAAGAGCGCTCAGCCAATCAGAAAACGACATTTATGTGTGAGGCCAGATAATAGTGAATGAATAAAGGGTATCGATAAATGGATGGAACAGCCCCTGTGTGTTTACAGTACCTCTCACATGTGTTTGCGTCCGTGTGGCTGTCTGTACATGTCAAGATTTTAATGCTGTTATATTGCTAGACCACGGAGGTACTTTACTGTTCAAAAACACACAGACTGTCTTCTTGTCATGCCATTAGTTTTGAGCATAGGAAAACAACAGTATCCGTTCTGAACATTTTTTAATGTAATGGGGCCCTGGATCGACATTTCCACTCCGGGCAGAGGCTCTCTACCTTTGTTGAGTTCAGATAGTAATATCTGTATTTTAGCAACATATCAGTACTTTTACTTTGTGGCATAATGTCGTACTCAGCCATATTGTTTCTCCTTGTTTGGGTTAAGCTTGAATAAATACGCCAGCCTCTTTCAAACTAAGATGTGAAGCTGTGGAAATGTTAGGCTAAAATAATTGGGAAGACAAATCCATTGTTAGAGAAGGTTCATCTGGTAACTGATTTAGGATATCATTAACATTGGAACTTACAATTAAAGCAAATATAGTTAAAGATATGATGACACTGCTTTTTAAAGCAAAATAACTCTTCATATTCTGCTTATACAACACTATTAAACTTAGGTTTCACTTGTCAAAAATGACAATCATGTGACCATATAACAGTCATTTCTGAGGAAAACAAAATGCATGTTTTCCAAAAGCACATATATCCGGTTTAAAATAAAAGATATTTTGCATAATGGTTTTGTTTTTAAACTAAAAGTACTAAACCAAATTATGATAGTTGGGTTTTTTTCCTGAAAGGTTTCCTATGAGACAACCTATATTGGCAAATTATTCTGGGTGGCGCTTAACTTTTCATTCACAGTATACATTGAGCACAACACGCTGTGGAACATGTGACAAAATACACTACATAGCTGTAATACATCTACGTTGTCTGAGAAGCAAATATTCGCTGACATGGATAGGTTCACATTAACAGGAAACTTACATGTACGTTGTCTTCAGACGCTGGTTAAAGCTACAGAGAAATCTGAACTGTGTGTTCCTTATATACGACCCGTATTTATTTCTGTCAAGGTCTTTCTGTTTACCCTTTTGAAATAATCAGATAGTGTCACCCCGACTGTGCATGACACATGTTATCTGTCAGTTATTATTAGCGGTTTCAAGAAAAGGTTTAAATCAAAGAACGTGTGATCTTTAAGTCAATGAGTGAGTGAGTGAGTGAATGAGTGAGTTAAAATTTATAGTCACACTGGCAATATTTCAGCCATATCGTGACTTAAAAGTTATAAATTCATAATAGACACAATTAATTAATTATTGTAAAAACCTGCCAACGAAGGGCAGTACAATAACTAGATTACCACAGATAGAGAATTAAAACTAGCATGTAACTGTAAAATTCGACAACCTTTATGGACAATACAATATGAAAAAACGGGCTGGAGATCACCGGAAACTGAAGGTACGTCATCATGCTAGGGACACAAAGTCAATGAAACCCCATGGAAGCTCTGGGTCAGATATAGGTCTGTGCAACCTACGCTTGTCGAGCACGGTAAGTATGTTCATAATATTCCAGAAAAGGTTACTTTGTCTGGTCCAGCCTCAAGTATTTACAGGCCATGTGCTGGACGTTACAGTATACATGTTTGTATTCAGCACTAAGAAACAATTTGTTAGCACTCACACAAAAATGTACGCTTACTATTATTTTAAAGGATATTTATAGAGCACACACATCCGCGCAACAAGCGCATGCTCAAGCAAGGCGCTTGAGTATTCCATTGATCAACGGATGTCATTTTTTCTGGCATTCTATTTCTTTAACAAACTCAGCTCCCTGGGGAATATGCAACTCATGCAGCCTGTTAAGCGCAGCGAGTAATCACACAGCCTCATCCTCACAAGGTACCCATTTGCAGCTGGGTGAACTGGGACACATAGTCACAGTGTTTTGTCCAATGATACTGCACGTTACTATAGGTGTTGTTCGTGTTCGTGTGTCCACCATCTGGTCACCTACCATCGGATGAGTGGGTTCTTTTACGTGCACAGGGTTGTGTACTGCACACTAGGGGGTTGTGACAACACTGAAAGAGCCTGCAGGTAATGTTAGCTCCAAGGTTTTACACCGGTCACAAGTGTCATCCACATCATTACTGTTTTGCTTTGATTTTCCAGGATTCATCCGAAAGCAAGGGCAGTCATCAGCCAAGGTCTCGTGCAAATTGACAAACTGTCTCGTAGGACTCAACAACCCCAATGGTCATCACATGCTGCATGAATTCTACGAACTATACAGTCTAAGTAAACTTAGGCTCAGTATTATTCGTTACACTGCTATACTGAGTCTAACAAAACCTAGTAGAAGGTCGCTTAAGCTACCCTTTTGGACTGACCAATCAGAACACAGCTTACCAAATCGCGAAAGTTAACATTCCCACATACCGTTTGGACCTTTACCTAAAAAACTCGAACAATTCCGATTGCTATTTTCCGCACGATCGTTTCCGAGTGATACACGCAATGAGTATACCAGTCGCTGAAAATAGCGTTTTTGTCAATATTCAAGGATGTCATCTTGCGAAAATATTAGCAAATAGTAACCATGTCATTAGAAACCCATAAGTGCATATACTGCAGGTCAAATATCTGTGTTTTATGCGGCTTTTCGTTGGTTGATAGATCAGTGTCAGCGACCAGGGAAGAAAAAATCCAAAAAACGTTTTGTAAGTCCCGCCGAACCCTAACAAGTAGTCGTTGTCTGATTGGTTAAATCCGTTCGTCCGTCTCGCGTTTGATTGCACGGTCATAGGTCGCTCAAAGGTTAGCTGACGTGACCTTCTACTTGGTTTTGTTAGACTCAGTATAGCAGTGTAACAAAGAATACTGAGCCTAAGGTTACTTAGACTGACGAACCATGGTATGTGTTTTGATAATAAATATGAATGTACCACATTCTCCTTCCGCCGTTTCAGTGCTACCCTGTCTACCTGGCGTTGCCACGCAGGCTCATAGTCCGTATGGTATGAGGGGCACCAGTTAATGGTAAAACGCCCTCTTTTGGAGCAGTCGGAGCTCAGTGACGGTACGCCCTCTTTGGAGCAGCTGTTTGAGTAAAACGCCCTCCAGCATTTGACGGTACTCATTTTCGATGGTCATATGGTGTTACTATAACATGATGCCATGAAGTCAGATACTATGATACTGTACACAGTTGTTTTACTGTCCATTGACGACAGGTGTTTTAGTTCTAAAATGAAGGTATACATTGTTCTCGTCACGGTATGGCTGAAGTATAGCCGATGTGAAGTTTCATTGTAATATTGTAAATCATCTATTGGCTCTGTAAAAATCTCTGAAATTGTCATACTGAGGCTAAACATTGTCAAATTGTGTTTTGATAACGATGGCTTCATCTTCTGTTCACTCGTATTTCACTATATTTTTCTGTGAAACAATACAAATATTTAATTAGGGGAAACGGTGAAAAACAGAAGGATCCAATGTAGGCCAATTCTTCGGCAATGTTAATGTCGTCTTGATTTGGGAAATGAATTTTAACACATTTGAAGGTTAGAAGTATGGCATGTGATAGTGGAAAGGAATTCCTGTAAATTAAAACAATGAACATATTTATGGAGTGAGTGAAGATATGTAGAAATTTTCACAATATAGATCTTTCACTGTTGTTCACTCTTCTCCAACTTGGCAGACAATAAACCTCAGGTAATGATATGAACTGTTGGCAGTTGAATGTTATAATGTAATTTAACCACTATGTGTACAGGTGCACCAGGAGAGCAGAATATCCCACATTCAGAATTGGTCGCCAGATATGTTGGTCAGAAGAGTGAGTGAGTTTAGTTTCACACCGCACTCAGCAATATTCCAGCTATATGGAGGCGGTCTGTAAATATTCGAGACGGGAACCAAACAATCCAGTAATCAACAGCATAAGCATCGATCTACGTAACTGGGATACGATGAAATGTGTCAACCAAGTCAGTTGTCAGCGAGCCTGACCACCCGATCCCGTTCGTCGCCTCTTACGACAAGAAGGGGTTACTGAAGAATATGCTATCCCGGACCTCCACGGGTCGTTGGTCAGAAGAGATGATCTTAGTGTTTGTGTTGTCAGACTGGCTGATCTGGTTGACTGCTTGTCTCCCTACCTGGATGGTGTAAATCGTTTTCTAACAATATCAGATTGTGTACAGACTTGATTATTTAAAGACCGTTGTTTCATAAGTGGACCATTGTTCAGGATTGCGTTAAACAACAAACATCAAATACACCAGTTTTTATTGCATCCGTAAGGTTTACATTGTCAGATATGAACCCAGGAACTACATGTTTTATTTCAGCCAAGT